GCGTACGGTGCGGGCGGCGACGGGCGGCGGCTGGGCGCGCAGCGGCGAGGTGGCGCGGGCCACGGGCGCTGGCGACCCGCGATGGGGCACGAGCGGCGACACCGGCTTCGGCGTCTGTGTCTCTGTCTCTGTCGCGGGTGCGGCGGCCGGTTCGTATGAGGGCGCACTCGCGACGGTGGCGGCGGGAACAGCCGGCGCTGGAGGGAAGAACGAAGGGAAAGAACGAAAGAGACAAAGTTCAGAAGACGGAGGAGGGGAAAGAGGGAAGGGGGATGGGATGCCTACGTTCTGCAGGAGGGGTGGACACGCGCAGCTTGGTAGGCGCGGCCGGAGCACCAGCATCGTCGGTCGTTGGGATATCTGTCGAGAATAAAAATTAAAATACGAATAAAAATAAAACATCACATTTTGAATAAAAAGAAATGTTTGAATAAAAAGAGCACGTTCAAAAATGGAGTTAAATGCAATAATGGAAAACAATTTGGTGCCTCGTGGCGGTGTGTAGCTGCACCGCTGCAATTCGGGTTTACGGCACACGTAGACACACGCAGAGAAAAGATGGCGGGCCGGGGAGGGGGGCACTGGCGCACCTCCAGGGGCGATGAAGCCAAAGGTGTTGCGGAAGGCCTGATTCTTGCGCGGGCTGAAGGTGGGCAGCCGGTCGGTGAGGGACGGGGTGGCGGGCCCCGCCGTCGGTGCGCCATTCACATTTTTGTCGACTGCGGCAGCTCTTTCGTTATCGTCGGCCCCGCCTTCTTCGCCCTCTTCATCTCCAATCTTGAGGCCCTCGAGCACGTTTGCACGGAGCTGTCGCCTTCGCTCTTCATCGTGCGTGTAGTCGTACTCTTCCTCCTCGGTTCCGTGTGACGAGAACATGGTGGTGCGCCGCCGCTTTCCCCTCCTCGTTTTTTAGTTCCTTTTACCTAAAGATCGAAAAGCGATGCCTCGCTTCCTTCCCCACAACACTTCGCTTTCGCTCTTGTCTCTTTCGCTCTCGGTGGCCCCTACAACGGCAAGTCGGCAAAAAGAAGCAACAAATGACGCTCTTCTAACGCGCAATTGCGCTCACCCGCTCACCCTGGAGCCAATAGCAGGACACGGCCCAGAGAACGGCAGCCAATAGCATTTTTTCGGCGGAGGAACGAGCAGTACGGAAAACCAATTTCTCAAAACTTTTCCTTTTAGTCAGGAATGCTCTGCCGAACTTGCTGCCCCAATCGATCGATGTCGCTCTTTGCTTCGTGTGAACACGATGGATAGAATGCCAAAGGCGCACCAACGGAGCGGACTGGGCTTGCCCCTCCCGCTCGTCTTCTTTCTCCTTTCGTTACTCTTCTGCACACCCAATTTTGGGGCAAATTCCGAGCAATTGAGCACAGCCGATGTGCCGGATTATGACCTTGACACACGCAACGTCGAAGATGAAGAGCTTTTCTTGGCCAACGATCAGCTGTACATACAATTCTACGCCAAATCGCCATCGTCCAAGATGATGTTCAACCAAACGACCTACCAGGCGGATTTCTACACCAACGTCGTGTGGTCACAGCTTACCGAGGGCGAGAATCGCCAGTTCCCCATCCCGAGCGACTTCTCCTTCGTCAAGTCACACGTCCCAAACCCAGGCACAGCCTTCACCCATCAAATCATTTCTTTATCTATTTATTACGTTAATCATCAAATCGTTCTACACGCATCATAGATGGCAACGGCACGCTGTACCAGAGAGTCACCTTCAACGCCACTGTCAATAATGGGTATCGTGTGTGCGTGTGCGGTAGTGCGTGTGCGGTAGTGCGTGTGCGGTAGTGTGTGTGCGGTGGTGCGTGTGCGTGTGCGTGTGCGTGCTTACCAACACACGGTGTCGTGCACAGGTCGGTGCTGATGGCTGATGTCTACCTGACCAACAAGGCCGTCAACATGACCCTCACATCGTCCTTCAATGCTTCGGTCGAGCCCTTGCTCGCGCCTCTCGATCTGCCGGCGCCCACCCAAGTCCCCTCGCGCCTCCTCCACGCCAGCCCCGAAGACAACTCGCTCACCCTGCAGCTCGGCCCCAGCTCCCTCCTCGTCAAGCTCCGCGTAACGCACTCTCTTGCCCCACTTCTTTCGCTCTTGCTCTTCAGAGATGTAATGCTTTTCTTACCGCACACGTCGCACACGTCGCACACGTCGCACACGTCGCACACGTCGCACATCACTGCAGGTAATGAATTGGCACTACGCGAGCACGAAGAACACCCTCACGATGGCGGGGAATGTCGAATCTAGCGCGAGCGGCATTGACGTGTTCTGGAGCAAGTATCCGCCGCCCACGAACAACATGGCCACCGTGGGTCTCCCTGGTATGCCCACCCCCACGTGATCGTGGATGCATATGTGAGTGTCGTGTCGTTGGCCGTGTCGTGTTCCAGAGCTAAGCAAGCCACGTGCTATGTAGGTGGTCCTAAGATCATCATCGTGCACCTGATGAACAACGCCACTGTGGGTTGTGATGGAGTGACCAAGTCGATTCAGTCCGTTTACGTCGACACACGGTAGGTGGCCCACACGTTGCAGTTCGTTTTCGTCTCGTCGTGCGTGGTATTCCCTCTCACGCGCTCTTCTATCTCTCTTTTTCGTGTAGCTACGACCTCCGCCACATTCTGTCGCCCGTGTCGGCCGACATTCGCCTGATCTTCCCCTCGCTGCACGACACCTTCCACTGCGTCAACGCGACCAACCACTCAGTGCCCTGCGAGTGCAAGGAGACTTTCATCGACTTCGTCGTCTACATGGTACGCGTTAACACACACACAACACACATCACCTTCGTTATCGCTCATGGGCCGTACAGGAACTGGACAAGTGGGAGACGATCGTGCATTGGTGGCTCATTGCGGGCATCATCGTGCTCGCGCTCGGCGCCTTCGCGATCCTCATCTGCGTGTTCGTCTGCGTCGCACGACGGTACGCCTCGCTTTTCGCTCTTCGTTCTTTGCGCTTCGTTCTTTTGACACAGCTGTTGCGTATTGGGGGGGGGGTCTTAGGTACAACCGGTCGCTGCAGGAGGACAAGATCAAGGAGCGGGAGGAGAAGCGGGCCAGGAACGAGCGGCAATCGGTCAACCCCGCTGGCGCCACCCGCGTCCGCGGCGATGAGGAGTCTTCGTCGGGCGAGGAGGCCACCGCGGCCCAGACAGAGAAGAGGGTATGGCGCCGGCCCGACCTCACCGCAGAGGAAGAGACCGACCCACTCCTCCGATTCGTGTACAAGAAGAAGACCATCTAGGCACGCCCACGACAAACTACAATAATAATTCTTTTATTTATTTACGTTTTCAGCGAATCGAGTTACTGCGAAACCAGGATTTATCCGGGCTTGGTCGGAACGGCCGAGGCGGAAGTCGCGTCGCTGTGCTGGGATCGCCACGACTGCGGCCGGCAAGGAAGCCGGAGGCGTACGGTGAGTACATAAGGCCATCAGCGCCAGCCCAGATAAGATCTGCAAGCATCAACACAGCAAGCAGCGAGGCAGCGAGCGTACAGCCCACAGAGAACCAACACAATGACACACACAACGTCGGACTACGACTACATCTTCAAGCTGATCCTCATCGGCGACTCGGGAGTGGGCAAGAGCTGCCTGCTCACGCGCTTCGCAGACGAGACCTACCACGACGCCACCCTTTCCACCATCGGCGTCGACTTCAAGTTCCGCAACGTCACACTCGCCGACAAGACCGTCAAACTCCAGGTCTGGGACACTGCCGGTACATTCTCCCCTCCTGTTCACCATCGTCAGCATCATTAGTAGCATCATCATTTTCATTTTTTCCGTTCAAGCCTGCTCACCCGCTGATCTATTTCTCCCTCATGCTCAGGCCAAGAGAAGTTTCGCACGATCGTGGCGAGCTACTACCGAGGCGCGCACGGCATCCTGCTGGCCTACGACACCACCAACGCAGCCTCGTTCGAGAACCTGGGCTACTGGCTCCAGGAGGTGAAGCGATTCGGGTCGTTGACGTGCCCCGTGGTGCTGGTGGGGACCAAGACCGATCTCAAGTCGAAGCGCGTCGTGCCCGAGGAGGCAGTGCGCGCCTTCGCCGAGCAGTACTGCGGCGGGGCCAACACGCTGGTGGAGACTTCGGCCAAGACGAACGAGGGCGTCGAGCAGGCCTTCCAGCTGCTGGTCCAGCAGGTCTTCAAGCAGCGGGTGAACGTCGACATGGAACCGCCCAGGCAGGTCCCGCGATCACTCCTCCAGCCCACGCCAGATGACTACACCGCCTCGCGATGCGGGTGTTGAATACGGTCAGAAATAAATTAAAAATGAATTATGAATAAGAAAATGACAAGAAATTGGTGCGGTATTGGTTGCTCCGCTGTTGGTTGTGCCTCCTCTTCCTTTTCTCGCTGACGGCTGGTCTGTGTGCTGTTTGGCTCAATCGAAAGGTCTTTTGATCTTTTTCTCTTCCCTTGATCATCTCTTTCTCTCTCGTGGAGTTACAAATCTCTTCATCTTCGCGAGATGGGGTGTTGTTCTTCATCTCCTATTGAGGACCTCCGAGCGCCACTGTTGGCGCGTTCGTCCGCCCACCAGCCGGCGGCGGCCGCTGAGCCCTACCCACCTTCGCTCGACTACAATTCCTCTTCCTCTTCGGCTTCGGCTTCGGCCTCGACTTCTTATCACCACCCTCCCGTCCCGACGTCTGTCCACGCACAACGCAAGCACAGCAGCGCAAAGAGCGAAGCGGTGGCTGACAACGAGCGTGACGCGAAAGCGCAGACGTCAGAGAAGAACGAAAGCGATGAGTCGTCGCTCACGGCCAGCGGCCTCCGGGTGATCGACGCGCCTCGGCCGGAGGGCGCCACAGAGCACATGACGAAGGAGGAAGAGTTCGAGTTCTACAAGAAGAAGATGGAGCAGCTCAACCGCGAGAAGGAGGATACCAACGCTCGATTCCTCAAGGAGGAGCGCGAGAAGCAGAAGCTGGACAAGCAACACAAGAAGCCATCGGTGGCGTGCACCCTGCAACGTTGCAAGCCACACATGAGCGCGCGCATGTGAGAGCTGACAGAAGGCGTTGTGTGAATGGTCTGTGCAGCTGCTCACCTTTTTCAAGGGCGGAGAGGAGGAAGAGGACGAGTTCGCGATCGGCGCGCCGCAGGGGTTCAAGCACGAATCGCACATTGGCTGGACTCCCGAAGGCGGCTTTGATGTACGCACGACACGCACGACACACAACACGCCGCACGGCGCTCCTCTTTAGACAATCCACATGTCGTGGCGTGACGAAGGAGAAGACTTACGCGGAGGTTGCGGCTGCAGATCTTCAACGTTCCGAATGAATGGAAGAAGCTGATGTCCAAGGCCGGAGTCACCGAGGAGCAGATGCAGGACAAGGAGACCGCCATGTTCATCGTCTCCTTCGTCGCTAGTACTCTCGGAAACCAGCAGGGTACGTACCACGCACGTAGTCGTCGTGGTGTGTGAGTTCCAAACTCATGGCATCGGTGTGCAGGTGGACAAGCAGCGGCGCAGGCGCCCGCGGCTCGTCCCGTGCAAGTGGAAGAGCGAAGGGAAGGTGAAGGTGAAGCGGAGGTGCAAGTCAGCCCCAACGAGAACTCTCAGGCGGAACAGGAGCGCCCAGGAGAAGAAGAGGAGTCCATACCGTCAGCTCCTCCTGCTCCGGTTGCGCCCGCTCCGGCCCAGCCCACTCTCGGAGGTTCCTCGGCGCCTCCACCGCCTCCGGTCCTCCGGCCTTCGGTGCGCACCACTCGCGTACAGAGCTTGCGTCGGCGGTTGGCTGACTCGCTTTCTTTCGGAGCGCAGGTGGCGGACGAAGGCTCGTCGGGCGACATGTTCTCGGCGATCCGCGGCGGTGTGGCACTGAAGAAGGTCGCAGCGCTGCCCGATGTCAAGAACCTGTCCGTGCAGGAAGAGGTAAGACGTGGGCATCGATGTTCTCTTGCAGACATTCGCGCGATGGCTGACGAGATGACGCTTGAATTGGACAGGACTCCATCGCGGGAGCCCTAGCGCGAGCGCTGCAGAGCCGGCGATTCGCGATCAGAGAAGAGGAGGAAGAGCCGGAGGAGGAAGACAACGGCGAGTGGGACGACTGATGAGCTCGCATGTGGCTTTTCTGTGTCTTAGCGGAAAGATACAAGCTTCGAAGCCCGCTCAGGCTGAGTCAGGCATATCGTCGCACCTTCTCTTCTTACGCGCGTTGAGTATCTTGTTCCTCACCTTCTCCATGTAGTCGTCGGTGCTGGTATTCAGGCGTGCTTGCTTCCGTTCGGCTTGAGGCTTTCTCTTCTTCGAGGTCTTCTTCTCTTCGTTCTCGTCCGTTCCGCCGCACGAAAAGATATCATCGTCCATGGTGCTATCCGCAGTCGTCTTGGCCGCCGCCGCCGCCGCCTGGGTCTCTGCGTACTCTGTACTGGACTGCACCGCTAGTGTCGCCGTCGAGTTGGCCTTCTCGCTTGCTTGGTCGATGACTCTGCTTACCTCGATCCTCACGAGCTCTGCCATCTTCCGATCCCGTTGCTCCAGTAGAGCGGTCAAGGAGGCTAGCTGCTTGCGGTTCGATTCCTCGACGACGCGCTGCACCTCCTTAACGAGCTCGTTCTTGGTACGCTCCAGCTTCCGATTGCTCTCTTGCTCTATGAGTCATGCTTACCGTTAGCTTCCGCACAGTTCCATTTCTGATCAATACTGAAGGACCCTACCTTGACGGAGCAGCAGCGACGCCATCGTCTTTTCGTACTCCTTCGTGGGCATACCTTGGAGTTGCCCTTGCAAGCCTACCATCATCGTGCCGATCTGGTGAAGCAGAGGCGCCGCATGCGATGTTATCCAGTCGCCTAAAGCTAACCAGGCCTAGTCCTATGCACCTGCTGCGTGAACTGCCACAGGCCTTGGTCTTCGGCTTGCGTCTTCTTCACGAGTAGCGGTACGAGGCCCTTCACTTTATGATGCGTACGAAATACACTGTTAGGAAGCGCTTCGACATCAACGACAAGGTCGGCGTACGTTCTCCAATGAGGTTCTCCATCAAGCTTTGGTTAAGCGCCATGCTCGCCTTCGCTTCCTGGAGCTCGCCGAGTACCTTCTCCGCGTTGGCTTGCCACTGCTGCCGATGACACAGTTGCTGCAGATCTACCGCTTGCTGGGCCAGCGAAGCTGTAGACATCGCCAGTGCGCTCGACGACGGTGGTGATGGCCCTACAGCAGAGGCTGGCATGCTTGAGGTGGACCACTGCCACATGCCTTTCGTCTCCTGACTCTGCGACATCGACCCTCCGCTACTCCAACTTCAGACTACTCACGCAACTCTGGTGGTATAGAAGACGCGAATGTACCTTGATGGTCCGGCATCTGCTGGAGAGGAGCTCGACGTAGCGAGTAGCGCCTGACGCGTAGCGGTCACAGCTGCCTTCTGCTGACTAGCTGTCGCCAACGCCGCGGCCATGGTCCCTGATGAAGAGTTTTGCTTCCGAAACTCTTGCATTGAAGCTTTCTCGAGCAGGCTCGCGATATCCACCACGTTCGGCTTCATCTTCTTCCTCCTTCTACTTCGCTCTCTTGTGTTTTGGACGAACCTGCGCGGCCGGCAAAGGGAAATTATTTTATTTTGATTTTTCAACCGCCACCTTAGAGTACCGAGTCATCGGCCTGAAAGTTGATGGAGTTGTGGGCGGCGATGCTCGATTGGCTTCGCTTACGCCAATAAGTGATGGCCACGGCCGACACGATCACCACGAGCACCAAGAGCACGGCCAACGGCACCGCCACCGCCACCCCGATGATCAGACCCGTATTGTCGCTGCTGCCTCCTCCTCCTCCATCGCCGCTCCGCCCCGTCAACAGCACCCCCAGATCTGGCGATGGAGAATTATCGTCAGTGCAAGCTTTGATCCTTCTATTATGTGCCAGTGTAAGGTGGCAAAGAAAGCAGGGGGGGGTAAGGGGGGGTACCAGGATCGTAGACGGCGCTCGTGTTGAACCGCGCAAACGACACCACCAGGCTTGAGCTGGTGGCGTCCAGTGTGAACTCCACCGCCTTGCGCCCGTTGCTGCCCGCCTCCTTGGCCGTCACGAGCTTGCCGTCGAGCTCCACAGCTTCCACCAGCCGCACCCGAGTCGACGCGCGACCCGAGTAAGTGGTCTGCTGGCCTGTGAGGGCGAACTCGCGCACGAAGTCGACCTCGTCGCCGGCCACTTCGCTGAAGCCCGTGAAGGCGGGCGTGATGGCCACGCGCACTTCGGCACGCTCGTTGGGGTCGTCGGACTGCCACACCCAGTCGGTGAGGCGCACGGTGAACTTGGCAAAGGCCGGCGACACGTTGAACTTGACCGGCGTGTCGCCTCCCAGATTGACCTCGGTGGTGTTGGAGAAGAGATAGTACTGCAGGCCCAGCATCGCCCCTTCTGCTATACCCTTCGCGTCGCTGTCGGAGTCAAATTGAAGAGCACACGAATAGATGAACGACTGGTCGGCGCCGAGCGTGTTGTTCTCCACAGTGGCCCACGTTCCTGGAGTTCGTGTGAGCAGGAATGGTAACATTGTTCGAGAAAAGGTGCGTTGTACCATTCACGACGGTGGCTGTGCGTGTGGAGTTGTTGGTGTTGGAGCTGCTGATGGTGCCCAAGGAGAGACTCACGGCGGCCGAGCTCTGCTGCTGCCCGCTCGAATCTGTGCGCTCTTTGTGAACCAGCTGCTTCTTCTTGTTTGAAGAGAGATTCGAATCTGGAAAGGTACCTTGAGGCAGAAGGGTGACTGCAGCGGTCGTCAAGTTGATGAGGAGTGTGGGCGCAAATTGCAGGTTGGTCGAGTTGGAGATAATGAAAGCCGGAGTCGGCGATGGGAACACAAGCTGCGCACAATTGGGGCCTGGATGGACAGCACCATGTCAGCCTCTCCAGATCTGAGGCAGGAGGTTGTAAGGATAGACGAGTAAGTGAGACGGGGTTAAGAACCGATGCCGGTGGCGTTGGGTGCGGTGTTGAGGACTGGAACAAAGGCTGAGAACCAGCTAAACCCACTTCCGCATATGATCCCTATGGGCAGTTGATTAGGACGGAACGAATGGGTGAGCGCTCGCATGGTTGAAGTGAGGGCAAAGCGAAGAGAAGAAGATCAAACCCGAGGCCAAGCTGCCCGTGACATTGAGCGACACCGGGCCGTTTTGGTTCCACGTCTTGTCGGGCGACGGATAGCTCTCGCTCTGTCCATCCACTCCTGTAGCGAGATTAATGCGTTACTCATTCCGATGTCTGGCTGGCGGTAAAGATTGAGAACGTACCAACCGTAATGGTAGAGGTGGAAGCCACCGTAAGCGCAATGTTGCCATTCTGCGTCCACTTACCCATGGGACCCATATAAACTCCTGCATGCGGGGCATCACATGAGCCATTGTTCACCCGGGTGCATTGATTGGGGGGGGGAGGCGGCAATACCTCTGGGGCCTTCACTGATGTCAATGACAGCATTGCCGCCTTGTATCCATTCTCCCCAACAGCCCACCACTGGGCCACGAAACATTGTTGCGGGTTAGCGGAGTGATCCCCGGCCCAGCAACATGCTAGGTGAGGGCGCATCTACTGTAGCATGCCGGATCGCAAGAGTACGTGTTGGTCCCATGTGCTGTGAATGTTCCTCCGCTTTGCGTCCACACTGCAGTTTCCGCAATGTACACACCTGACCCAACCACCACACAACCGTCAAGATCACATGCTTCACGCGCTTGGGTGTGGCTTGCCTGGTGAAGATGACGGTACCAGAGGCCAGGTAGCCAGAGTGGGTTAGATCGACAGACGCCGTTCCGATCCACTGCGAGTTTGAGTTCATCCTCACAGCTTGTGCGCCCAGGCGGACAAGAGCGAGGGCGAGCAAGAGAGAAGTCAGCCAGTCAGCGGCAAGACACACACGCACAGCAGACGCACAGCGTACCTCTCCCCTGGTCCGCGGAGATAGTGACAGGGCCATCTTGTTTCCACACGCCATCCAGCAGAACCACTGGAAGCGAGCAAGAAGGGAGGAGACTGAGGAATAAATGTTACGGTGCTCAGATGCAGGACTTGTACCTGTGACGAAGGGTCCGGTGTGTGCCTCCACAAAGGCGCCAGCTTGCTTCCACTGCGCGCCCGCCGCCACATGCACTCCTGCATCGCCCTTTGTGAGGTCTACATATAACGTTCCTTTGTGCGTTGGCAGTCCCGCGTACCGGTCATAGTGAAGTCAAGGTTTGTGGGAAACACCCTGACCTCGAGCTCACCGCTTTGAGTCCACGTCCCGTTCCTGATGTCGGCGCCAACGGCATTATTGACTGGTCGGACGTTGCGTACCAAGCCCCCCCCCAAAGAGAGAAGTCGTCAGTTGTGCGGTGCCGGGAAGTGGGCCACTTCTGTGTGCGTACCATCCGCTAACGTCATAACGATGTCATTGTCCTGCAGTATCGCACCACCATCATCCAAACCAATCCCTGTGTGGATCGCCGGCAAGTGAGTTGAGTGTGGGAAGAGGGGAAGTTACAGAGGGATCTGTACCACCGGTGAGGTTCAAACGGTCCTGGAGCATTCCGAACGACACGCCTTGAATCGTGAGCCACTCAGTATCTGCACCTTGCACTGTAACGACCACCTCGCCCATCAACCTGCACGTCCGAAGGCAAAATGGGGGGGGGGTAAGATCAAGCCGAGCACGGCAGCAGACCACAGACAGGCAAGGTGCAGGTACCTCAGGGTGAGGTTCGGCTTGGCGACCACAACAGAGGGCTCCGAGTAGCTGCCGGCCGCGACTTGGATTTCGTCTCCGGCACTCGCGTCTGTCAGGGCGGAGGAGATCGAGTCACCTGGGTTCACCATCACGAGGCCTGCGTGTCGAGCAATCCCCAGCATAAATTAGTGCGCACAGAAAAGAAAAGAAATAATAGTGCTGGGCCTCTCTGGGCGGGTAGGGTGTGGGTTACGTGCCTCCCTCCACGGTGCCAGGGCGGATGGAGAAGAAGAACAAGACGAAGAAGGAGATCGCGACGAGGAAGGTCGATGGGACTTGCCGATGGTCTGCTGCCATTGAGCTAATGTGGTTTGTGTGTAGTGGGTTGCAGGAGTTCTTTTTCAAGGGGGTGAGCTGGTATATCTCTGTGGCTTCTTCTGCGTTCTGGTTCACTCCTGGTCTGCCCGTGGTTGTGATGATGGCTTGGCTCGTTTCGTTTTGTTTGATTTTTTCTGAAGCGGCACCAACTCCTTGACGACGAGAGTACGGAGTTAAAACAACGAAGAGGCGGTGCCAGGGAGAGTCCGAACGAAGACGGCTTCTTAGAGGCCGTCATCGGGGTTGAAGTTGATGGCAGCCTCGGCGGCGATGTTCACTTGTTGCTTCTTCCGCCAGTAAGTGATGGCCACGGCCGACACGATCACCACGAGCACCAAGAGCACAGCCAACGGCACCGCCACCGCCACCCCGATGATCAGACCCGTATTGTCGCTGCTGCCTCCTCCTCCTCCATCGCCGCTCCGCCCCGTCAACAGCACCCCCAGATCTGGCGATGGAGAATTATCGTCAGTGCAAGCTTTGATCCTTCTATTATGTGCCAGGGTAAGGTGGCAAAGAAAGCAGGGGGGGTAAGGGGGGGTACCAGGATCGTAGACGGCGCTCGTGTGGAACCGCGCGAAAGACACCACCAGGCTTGAGCTGTTGGCATCCAGTGTGAACTCCACCGCCTTGCGCCCGTTGCCGCCCGCCTCCTTGGCCGTCACGAGCTTGCCATCGAGCTCCACAGCTTCCACCAGCCGCACCCGAGTCGACGCGCGACCCGAGTAAGTGGTCTGCTGGCCTGTGAGGGCGAACTCGCGCACGAAGTCGGCCTCGTCGCCGGCCACTTCGCTGAAGCCCGTGAAGGCGGGCGTGATGGCCACGCGCACTTCGGCCCGCTCGTTGGGGTCGTCGGGCGACTGCCACACCCAGTCGGTGAGGCGCACGGTGAACTTGGCGAAGGCCGGCGACACGTTGAACTTGACCGGCGTGTCGCCTCCCAGATTGACCTCGGTGGTGTTGGAGAAGAGGAAGAACTGCAGGCCCAGCGCCGCCACCGTCGCATTGGCGTCGCCATCAGAAGAAGGAAATTGAAGTCCGCAGGAGTAGAGGAATGATTGATCCGCGCCGAGCGTGTTGTTCTCTAGGGCGGCCCAAGTACCTGAAGAGACCACGCACGATTGCATGAGCTCAGTCTTCTCCTCGTTGGTGGAGCAAGAGGAAAGGCCCTTTCGGCGCGTTGTACCATTGGTGACTGTGGCCGTGATCGTCGAGTTATTGTCGGTGGCGGAGCTGCTGATGGTGCCCAGCGAGAGACCGACGGCCGCCGAGCCCTGCTCCTTTCCGCTGGAATCTGATCGCGGTCCACATCGACGCCACGCCACGCCACTCAACAACTAGAGTTCAAATGAGAAAATCGTGTGGTGGCACCTTTGGGCAAGAGGGTGATGGCAGCTGCTGGGGCGGTGAGGTTGACGCGCAGGGCCGGCATGGACTTCTCGTTGGTCGAGTTGGAGAAGATGAACTGAGGCGACGGCGAAGGCAGCACGAGCAAGACGCACGCCGAGTCTGGAGATCGCCACAGCCAAGCGTCAGTTGACGCTTGTGTGCGGTCGTGCGTTGGTGTCACATACCGATGCCGGTGGCGTTGAGCGCCGTTTTGATGACAGGAGGAACTGAGGAGAACCACTTGAGCGCGCTGTTAGGATTGCAGAGCACTGCGGCAGCTCCCGAGCCGGTGGCGTTGAGCGTCACGGCTCCAGTTTGAATCCACGTCATGAAGCCCTCAGAGCTGGCGCCAGAATTGCCGTCGACGCCTGAGACGCCCAGACCCGAACGCCGACGTTGCCTGGTCAGGCGGAGAGAAGAAGAAGAGCAAAAGCAAGGAGCACAGTTTGCGAACCAATGGACAAGACGGTCGACATGGAGGTGACGCTCATAACAAGCTTACCGTTCTGCGTCCAAACGGGCTCTGACACCAACGCAACCCCTGCATTGATGTGCGTGCGAATGAGCACAGGGTCAGGGGTCCTCGCAGGAGTTCCGCAGTTGCATCGCAGGAGTGGTACCCTTGGAATTGCTCGAGGTGGTAATGGTCACGTCGCCGTTCTGCGTCCAATTTCCAGCGCACTCCACGACTTAGTCCGCAAGGTTGGTGAGTCCACGGTGGTGGGCAAAAAGGAATGAAGAACAACGGAGAAGGGGCCTACCACTGCAGGTTGCCGACGAGCAATTGGCTGCTATGCCAGTAAGCGTCGAGGTCGTCGCTTGGTACCACACAGCACTGCTTCTCACGATGACGCCTGAAGCACGAAAGAGGGAGAGAGAAGGGTAGACTCAGCAGCTGGGGCGAGTGAGGTGGCCGCTGGAGGCAAGGTCCAATACCCTTACAATATTCGCTCGCAATGGAGATCTTAACATTGGCAGTCCCAACCCACTGCGAGCCTGAGTCCATCCACACCACTGCAAACAGAACAGCACACAACACACAGCACACCACACGCAGCGTTAACACAGTGGCTGTGAGGCTGCGCACTGTGGTCACACGTACAGTTGCCTGTATCTGCAGACAGCTCAGCGTGGCCATCCTGCATCCACTGTCCGTACAGTCTGAACCCTGGGGTCAAGGTAAGCGCACGGTACACTCCGCGACATAAAAGACACCACCGCCAACACAGGAACAGAGCACGCAACCAGTAATGCTAGAGCTTCCGCTTACTCGTAGAGCAAAGTCGCCGTTCTGCTGCCACACCATACCACTCGCCACCTCCATACCTGCGGTCACGGCATTCGAGACAGTACCCACGTTTGGGGTCAGCATTGAGTGAATGCACTGAAATGAGTGTGAAGCCTGCGAGACGTACCGGATGGGGCCGCTTCGGAGAGCGATGGCACCACAGACATGTCCAGCTTGCCGTTCTGGATCCATTTCCCATCCTGCAACTGGATCAGAGTCACACCCCAAAATGACTCTGAGAGATCACGTCTCAGGGTCAGGCCTCTTGGTGGGATCACCCGGTGTTGTCGCGTTTGCGTGCGTACCAGTGGGCACCGACAAGAACATGTCGCAATCCTGCACCACCGTAGTGTTTCCCGCAACAGAAAGGGCTGCAGCAGAAAAACACACACACACACAATGAGTGTGCCACACGCGTGCGAGGCGGAGGCATGACGTTCTGTTACCTCCGGTGAGCCGCAGCGTGTTCTGGCGGAAGGTGAACTTCCCACCGCCCGACAAGGTGAGCCACACCCCGTCCGTTGAGTTGGTTTCGACGTTCACCGCTCCCAGCAACCTGTGCACAACATGTTGTTCATAATTGCGGTGTTAGCACGAGATGAAGGAGGAAGTGGCCGGCCACCACCAAGAAAGGAACCACGTACGTGAGAGTGATGTTCGAAAAGGTGATGGAGCAAGAGTCTTCGTTGGTGTAGTTGCCCCCACTAACCTTGATTTCTGTGTCCGGCGCGTTGACGGCAGACAGCGCTGCGAAGATGCTTGGGTACGCACAGGTGGAGCACACCGCAAGCACCACTCCTTCTGCACCTAAGTATTTTTATTTATTTAGTAAACTTTATTTTAGTTAATGATATAAAAACCAAGGAGGGTGGCATGCCATTATTAACGGAGAAGCCACCGTGGAAGAGGATGAGGCCGCAAAGAGTGAAGAGATAGGGCGCAAATAGATGTTTGTCCATTGCGCGGTACACGAGCTCTGGCGCAGAGCTCCAGAAAGTACTAGGGTGGTCGGCCAGTCGGAGCTAAGGAACGTTGAACAGCAGCCAATTACAAATTCAAAGACTCGCAAAAAGAAACTTGGGGAAAAGAAAAGAAAAGAAAAGAAAAAGAAGCCGCAGAGATGAGAAGGAGCTGCTCGTCCTCTGCGCTCTTCCCGAGCAAGGCTTGCGGCGCATTGCTTCCCCCGTATGGGTACCGATTGCATTTGCCACCCGGGCAGGGTCCTGCCAGCTTTATCTGTCAACAATTGAGGAGATTTCCATTCATTCCCGGAAACGATCGCCACATCAGGAGCGCCAGAAGGGGCTACGGTGATGTCGTGCGAGCCGCTGGGCTGAGAGGGCACGCCACGCCCGAGGGCACAGCCGCCTTCCACCAGCGGTACACTACGCCACATTCCGCACACCATCCTCCCTCTCGTGCTAACGTTGCTGCCTCTTGTCCATACGCATCGGAACGCAGACTGGGTAGTAAGCTGCCCTTCCGCCTGGTGCCACGGACGCAGTGGTCGCTCGCGCCGTTCGGCTTCGGCGGCTACCGCGTGTCGGCTCGCACCTCGTCACACCGCAGCGCTCTGTATTTACTCGCCATTCTCCTTGCTCTCGATCTCGTTGTCATTGTCACTCTCCACTTCCTCCTTCTCCTGGCATGCCGCCGCCATTGTCGTTTGCATGGGCCTTACTTAACCCGACTCGTCTGTGGAGTGCAGGAAGAAGGCCATTCGATTGGGTTGCAACGTGGTGGACACGAGCTCGATCTACAGCGATGGCGACTCCGAGCTGCTCTTTGGCCAGGTGGTGCGAGAGTTGGTCGACAAGGAGGACATCAAGCGCGAGGTTCGCCTTTCTTCTTTCTCTTTCTCTCTCTCTCCTCTTTTTTTCGCCATTCATCAAGCTCGCTACTCGTTCATCATCATCATCATGATCGTCGTCGTCACCGTCGTTAATGCAGGAAGTGGTGATCATTACCAAAGCCGGGTATCTGTCCGAAAAGGCCGAACACAACCGATCCAGCGCGCCCTCGTACAGCGACAAGGACGTCGACCACGTATCCCCCGGTACTTCTTTCTTTTACTTCGATATCCCCCTGTCCACACCAGGCTGAGCCCTTTCACTCACGCACTCTCTACTTCTTCTTCTTCTCGCCGGCCGCCAACCAGGTCTCGACTATTCGCTGTCGCCGCGAGTCCTGGAGGATCAGATCAGCGCGTCGCTGGAGCGGCTGGGCATGGAGCGCGTGGATCTCCTCATGCTGCACAACCCCGAGCAGCTGCTCGAAGTCCACCCGGTACTACCATCACTCGTGCGAAGAGCCAACGCGTGACTTGTCACGCTCACGCTCGCTTGATCGCTCGCCCCAGCACTTGGGTCCGGCCTTCTACGAGTTGGTCTCGAAGGCGTTCGCCCACCTGGAGAAGGAAGTACAACGAGGCCGTATCCAATACTACGGCGTCTCTTCGAACACGCTGGCGGTGCCTTCCAGCTCTCCCGACCACGTGTGCGTGGACAAGCTCGTCCAGGCGGCCAACTCTGGTACAGCTCCAGCTTGTTTAAGAATAGAGCCACCAAAGAGTTGATCACACACACACACGACACACACGACACACACGACACACACGACACACACGACACACACGACACACACGACACACACGACACACACGACACACACGACACACACGACACACACGACACACACGACACACACCAGTGAGCGAGAAGAACGCGTTGGCGGCGGTTCAGTATCCGTTCAACCTGATCGAGTCCGAGGTGCTGACCGAGGGCGTGTCTGCCAAGGCCAAGGCGCACGGCCTCATTCGATTCAGCAATCGACCGCTAAACGCCGTCTACGAGGGCAAACTCCAGCGCATCGCCACCTTCCCTTCCCACGACGGCACGCCCCCGACCTCGTGCGCGCAACCGGGCGGCCGCGTTGACTGATGTTGTTGGCTCTGGCGCGGTGGCTTGTTGGGGGGGGAGGGGTACAGACAAGGACTTGGTTCAGCTGCTCAAGGAGGCGTTCGACTACGCGATCCACCTGGAGAAAAACTACCCGGGCGCCGACAAAGCATCGCTGCCGCCTGCCTCGGACTATGCCTGGGCACAGGTAACAATGACACGACACGCACGACACGATGCGCACACGATTGGTTGTAGCTGATTGATTTGTGTTTTTCCGCGATGTACAGATTCTGGCGCACAACCAGGCCACGCTCGGCACGATCGATCGATGGGTAAACGCGCTGGAATCAACCATCTTGCCGAGCTACGAGCCGGCCATAGCCAGGCTCGAGGACCACGCACAACTCAGGTCCTGGGGCGACAAGTACCGAGTGGTACGGCCACGCCGCACACGCACACGCACACGCCAGTTCGACTTTGGCGTTGTTCTCACTCTCTTTGTATAACCAGGCCATTGCGCGCCTCTTCGAGCGCTTCACGTGGGTGAACGAAGCCAACGCCTCCAAGAACTCGGAGCAGCTCACGCTGGCCGCGGATGCCACCTGGCCTGAGCTCAACGAACGGGGCATGGCTACGCTCTCGCAGAAGGTTCGCCCTGCCGTCCTTGCGGTCGCCGACAATCGGGCCAGGCTGACGCTTTGAATACACGACACACGACACACGACACACGACACACGACACACGACACACGACACACGACACACGACACACGACACACGACACAACGGCAAACAGGCGTTACTGGCGGCTCGCTCGTCGGATGTGGCGGACTGTGTGCTCGTGGGGATGCGACGAGCGACCTACGTGCGCGAGGTGCTCCTCAACGTCGGCCCGTCGGCCGCGGTGGACACCGCCAGCGATCCCGCACGCTACGCACAGTTTGCCGCCGAACTGCAGAAGGCCAAGGCCGGACCGTAGTGCGCGAATGTTGTGTTTGGGGGATCTCTTGTCGTGGGATGTATTTGCTATGTGCACATTATGACCTGAGAGAGCCATCCACCATTCGTTTCGTCTTGTCTTGTTCTTCTGCTTCGTCGTTGCTGTCGTCGTTCTCGTGGTCTCTTCGTTTGTGTCGCTCCGCCTCCGCTCGCGGCCAAAATGAATAAATAGTAAATAAATAAAATCGCAAAAATACGCGCGGCCTTGGCGTTGTGTTCTCCTCCGGCGCGAAGGCTTTTACTTCTTGTCGCCGACGACGCAGGCGCCGAACTTCTCCTCCTTGGGGCTGTCGTTCTCGCTCGGCGTGTTGGTGAAGTCGGGCAGCTTGTGCGGCTCGCTGAGGGTTCGAAATGATCAGCTTCCGTGCGACACACGAGAGGTCAAAAAGAATAGCCAAGAGTGGTAAGTGCCGTACCTGACCTGCGGGTCCTTCTTCCTGTTGTGGGCCATGTGGCTGCGCACCAAGTGGCCAGCTGCACGCAATTGCAAAGGTGAGACACGCTGCGTGGTTGTGTGCGTGTGCGTGTGCGTGTGCGGTTGTGGTGCGGTGGAGGTGTACCGGCAAGGGCAGACATGAGGGAGAGCTCGCCAGCCATGACGGCGGCGCAGATGGCCTCAGCGAGCGCGCGGGCGTTGGCGCCGGGGTTGGTCAGGTTGGAGCCCTTCACGCCCATGATGTCCAGACACGTCGACTGAACCGGCACAAAACGGTAGTCAGATTAGATTCCCCCCCCCCCACGACCCCCTCTCCATCGAATGTGTTGTCCGACAGCAAACGAACCTGCGGGCCGAGGTGGGTGCCGCCGCCAATGGTGCCGACTTCGATGGAAGGCATCGTGCACGAAATGAACAGGTCCTTGCCGTTGGGAGCACTGCTCATAAATATATATATATATATATATATATTATTAGTTCCAAAAATCGAATAATTCATAAATAATATCAAAAAAAAAGTGGGGTCGTACACTTCCATGAGGGTCATGCAGTTGGAGGACTCGACGTTCTGGGCGGGATCCTGGCCGGTGGCGAGGAACATGGCGGAGACGATGTTCGAGGCGTGGGCGTTGTTGCCGCCAATCGAACCGGCGACGGCCGAACCGACCAGGTTCTTCTGGATGTTCAGGTCCACCAGCGACTGAACCGTGGTCTGCAAACAAAAACAAAAACAAAAAACAAAAAACAAACAAACAACAAAAAACAAACAACGGGCATGAGTTGATGCGGAGATTCATAAAAGTACTTTAATGGTTGAATGGGGTGCGTACCTTGAGGACCTCCTTGACGATGCGCTCCTCAATGATGGCCTCGGCTACGACGGACTTGCCTCGGCCCTCGAGCCAGTTGATGGCGGAGGGCTTCTTGTCCGTGCAGTAGTTGCCCGACAGCGACAGAATCTCCAAGTCCGGGAAGTAGTCTGTGTGTCATTCATTCGAAAGAACGCGTGTCGTGTTTGCGTGCGGTGGTGCGTGTGCGGTGTGGTGGTGAGCCTCGCACTGTTGTGTGGCCATTTGGCTGGCGAGTCGAGGAAAGAGCGAGCGAGGGGTATTTCTATACCGGTGATGACATCAAGCGCCTTCTCCACACCCTTGGAGATCATGTTCATGCCCATGGCGTCACCGGTGGCGCTCTTGAAGCGGAGGAAGAGCGTCCTACCCGCGATACCGGTTTTGATCTTGACGACACGACACGACACACACACGACACACACGACACACGACGCAATGTGAGTGGAACGGGGGACTCGCCGAGCGTGCTTGGGTCGTGTTGTTGAAGGATACCGAGTTGAGGCGAGCGAAGCGCGAGGTCGAGTTGAAGGCGGAGGCGAGGAGGTAGAAGTTGTCGGTGTTCTTCACCCACGCGATGACCTCCGACGCGCGCTTGGCCGAGGGCAGACGCACGGCCGGACCGCGGGTCATGCCGTCGGCGATCACCACGCTCGTAGCGCCACCGGACTCGGTGATCGCCTTGCAACCCCTGTCGGCCAGCCACCCCGCGTTGAGTTCCACCGCACACACCGCACACGCAGGCCAGGTGTGTGTTACTACCTGTGGGTGGAGGCGACGAGGCAGCCCTCGGTGGTCGCCATGGGGATGTGGACGAGCTTGCCGTTGACCAGCAGAGGGCCGGCCATGCCCAGGGGAATGGGCACGTAACTGGTCGTGGTAAAGGTCAGCACCCAAGAATCGAGTCACGCGAACCCCCCCCATTGCGATTACGTACCCGACGACGTTCTCACAGCAGGCGCCGTAGACGGAGTCGTAGTTGTAGCTTTGGTAGGGCAGCTTGGAGAGGTCGGGCTTGTGGTCCGACTTGGCCTGCACGTGCGCCTCCAGACCCAACCTGCCGCCACCCGCAACAAAAAATAAACGGCGTAAATAAAATTACAAATAAACATTAACCAGTAATAAAAATAGCAAAATAGCAAAATAGCAATACAGCAACAGGCGTTTGGGTCCGGAATCAAGATGGGAGCTCGGGTTGAGTACCGTCTGATGCGGACGGCGCGCTCGAGGTTGCCGGGCAGGTACTCCTCGAGCTTGTGGGAGTGGAGCTTGCCGGCGGTCACCAGCTCGATGATCTCCTCATCGCTCTTGTCCGTGAGATCGATCTAATAGTGCGTAATAAGAGTAAAAAATCGGAGCATGGCTTGGAAGATTGTGCTTCATCGTAGAAAATGGACACAAACCGGGGCACAGACGATTGAATGAACAAAATGGCGCGAAGAAATGAATAGGGCACCTTCTTCTTGGCCTTGCTGGCATCGTCAGCGTAGAGACGGGCGGAGGCGAGGGCGGACGTGCGAGTGTACAAACTGCCGCCGAGGCTCAGCCGGGTGGTTCGCAGCGAACCGAACGATGAAGGCGCCGAAGCACGGGCAATGCGGAGGGACGATCTCATCTGCGCACGCGGCCACAAAAAACAGCACACTAAGAAAACCGCAGCGAGTTGTGCATAGCTGTACCGGCAAGAGGGGAGGAAGGGCAGGGCACCTCGGTTTCGTGAAGAAGAGATGGACGGAACGGAATCAACAGAATCTCTCTTGTTAGTATTCGGTTTTTTATTGTCGTTTTCTTTTGTGTCGACTCTCACGTGCGCTTTCGCCGACTACAGTGGTTTGGACCCGTTGACATCAAGGCCGAGGGGGAGCAGATACAACTGCGTCGCCGCTGCTGGCCCGCAAGAGGAGCCTCTGCTTGACCATCTCGCACAGGGCGCTGCACTGGTGGGTCGCGAAGAAGTCGTCCATGCCCTTGGGTCCGTGGTTGCCCGCCACGGGGCACCGCTCGCGCGGGTTGGTGTGCACCTGCGGGTCGGTGAACGTGTCGCCCACGCCCTGCAGGTCGCACACGAGCCATTGGCCGCCCGTGACGAGGTGCGTGAAGTGGCTGAAGGTCTGTGGCGTCTCGCGCACGCGCCCCTCCTGCGCGAACACGCCGCCGCAGTTGTCGTTGTACTTGACGTACGATTGATCAGCGCCCTCCAGCATGGGCTCCATCACGGCCCACACTTGCGGCAGCCGGTCGGCGAGCTTGACGACGAAGAGCGGGTTGACCTGTACGTTCTTGGGCATCTCGAGCGCGTTCCACCGGGCTGCCAGGTCCCAGGCACATCGCTGCATGACGACCTCCTCCTGCAGCAGCCGTACCAGTGCCTCCTCCGTGGCGAGCTTGAGCGTCGTGACCACGTGCGGCTTGAAGCGCTTGATGACGTAAAAGTTGTTGCCGGCCCACACCTTGTGGACCACACGGAGCGAGCCCTCGGCCATGACTTGGTCCTCGATCAGGCCCCGGACTGTCTGGCACTTCCACTCCCGCGGCTGCGGCTTGATCAGCGAGTAGACCTTGATCGTTTCGCCGGTGTTGGTGATCCGCAGGGAGGTCGCGGCGACGGCCGGCGGGGCCGGCTGTGCTGATGCAGGTGGGATTGGTGCCGCTTTTCGTGGCGGCGGTGGGGGACTGGGGGCGGGAGGGAGGGCCTGTGGCTGGGCTGGCTTGGGGGTGGCAGGAACCGCTGGTGGTTTGATCGAAACCGCGACGCTGCTCGACAAGGGGGCGGAAGTGCACTTGGCCAAGATGCGCTTCATCAGTGTGCCCATGTTGTGCACTGGCGAGCCTGGAACGCAATAAGAGCCAAGGGTCTTGTAAGGGGAGACAACACAGCCTCAAGCTATCCACGAACGAACCTTGGCTGTGGAGGGCGACGAGCTTCCAGTTCTTGAAGACGGGAGAGCCGGAAGAGCCGGGCAGCGTGTCGGCCAGATAGTAGAGCTCTGATTCCGTGATGGAGACCACTTTCTGCATGCTCATATGCTTTTCGCCGCCGCTCGGGTGCTGAATGATGTGGATCACGTCGTCTTTCTTGACCTCCAGCTGAGTGCACTCGGTCAGCCGGATGGGCTTCAGCCAGCTGCGCAGATGGGCTCGATTGCAGGCGACCAGCGAGAAGTCCAGCACCACATCCTATATGCCCATCGTTATTCGTCTAATATTAAACGAATGCTCCAAGGTGAAGTGTACCGTGATGAAGAGCACGTCAGGCCGAAGTGAGACGCGGGTTGCTTTTGAGGTGTCGCTGAGGTCAAAGAACTCAGCAACTGATCTGAGGGCCTGATCCGCCGACTTGATGACGTGGTTGTTGGTCATGATGCACAGGTAGGGCGTGCCTGTCGCCCAGCCAGCCATGCGAGTAAGCCGCGTAACCAAAAGGCGAAGAAGCAATCGGGGAGAGGGGGGGGGAACGTCTCGTACTGTCGCGGGTGAAGGTGGTGAGAAATCCGCTTCCTTTACCGGCATCGGTGCTGACACGGCACACCGCCGCCAGACAGGTGATCACGGTTTTAATGTGAACCATGTCCCCCTCCTCATTGATCACCTTCTCGTGCTGCACAGTTAGCCGACAACCACCACGTGCACGCCTGTGAGACTCACCAGTGCACCAGGAGCTCCGTATCTTGGAGTGTGAACGAAGCAGCCCAGAGCTTGAGCGTACGCTGAAGGGGTGCAGGTTGTTGCCTAACACGATCGCTTGGTGGCCCATTGTTGGGACTGTTTTCGATTTCTTCGCGTTTGTCGTGGTGGGTGTACCTGGGCCTGGCGTCGCCACCGATGCTGGTGCTGGTGCCGGGTCCTTTCTCTTGCGACCAGTTGCAGACGTTGCCGGCTGGCCCTGCACGGCAGCCCTGCTTTATTCGTTACTACACGGTCACAGGTCCTGAGGAAGATAATGGGAGTGCACCTCTGCTCGATGGGCGTAACCTTGGCCGAGGGCACACGTGCTTTACCACTAAGAGTTGGAAGAGGGTTAGCGCCCCCCTCTCTTTCTTTTTGGTGTCACTTGATAAAGGTCGTACCTGCTCGTTTTTCGGGGGGAATTGCAGACATCGCACCAAGTGATGTAAGGCCCGTTGAGGAAGGTGCATCGGCTGCAGGGCCACTCTTGCGCCTCCATGTTCGTTCCGCTTTCGCAGTGACCAACCCTGTTTTAATTCCCACAACACGTAACCAAGGGTCCCTCGAGCGATTGTTTTTAACTCCGCAGAGTGGCGAAGGCTGCTAGCTTCAGTGGTGTAGTTTCGGAAATGGTCGCCAGTTCGTCGTGGTCACCGAAGGCGGTTGCTGCGGAGAGGTCGAGTGGCTTGTCTTTGTCTTCGACTTTCTCGACGCCCAGCCACGAGCACAGGAGGAAGATGAGCGGCGCGCAAACGGCGACGATGAGCAGCGAGTAGCCTGAGAAGGCCCACCGTATCGAGGTCCGTGCGATGACCACCGGACCGGCGTTGAGCACCACGAAGCCGCTCAGGCTCGAAAACGAGCTGATGCACGCCTGCACACTGGCCGCGCTCTGTGGCCTGGACGCGTCGGCGCAATGGGGTGGGGTATGAGGAGTGTGATGAGTACCATCGCTGCTCCGCTTTACCTCAAAGAGCGTACCGTTGCTCGACGGCAAAGGTGGAAAAGCCGGTGCGGGTGAAGGTTAGCAGGAAGCCCACTAGAGCGACGGATGCCATTGACAACCAGTAGGACCACTCAACTGGACACACACACGTACAGTAGTGAGGTGGTTGCATGCAAGAGAGGGTCCCTACTGTGATGAGCAAATGCGTACTTGTGAACGCGAACATCATGAGTGCTCCGATGGTGCACAGAGCTCCGAAGAGTGACGGTATGAGCCGACCGCCCAGGCCCTTGACGCGGAAGCACGCATCGGCTGCCTGCACCAGTGTGCGCCATCTGAGTGAGATTCCATGATGGTGCCATAAAAAGGGGGGGTAGGCATGAAGTGTGAGGAGGCCTCCGAGAGCGGGAATGCCGGACCTTGCCACCCAGGAGGGTGCCCAAGACGGTGGCCAGGCCAAACGGGACGTAGGCCAGCCCGATCTCTGAGTCAGTCAGCCCGTACAGGCTTTTCATTTGGATCTGATGACCCAAGGCACGCACAACGCATACAAACAATACCACATGTCAATCGCGTATAAAATGCACATGCTCTTGTTGGCAGTGGATAAGTCAAGTGTACTGGAAAAATGAAGAGAATGAGAAGCATGCATCCGCCCACCGCACCACCCAATAGGAACTGGCAAGAAATGGTTCAGTTCAAGTTTGCACGCATGGCCACAAAGCGAAAATGGTGGTACCTACCAGGACGAGAAGCGAGGGATCAAGGAAGAGCTTGAGGGCGTGAATTGGGTTGGCCGAGCGCCGAGGTCCTGATATTGGCAGCGTTTCGGGCAGGAAGAACACCATCTGCGCAACACGTCGTATATACAAGAATGCACCGAAACGCGTCGCAGATGTTAGAGTCACTTACACTGTGTTCACATGGGAGATGACCGGTACAAGGATCATAAGTAGGCCAGCCGCGACGGCCATAGACCCGAAGATTGCGCGCCAGCCGAAGTACTGACCCACGAATCCTGCGAACAGCCGGCGCACGGGGCCACGTCATACACACGACCGGCCCAAAAGGTGACAGTGCTGGCATAGTCACTGGGTGCGTACCACCGAGCGCAGGTCCCACCACTGCTCCTGTGAGCGCCATCGCCGAGTACCAACCCTGCGTGTCGAATTCGAAACCGGGTTGGCTTGTGTCGCCTGATGAGTGTGAGTCGTAGCGGATAGCTCGTACCATGGCGTTGCCGCGGATGGCGGGGGGATAGACGTCGGCCAGTGAGCCAGCGCCGACCACGCCGGCGGCCGATAGTCCCAAAGACTGGAACACTCGGCCACCAATGAGCAGCTCTACATTCCATGCATACCTGCTCACCGGCACAATGCTCAGCCCCCGCTTGCGCTCATGAGGAAGGCTGTGGCCAGCGTACGCTGAGAAGGCGCCAGCGGCGCAGAAGATGGCAAATCCAACGAGGAGCACAGCTCGCCGGCCGTGTCGGTCGCTGAGCGGACCCCACCACATGGGAAACAGCGCTGGCCCACACACAGTCACCGAGTTATAGCTCCAATCACTTGGGTTGATGCCATCATCAGCCGGCAAGCATAACAGCGGCGCGCGTACCCCTGCCGAGGGCATAGACTGAGAGGGTCCAGGCCACCATCTCCTCGCTGGTGTCCAGGTCGCGGATCACCTGTGTGAACCGACACGCACTGATGTCAGCAGACCTGCCGGCGGTGGCCTTTCGGAAATAAAGGGCGGTGTTACCTCGTTGATGGTGGGCAGGTACATGGTCTGGGTCACTGCCGGTAGCAGACCGGCACAGGCCACCAATACCAGCACACGTTGCCGGACAGGCTCCCACCGCGCATAAAGCTGACGGGGGCAAAAGATCAGCCACCAACACAGGCAAAAAGAAAAGGAAAATGCTGCAGAACAGGTGCATGGCAGGTACGTCTTGTTCCTCGTCGTTCTCTTTCATGCCAGGTGACAATGAGAAAAAAGAAACAAAAGAACAGGTTTTGTTTTCTCTTGTCCAGGTCTCTGTTTTTTCTGCGGCAGCTTTGATTTCTGGTTGGTCTGTAAGGCTTCGGCTATTGCTGTTGCATCGAAAGGCGTATGTCATCGGCTAGGCGCGACGTGCACGACGACCTGTTTCAATGGTGTTGTCTCGGACAGCACCAGCTCGTCGCTGGAGCTGCCGCTACCGCTGCTATTGGACTTGCCCATGTCCTCGACCTTGTAGATGCCGGTCCAGGAGCACAGGAGGAAGAAGAGCGGCACGCAGATGGCGACGATGAGCAGCGAGTAGCCGGAGAAGGCCCACCGGATCGACGTCTTCTCGATGATGATCGGACCCGCATTGAGCACCACGAAGCCGCACAGGTTGTGGAACGAATAGAAGCACGCCTGCACGCTGGCCGCTCCTCGGGGCCTGGAAACGACACCCGGTGAGCGACACACGCACACTGCACGACACACAACTCCAACGAGCTGTGTACCTCTGCTCGATCGCGAAGGTGGTGAAGCCTGGTCGCGTGAAGGTGAGGAAGAAGCCCACCATGAAGAGCGAGACCATGCACAGCCAAAACGTCCACTCGACTGTTGTCGATAGAAACAAAGCAACCAAGCAATACGTGTGAGAGGTGTTGCGCCGGATTGGGTTGCATTGCGGGTTGCGTACTCGTCCATGCAAAGACCATGAGGGCCGCGATCATGCCCAACGCGCCGAGCAGTGCCGGCACGAGTCGCCCGCCCAGGCCTTTGTACCGAAAGCACAGATCGGCCGCCTGCGATGCCAAGAAGACCGAGAGCGTGAGTCTCACGCAGGAATGCTAGGAATGCTTAGGCCAAAAATGGGGGTGAGGTGAGGAGGGACAGACCTTGCCGCCCAAAAGGGTGCCCAGGACGGTGCCCAGGCCGAATGGCACGTAGGCCAGTCCGATCTCGAAGTCGTTCAAGCCGTAGAGGTTGTTCATTTGAATCTATTTCGCGCGCATACAAGTCAGCTCCGTGGTCATGATCGCAATCGATCACCATCATGATCTGATGCTCGCAAGCTTGGAAATCGTACCGGAAAGATGAAGAGAATGAGAAGCATACAGCCGCCTACAGCTCCTCCCAGGACGAACTGCGGTTGGCCACACGGTGAGAGTAATAAGTGTGTGAGACCGTGAAGGCAGCCAGCTGATGAGGGGCTTAGCGGGCTCGAGCGCGTAAATGTACCAAGACGAGGAGTGGAGGGTGGAGGAAGAACTTGAGAGTGTGGATCGGGTTGGCCGATCGCTTTGGGCCGGACTTGTTGAGGGTCTCGGGAAGAAAGAAGAAAATCTGCACACGGTCATCATGCGCCAGTCAGTGAGCAATCCAAAGAGGGTGCCGGGGTAAAGGCTCCTTTAAGGATGAGGCGCCATACAACGACGATCAAGGTGGCAGCGGCGATGGCCAACGACCAGAAAATGGCTCGCCACCCAAAGAATTCGCCCACAAACCCTGAACGCGGAGCGGAACGCGGTTCGCACAACAAAGGGGATTGATCAGCAACGGCGCTCACCGGGGGAGGGGGGTTGGAGGACGTACCGCCCAGGACCGGACCGATGACGGTGCCCATCAAAACGGTGGCCGTGTACCATCCCTGGGATGACGACGCGAGAATGTGACGCACGGATCACACGGGCGCCAAAGGGCGGTGAATGCGAGCGTACCATGGCATTGCCGCGGATGGCAGGAGGATAGACGTCGGCCAGCGAGCCCGCACCGACCACGCCGGCGGCCGACAGGCCAAGCGATTGAACGATTCGCCCAAAAATGAGTGCGTACACGCTCCACGCACAACTGCCCAGCCCCCGCGCGAATGTAGGTGAGTACATGACGTGAGCGCACGTGTTCAGTTTTCAGAGGGCTAAGTAAGTACGCAGAGAAAGCGGCAGCGGCAAAGAAGATAGAGAGACAGGCCAGGAGCACGGTTCGGCGACCGTATCGGTCGCTGATCGAGCCCCACGACATGGGGAAAAGGGCTGCGCAACAACGCGGACAGACCTGTGAGTGGGCCGACAAGCGCACATGGACTGGCCAGGAGAAAAACGTGCTAACGCACCATTGCCAAGAGCAAAGATGGAGAGTGTCCAGGCCACCATCTCTTGGTTGGTGTTCAAGTCTTTGATCACCTGGTTGGTTGAAGCAGTTAGCACCATCACTACACACAGGACACACGACGCAAACGCGGAGGAATGTGTACCTCGTTGATGGTGGGCAGGTACATGGTCTGTGTGATGGGTGGCAGGAGTGCGGGGATGGCCACGAGCAGCAGAATTCGCTGCCTCGCGGAGACCCACTGCTCGTAGGGGTCCTGCATTGTTGGCCACGAGCGAGAGAAAGAAGGGTGAGCCAAACGCCACGTGGCGTTGGGTTTCGGAGCTAAACAGATTAAATCGGAAGCGATTTAGTTTGGATGAAGAAGTTGAATCTCTCTGCAATCTCTTGACAAAGCAAAGGAAACGTCGTGGGCTGTGCGTAAACTGGTGTACCTGAATCTCGAGCACTCGCTCCTCTGTGTAGATTGGCACTGCAGGCTTTTGCTTGGGTGGGGCGTCTTCATCGGGGTCGTCTGGCATGACCTTCAGCGTCGGGGCCTCTTCGAGGTCCATCCAGGCGGATGTTTTCTTCTTGCTGCAGCGTTTGTTGTGTTTCTTTTTCCGGCTGAGCTTGGCCATGTTTGCGTGTCGGCGCCAACCTAAACCGAACGAATTTTTAGTATCTAGTGGAAAAAATCTCAACAATCTCACCCTAAAGAGACCCAAATATTTGAAATACTAATTGCTACACTCTTTTTCGAGGAGGGACGCACAAAAGGTCCGGCTATGGAAGTTCGTGGAACGTAACGAAGTCCGCACCTGCGGGTTGTGTGGCTTCTGCTTCTGTGGCGGTCCGCCGGGTCTCTCCGATCAGTCCGCCCCGCAAAAGAATGAAGCACTACGCCGCCCTCCCAGCTGAGCGTACGGGTTCGGAAGACGTTGTTATCTCGCGAAGGAGAGAATAACACTGCTGCCGTAGTGGTCTCCGAAAGAGAATACCCTTCACTTACTCCGGGGAGCGAGGTGAAGTAGTTCGGACCACCAGTGCCCAATACCTCCGGAGAAAGAACCGCCAATCTGAGAACAAGAAGCCGGGCCAAGCCGAAGGAGCCCAGGGGCCGCGTCCCTTACGTATCGATCCCGGACCATACGGGTCGTCTCAACGGTTAGGCAAGACCGGACCACCAGTTCGTCTTGGATCAGTTTCGCTCTCTTCGTTCTTCTGGCGGAGTTCAGGCCACCAAAGAAGGAGCTGAAGGGTGCGAGCAAAGGTGTGGGAAGACTCAAAAATGTATTTACATGCGATCAAGTCGCGTACAGTACCACGAGGGCTGACTCTCTAATCCTCGCTAGGTTGGTCGAATAAATATTTGTACACTCGGTGTGGCGGGCGGCGGTCGCAACTCCCCCTTCTGGGAGAGAGGAGCCCCTTTCGAATTCGTCGAGCGCTGTCGGCCGTCGTAGTCGGTGACACGTTGCGCGCGCGGTGGCAGTTGTGGTGCTTCTTCGTCGCTCTCGAGAGAAGACCGGTTGGTGGTGAATGGTGGTAGGCCGCTAGACGCGCTTGGCGGACATCTGGGCGAGGAGGAACTGGGGGAAGTCCTCGGGCGCGAGGCTGAGGGAGTAGTTGAGGCCGGCGAGGAAGGTGCGCTCGAGCGCGTTGACCTGCTTGACGGTGAGGCTGAGCACGTCGGCGAAGAGGCGGTTGGCGTGGCGGTTGCGCTCCTCGAGCCAGTGCTTGATCGTGCAGAGCGACGAGACGGCGAGCAGGTGGAAGAGCGGGATGTCCTTGAGGCCGCGGGCGCGCACGTAGCGATCGGCGTACATGAGCGTCGCGAGCAGCAGCTCGTAGTTGCGCTTCTGCCACTTCTTGGCCAGCTTGTCGACGCCCACGCGCGACGTGTCGGCCTTGAAGTTCTTCGAGAATAGGTTGGGGAACGACTCGATCTTGAAGCACTGCGAGTACGAGCTGAAGAAGTTGTTCAGCCGCCAGTTGAGGATCTGCACGATCATCTGCACCAGCGAGATGATCCACTTCTCGCGCTCCTCCTTGGTGAACGTCGCGTACGCCGTCTGGTCGTACAGCCGGATCCACTCCGACACCAGATTGACGATGGCGCCCAGGCTCTCCTTCGAGAAGTACAGATCGTACACGTGGAGCTCGCTCTGCTGGCCCGACGCGGCGGTGATGTTCTGCTTGAGCTGCTGCTGCTCGGCGGCCTGGTGCTGCGCGAGCACCTCGCTCACGGCGGCCTTGATGTGCCCACTCTCGATGACCTCGTCGTCGTCGACCACCACGATGGGCGCCGCGGCGGTGCCCACGATGGCGGCCGTGGCCGTGGCCGCGGGTGAGCTACTGCGCTTCATGGTGATGCGCACGCGGCGCTCGCTGCGCTTGGCGCGCTCCTTCTCCTCGCGCACGCGGGGCTCGGCGACGACGTGCTGCGGCTGCTGGACCTCGGCCACGACGATGCGTCGTCGCTTGGTGTCAACCGGCTGGGGCAGCTGCTGCTGGGCGTGGTGGGCGAGCATGGCCGCAGCGACGGGGACGGCGGCTTCGAGGGACTGCCTCTTGCGCTTCCGAATTTCGTTGGCCAGGAGGACCGTGCGCATACTTCGGTCACGGTCGCTCTCCTGAAAGAAGAAGAAGAAAAGCGAAGACAAAAAAGAACGAAGGGGTTAGCCCACAATCTTTTTCATAATTAAGTGTATGGCTCTATTATTTATTTATAACATAAACAATATTATTAACGTAATACAAAACAACCGAGGGTAATACAAAAACTTTTTATAAAATATGTGTAATTGACTTCTACTCTAGAATGGAGGAGGCCTCCTAGGAAGAAAGGCGACGTCGTACCATGGTGTGGTGGGCGCAGTGGAAGCAGTGTTCGACCTGCATGGTGGCCATTTGGTCTGTGTAGTGGTGGTCTGGGCGTTTGAACGAAGAGAAGCCTTTGGCGTCTTCCTTCGCTGGCTTGGCGTCGCGTGTGTTGTGTGCGGGTAGTTTCGGTGAGGTCGCTGGGCGGGCTTTCCAAGGAAACAACCACGGCGTCGAGCAACTGCCTGCAAAGGAGCCGCGGCGAGAAAGCTGGCGGTGAGGCCGAAGAAAACAACGGTGGGCGCGACTTCCGTGGGAACGTCCACAGGAAAAACACAGAAAGAACACGGTTGGTCGCCAGGAGAGGGTTGCTAGGTTTTGATTGTCGACATGAATTATTTTAAAAGAATAAAGAGAGAAAAGCGAAAAAATGAAGAGGGAGATGGAGACAGAAATTCCCGCGTCGAGGCGACATTGGCACACGCGCAAAGATCGAACCAACAAAAAAATGTGGTGATGATTCGAGCGAATAATAGTAAAAGAAGGAGAGGTGAAGAAGATGGGTCAGTGAGAGGTACCTGGAAGTTAAGCTGAAGCGGGAAGCAGGTCGATGGGTGGCTGTGGGTTGGAGTGGTAGGAGAGGCGCCTCTCCTGTACTGGTGGAGAAGAACTAACGCTGCTGTCTGTGGCGCCGCGTTGCGTTTTATAACACGCGGAGTGTCACCACACGGAGAGAGCACGCAGCGGGCGAGATGACGCTGGCGTTGAGTGCTGTGGGTGGTCGGGAGTGGGCTTAGACGGCGAACCAACCGGTTTTCCAGTCAGTTTATGTGGCTTACACCGCCCCGCCACTGTTCCTCGCACTGTCTGCCAACCCACCGCGACACCGTGCCATGCCCGCGGTCGCACGAAATGCCAGAAGCCGTGGCATCGGGCAGCAGCGGAGCCTCGGATCGGGGGAAAGGAAAAGGAGGAGCCGCGGGTGCACGGGAGACGAAAGGAGTTGCGTAGCAGCAGATCACGCCATTCATCGCTATTCGCCGACCCGCCAATTTCATCGAATTCGGGACAAAGCACCGGGAATTCGTGTTTGTTCCGAAATTCGGATGAACTTTGGCATTCGTTCGCACAGTGGTTGCTTCCCCGCAAGAACACGAAAGACGACAGCAAAGCGACGGAGACGAAGCAAAGAGTCAGGCCTAGATTCCGCTTGAGTACGGCTCGTTGTTCTCTCTTTGATGCTAGCGGGAGCAATCAAGCTAGTCGCTAGAGCTCGGCGTGTTGTTGAAGGATCTCGAGGAGAGCTCAAGTGCACGTGAGGAGCACTCACCTCCACTCAAGAGTCACGCTGTACAGGGAAGGACGAATGTTCGGGAGGCTTGGACCGAAGAGAACTCGCGCGCGCTGCGTTCACTCCAGCGCGTACATGGACCCGGCGGCGATGTCATTGAACTGAGCGTTGAGGTTGGTCTTGAGCGCAAGCAGCTCGTCGCTGTCTACGATGGGCACCGGCTTCCACGGCGGCATCACCTTGTGCTGCTCGCGTGCCACCGCAGTGGGACGCTGCACAGGGACACACCAACGCACCGCAGGGCGAAAAGCGATGAGAACGGATGACGTGCTGTTGCTGTAAAGAACGCGTGGACATACAGAGGAAGAAGGGAGGTCCGGCTCTCAACATACCCACTTGAAGAATCCCAGGGCCTTGGTGATCGAGGTGGGGTTCACCTCGCTGAACAGTCGCTCGCTCTCGTCCACGCTCTCCTCCATCTGCACCACCGAGTTATTTACAGCCTGCACGAAGGTCTGTGCGTTGGCGCGGCGAGAGGTGGCGTGTGGCGGCACACAGACGAAGGCACGGGTGAGTTTCGACCCGCAAAGGGCGAGCGCAAAGCGCAAGAGGGAGAGGGCGAGAACCTCGAGCTTCTCTATCATGTAGAAGATGGCCTCCAACTGTTTCGTTTTCACGGCCAGCAGCGGCAGCACGGCGTCTGCCGTTGCGTTGATCTCTGGGCTCGTCTGTCCCTCCAGATGAGACAGGAGGAGATGCCAGCAGCATAGGTGGAGGTGGCGGTGGCGTACCGTGTTGACCAGCGCATCGAGCTCTGCCAGCCGGGTGAGCATCGACTCAATTGTTCGTTCGATCGATTGCATCTACCCGGGAAGGGGTGAGACGTAATGCGTAATGTAAAAAGTATAAGAATGTTTGCCAGGTGTACCTCAGCTTTGGCCCTTTCGGGCATCTCTATGTACCTGGCATAATCGGCAGCAAATTTGTTGAGCTGCTCGTCCCGTTCGAACGGGTCCACGTAGACCTCAGCCACTTCCTTCGCCCCCTTGCCTTTCGCCTGCTGTTGCTGGTCGGCCATCTGATTTTAATGTTTTAATGTTTGATTTTAATTTAGACTCTCTTTTCCCTGTTTCTTGGCCAGGACAAACAAAAAGGAAATGAGGCCAACAAGACTTTGCGTGGGCGGAGTCGTTGGCCGACCCTCACCACGTCACAGGTAGAGAGGACAGATCTTCCAAACGCCTACAAACACTAAACAGCTTGCACACGAACCCACGATGAGTGATTCCAACATGGGAGACAACACGCAGCCAAATGCCGAGATGCTTGCCAACATGATGCGCATCTTTCAGATGATGGGCGCCGGACCTGGCGGCATGCCCTTGTACAGTTCTCCCGCCACACTTGCCCCAGTTCCAGTTGCAATGATATTTATGATTTATTATTTATTTACTTTTATCTTTATATTTTAAATACAACAACAGCCCGAGAACGGACAAGCCACCAGCGTCGCAGCTGGCCATCAGCGAGCTGGAGGACGTGGAAATCGACCAGCGTCTCCTCGACAAGGGCGTCACCCAATGCGCCATCTGCACAGGTACCTCCTCGCCTGCCTCCTCCTCCGAGAGGTTTGAGCGTCGCGGTCTGTTCTCTCGAATCGTCATTGACCACTTCCTCCACACAACACTCACCACAGAGGACTTCAAGCTGAAGCAGGACGCGAAGAAGATGCCTTGCAAGCACATCTTCCACGACATGTGCCTCTTGCCCTGGCTGAACAAGGTGCAACATCCCGCGCTCTTATCGTGTCGTGTCTACGTGTCTCACCACGCTGGTGTCGTGTTGCCTCGTGTGTGTCGTGTGTCGTGTGCGGTGCGTGTCGCGTAGAACTGCACGTGTCCGATGTGTCGTTTCGAGCTGCCCACGCTCGACGCCGACTACGAGGACAACAAGCGAGGCCGGGGTCCGCTCAACCCGTGGGACGACGAGGACGGTGGTGACAACGACCGCTCGTCGAACGCAGGCAGCAGCTCCTACAACCACATGTTCCTCTGAGGCCTTACCCACCAGCCAGCCATTTGTACATAAGCCCCGAATAGCTCGCTTCTTCGAAGAGACACGACCCATACCCGTTCGCTACTGCCGCTATGTTCAAGAGTGGTGCAGTTCATGTGCACTCGCTCGTTCATCTGACTTTGACGATCGTCGTCTGTGACGTGAGGCACGCGTTTGGTGGGGTGTTTACATCTCGCCGAAGACCTTCTCCATCTTGCCGGGCAACTGGAGCATCCGGTCGGCGGACGCGTTGACGAAGGCCGCGGGGATGTTGCCCGCCGGGTTCACGTGAATGACACGCGTGATCTTGGTCTTGTTGTCACCTGCACACACATAGATATGACCACGCAATCAGACATCTACCGCCGATGCACAGCGCGGGCAGCGGGAGAACGGTACCCTCGGGAGCGAAGGCGATCAGCGAGAATGTGAGCGTGGCACGCACGTACTTATCCTTGTACTCGGGCACCTGGTCACCACCATCATCATGGTCGTGAGGCGTTAGTTTGTCTGCACACCGCTCTCGGCAAGAGCAACATCTTCGCGAAGGCGGGGACGAAGCCCAACGAAAAAGAACCAACCTTGGGGTTGTCGATGGAGGTGGCCACGAAGTAGAAGACGCCGTCCTCCTCGCTGCGTCGCCACAACACGCTCACATCACTGCGCACAGGGGAAAAATAATTCAGATTGTAAAAAATGAAAATGAAAATGATAGGTCCGCGGTGAGTCGTGTACCGCTGCCAGAGGGGCCAGGGGATCTTGTTGAGCTGGTACACCAGCCGCAGGTCGTCGCCCTCCTGCGTAACAACGCAAACGACGACGACGACAACAGCAAGGAGTGGGAGGCATGAGCACCGGGGCAGTGCGAGAGGAGGACCGCGATCGGAGTGGTACCTCTACGACGTTGAACAGCTCGCAGTCGGAGTCCATCTTTTGCCACTCGGTCTGACGGAAGTTCCACAGCTTGTCGCCGCACTCTTTCGCGGGCCTGTTATTATTATTATTATTATTATTTTACTATTATTTAGAAAAGAAAAAATAAATATTGTGTTTGTTTTGGTTGCTCTGGATGAAGGCTCCGGTGCACGCGTGCAAAAGCGAACGAAAGCGGCGACAAAAGAGAAGAGGAAAAGGGGCGAACCGGTTGATGATGCCCTCGACCTTAAAGGCCTTGATGGGCTCGCCCGGTAGCTCCCTCTCCTCGAGGGTGCACCCTTCGCCCTGCTTCCTCGGGGTCCATCCTGAAGATGGTGTAAGCATCAAAAAGAATATAAATATAAATAAAAAGAATAAAATTGATTTCAATCAAATCGACACAACGCACCAAGCTCGGAGCACCCGGGGAGTAACGAAAATGAACTCAAATAAAGCGATGGAAAAGAAGCATCGGTTGGGTTGACGAGTTCAGATGGGACGCACCGTTGTCCGAAAGAAGCTGCTTGGTCTGCTCGAAAGCCTTCTCGGCGGCAGCAGCGTAGGCGGACAAGTCAGTCATGTTGTGTGTTTAGGTGTGGCTAAAAGCTGTTTTTCTCCCTCTGCGTTTTGTGTGCCTTTTGCGGTCCGCCTTAGGCCTTCCGACCAATCGCCTCTTCGGCAATTGTGCGCAAATCGTGCACCTCCAGACCGGAGTGGGCGTCCGTCACGCGTTTGGCCACGCCGGCGGTGTTGGCCGCAGGCCTACCAGAGAGGGGGATAAACGAACTCCGTGCAAATGAGTTCATTCGATGGGAGCGCTCCGTATGGTGTCCTCCCGGTCACTCCGAGTCCATTTCTTCTGCATTCGCTCCCCTCCTGCCAATGACGGCTGTTTCTCTACTTTATCTTATTTCTCTCCCCATCTCCGAAGCCAATGACCGACAACTTCACTTCAATCTGTCCCTCATAGAATCAAACACACCTCCGCGAACACAACCATCTCATCACAAACCCACCACAAACACACAACCCAAGCCAAGCCATGACCACCTCCGGAGCCTTCGTGTGCCTCGTCCTCCTCCTCGTGGCCGCCAGCTGCACCACCAGCTCGGTCTCGGCCGCGCCCACGGCCAACTCGCAGGGCATCGTCGACTGCTTCGCCCAGATCTTGGCCGCGTCGCTGACCCGCCTCAGCCTCAACAACGACTACGTGTGCACCCTCTCGAAAAACGGCGTTCTGCTGGCCAACGGCGACATGGGCACCGACGCCTTCAACGCCTTCGGCCCCAACCACGGCTTCCCGCTGCTCCAATCGGAAGACGCGGCCTTCTTCGAGTCCTATTATGGGACGCCCACCGACGGCTTCGTGGCCGTGGCGCGGGTCAACATCACCAGCAACAGCGGCATCGGCTACTACATGACCAACGCGACCCAGCGCGTGTCCTACTTCCTCGATGAGTTCGGCCAGCTGACCGGGGAGCTCAACGCCGTCCAGGAGTATGTGCCCACGTCGCGCATCTGGTACCAGGGCGCGCTCAACTCGACGTCCGGCTCCTACGTGACGGCCACCCCCTATCGGTTCTCGCTCAACAGCCTGCGCGTGACGGCCTCGCGCCAGTGCATCTCCACCCCGAGGACGCGCGACCTCCAGGTGATCGCCGGCGCCGACATCACCCTCGATGTGCTGAGCGAGGTGGCCCTCACGAGCGCCAAGTGCCCGCTGTTCAACGCGGCCCAGGGCGTCGTCTTCGTGGTCAACGCCGACGGCGTGCTGCTCATGCAGAACGGCGCGGGCGTGACGGGCGTGGCTGAGGCGACGGCCTCGGCCGGCCTCGTGGGCGCCGCCGCGCGGCATGCCAAGACCCAGAACGGCGCCGACTGGTACGGCCAGGCCGTGGCCGCGACCTTCACCTACGCCGACAACGAGTACGAGGTGGTGACCTACCCGGTCAGCTCCAGCCTCACCGCGTCGGTGGACATCAGCGCCTGGGGCTGGACGGTGGTCTCGGTCCAGCGCACCTCGGGCCTGTGCGGCACCAGCTCGGCCGCCTCCTCCCTCCTCCCCTTCCGTTTCTTCATGTAAATGACAAAGAACAACAAAAACAAAACAACAGAATACAAAGTTACATACATGTTTGAGTGATTGTTTGTTTGGTTCGTTGGTGTACACGCGCCGATAAAAAGTACTCGTTTTGCTCAGTCCGAGTCGTCGCTTGAGGCTTCCTCTTCCTCTTCTTCGTCCTCGTCTTCCTCGTCGCTCGAGCTCTTGGCCTGTTTGGCCCGCGCGTCGTCGTACTCGTGCAGTACTACGGCCGACGGGTGACGCCGCAGCTGCAGAGGCAGCGCCGGGTCCGAAGTCGCCGTGGCCGACCCCTTGAGCCGCCGCGTGAGGGAGAACAGGTTGTGCTCCGTGTTGCGGCGCCGCAGCAGGAAGTTCTGGACGTAGTGCAGGTTGGTGCTATCGACCTGGTCGCTCACCTCTTCTTCTTCTTCGTCGTCCTCCTCTTCTTGCTCGCCATCGTCGATGTCGGTCTCCTCTTCGCCTTCGCCCTCCTCCACGACGCCCTTGACCCCGGCCTCCGCCAGGCGCACCTTCTGCTCCTCTGCGGCCGTTGTCTCGTCGTTGCCGCCGTTCCCCTCGTCGTCGCTATTGGCCTCGCGCTCGCAAGGAGCCGGCCGGGTCCCGACGTCGCTGCGCGTGAGAGGCGTGCCGCTGTCGGCAGTGATTGTGGTAGCCGCGGATTCGCTTGCGGTGATGCTCGGCCGGTGGGCGAGCCGGGCCGGCGGCGTGCGCGGGGCCGGAGCCGCGGCTGCGGCCGCCGCCTTCGCGGTGGCGATCTGGGACAGGAGGCTGCCACCGTCGGTGGCCATCCGGCGGAGCTCGCGGTGGGTAACGGAGCCCTTGGAGAGGCGCGCCCGGGCCACGCGCACCCGCTTCATCGAGTCCCTGAGCTGGTGGATCTCGCTGATCCGCAGCTGACGCACCATATCCACCGCCTTCGTCCGGTCATCTGCGCCCGTGCCGTCAGCAAACCGCGTGTGCGGTGGTGCGTGTGTCAAGAGCGTACCGATGATGGCCTTGGAGCCCACCTGCTGGGCCACGGTGAGGACATCGAGAATGTGCTGCGAGTTACATGCCTGTCGCTTGGGTGAGAGGACCATGTCGGCGGACGAGGACGATCGCTGCCTGGTCAGCACCGGACTAAGCGGCGCCGGCAGCTCCTCTTCGCCGCTGCCGCTGGCCTTAGCAGTGCTGTGCCCGGAGCCCTTGTGCGAACTCCCGGCAGCGTCCGCCGATTTCTCGGGTCTGCTGTCGGCTTGGCCGAGGCGTGACTTCATCAGCTGCTGCCATGGCGGCTGCGCTGCCTCGCCCACCTCCGTCGACGAGAAGCTCCTGTCGCATTGATTGATCGATAGCACACATGAGATGAGTGGACCAACCGAGAATAGGGTGGGTGGGTGTGGGGTCTTCGCACCTCTTCCGGAACATAACGCTGGCCAGTTGAGGACCGCCGGGCTTGGCGAGCGGAAGCTCCGTCTGCTCCTCCAAAATCTGTGATGTTCAAAACAGGGGTCAGACGCTAGGTGCGTGTGCGGTGTGTGCGGTGGTGCGTGTGCGATGGTCTAGTACCTGCTCCAACGACAGCTCGTTGACCAGAGGCCGGCGCTGGTTGTCGCCTGCAGCCTCGGTGCCTCGCTCGGCCTCCAGCCGACCCAGCACCAGCTTGGGCACGAAGTCCGGCCGAGGGGGCGATACGGCGGCGGCCGCTACAACTGCGGAGTCGGCTACGTCGGAATCCGGCAGCCGGAACGACCGGCTCGCCGCCGCTGGCGCGGTCGTGCTGCTCCCAGTGCCGCCGCTACCGCCGAGGTCGCGCTCGAAGCGGAACGGCGTCACGGGAGAGTTGGCGAGCGAGTCGGGGTTGGACGGCACGGGCGAGGAGTCGGCCGACCGCAGCTGGCTCCGCGGCAACATCGGCGCCGTCGACCCGCGTACCTGGCGTTGGCGTGGAAGGGCCGGCTCTGTCGCGTTGCCTGCAACAATACATTCAATTTTACATTAAAAAATTGAAAAATCAAACAATAAAAGTAAATGGATAAATAAGTAATGTATAAATCTATAAAAAAGAAGTCAGCAAGGGGAGGTAATTACTTGGTGGAGGCGGGGTCATGATGTCGGCCAGGGTGATCTCTCGCTTGGGAGGCGAGTAGCTGCGGCTGATGTCGGGACTCGAGGCCGACAGGCCCGACCGAAGCCCGGAGGAGGAGCGTGAGCGAGTCGGCGGGGAGGTGGCGGGAGAGGAAGGGGTCGACGACGAGCCGCCGACGAGCGCCGGCGCAGAGTAGGCGGCGCTGTTCTCCTTGGCCTTGTTCTCCTCCATCTCCTTGAGGATCTGCGAGCGGTGATGGTCCCGCAGCTCCTCCACCTTCTCCCGCGTGATGCCGCCAAAGTCGTTCCGTGCAGTCTACACCACAAATCACAGTGCACAAAGAGTTGAAGAGTTTGAGAGGGCAGCGCTCCAGTAGAAGAGGGCGACTTCGGGGTACGCGTACGGAGAGCAGAACTTCGCAATCGACAGATGGTCGCTTAAGCACGTTACACACGTGGAAGCCATCCACCTGGTCCAGGAGCTCGTCCTGCTGGAGCTTGAGCACGGCCAACGCGACTTTGAACAGAAACGTGGTTTCGTAGCCCTCGTAGAAGAAGTGATCGAGTATCCGCAGTCCCACCTGCAAACGCACGCAAATTTTAACACCACGCGCACACGACACGACACGACACACACTCACCACCGCACAAGTAGCTACGTGACGTTGCATTGCATACCTCCATGGGCACGTAGCCGATGAACAGGCACACGAACCAGGGGAAGCTGACGAGGGCCAGCGGGAGGTCGATGCTGGAGAGGTGGGCGTCGATCTCGGGCAGATGCTCCTCTACCAGATCCTCGAACACGTGCTGGTCCGTGATCGAACCGATCATGTCTGGATGGCCGGTGGCCGGGCGACCAAGGCACATTGAGCCGATCTGATACAGTGCCGCAGTGAGAAAGGGGAAGGTACCCGGTGTCCAGTACTGTGGGAGATACTCCTCGCACAGCATGCGCAACATCCAGAAGGCCTCCTCCTCGCCCATGTACAGCAGCAGCAGTGCACAAATTATGTTCTGGCGCCGCACACAAGTTGTTAGCATCGTACAAGGCTGTGCGTGTGTGTGTGTCGTGTTGAAGTACGAACCATCGACTGGCAGTAGCCAATAATTTGATTCCGCCACGAGTATGCGGTGAGAACTCGCTGCAGCGCGTCTCTTCCAGCTTTGGTCTGAAAATAGGGATGGTCCGGGAACGATCTGTGCACATCCTGTTGGGTTGCGCTGCGTTTAGTAATTCGCCGCCGAGCCTTCTTGAATTCGCGTTTTGTGATGTGTGTGGCGTACTCGTGCGATCTCCGAGATGGCCAGCGACTGTTTGCCGTGAAAGATTTTGAGAATGTTTTGGTACTCGCCTCGCTTACAGTTGAAGCAGTAGATTGACCCCAGGAATCGCTGCCATAACATTCCTGTCCGAGGATACCACCGTCGCATGAGCGAATAGGGCGCTCACAGCGAGCCTGACGAGCCATACGAAACACGCGTACACAGCGGTGACCGTACCTCGATATTCGTCGGGAATGCCGCCAGCGACCAGCTCAGTGAGGTGGCTTGTTTGTATCATCTCTCCGCCCCATCCTGTTGTGTGGCGCTGTCAAGTCGGGCGCTCACACTACCCACAGCCAGGCCAGCAGTCGTACCGTTCTTGTTTATGTACTGGTCCCAGGTCTCCTTTTGCTTCTTCATGCGTTCCCGGTAGTCTGGTCGGAACTGTTCCCAGTTGTTGAGCGTCGACTGACCTGGCCCCACAAAGCTGGCCAACGCCAAGGTCACTCTTACCAGCCCCCGCGGGCATGCACTCACACACGCACGAATGATGCCGAGAGAGATCTAGCGCAGTACTTGTTGGCGAAAGGGGGAAGCGGCGGCGGATGCGGGAGGGACTCTTGAGACACGAGCCACCGGTTGCTGGACCACGTTGAATGGAGCAGCTCGTAGGCGTGTTTCCTTCGCGCCAAGAACGAGAACGAGAACTGAAGAGCAAACGCGGCATCGTCACTCCGAGTAGTTCAACGACGCACCGAACCCGTGCCGCGCACTATGGAGAGGTAGAGAGATCATCGTACCTTGTTCTTCAATGTTTGTATGAGTATGAGCCTGCCATCGACTAGCTTCACGTCCTGCACGTCCCGAAAGTTGATGACGACCGTGAAGACCTAAACACAACACAGAGCGCGTTAGGAAGAGTTGAGCTCAAATCTCTCTGTGAGTGTGGTGTGCGATTACCTCGTCATGATTCTCCGAATGAAAGCAAGCAAAATTGGGTGTGATAGAAAGGGATCCTTGATGGTAGAATGATGTCATCCACACCGTGGCCTGGTACTCTGTAACCCCACACTTGCGCCATTAGCTTTTCAACCACCCGAGGGGGCAATGCGACCATACGGTTAATGAGGTTCTCGTCAGTGGATAGGCGGAAGAGCTTGCGGTGAAGGTCGCGCTCGATCTTGGTCTGCAGCATCTCCTTGGTGAGCGAGCGCGTCTGCGACGTGAGCGTCATCGCGACGGTGATGAGCGGCGACGGCGGCGACGAGAATCGTGGCGAGACGGGTCCCGAGAACCGCGGTGACGGTCCGACGGGGATCGACGGCGATGGCAGTGCCGAACGTGAGACGGAGGCGTTGGTGTATGATGGACCGTCGATATCGAAGTCGGCCGTCACCTTGCGCGCCATGTTGTCCAACGTCATATGCCAAATCTCCTTCATCATCATCAGCGTTTGGTCTCGGTCCCTTAGCGTGAATATGAACTGGGATATGTGGTAGTGAGCAGGTGTAGTTTCGATACGTGTCTCCCACCCCACGACACACACACACACACACACACAACAACAACACACACACACAGCCGCACGCGTGACTCACCTCTCCGCCGCTGGTGGCCAGGTAGATAGCAGAGCCATTTTCGGCAGCTGTGCGCGCGAGCGAGGAGACCTCAACCCAGGGAATGATGAGCTTGGTGCCCCGGCCATAGAAGCACACGTGGCGACCCGACACGAACAGTCTTCCTTTCCGCTCCGACCGTCGCAGCAAAATGCAACGACAACCTGCGTGCGGCGTGTGCGGTGGTGCGGGTGCGGTTAGGGCGACGTTAAAAGCGCGAGTGTTGTGTAGTAGTGCGTACAGAGGGTGAGCTCTTCGTGGCGGGCCAGCTCGGCGAAGTACTGATGCCACGGGGCCTGCTTGGAGGCCTGGAGGACCTTGGTGGCGCGGTGGAGGTTGCGGAAGTGCTTGTCGCGCGAGAGGCCCTCAGGGTTGGGCCGGATGCCGTTGGCCAGCAGGATGAGGTCGTCCTTCTCTTTGCGCTGCTGCTCGCGCTGCTTGAGCGCCAGCCCGGCAAGCTTGGTGTGCAGGAAGCGCCGCAGCTCGCGCTCCTCTGCGCGCAAGGCCTGGTCGAACAGGCCCAGCTGCTGCGTGATCTGTTCTTCGAGGTACTTCCAGTGCTGGCGCACCTCGTCCTCCTTGTCGCCCACAGCCACTACCGCTGCGGCTAGCGGTCGCAGCTGATCCTCTTCCTCATCTCCAACGGCGAGTTCTGAAGGATGCTGCTGATGAATTCCTCCATCTCCATCATAATGATTATCGCGCGATTTGAGAATGATTCGGTAGAGGTAGGGATTCTTCTCGCCCCCGAGGGTCGTACGAAACGAGTTCATGACGCCCTGGAGCACTGTATGAGCGGCCTTGTGCTCCTGGAGCGCGAAGAATTCATTTTCTTCCAATGTCGTCCAGAGTAGCATCGACTGGACCGGCAGCAGGACCCACATGCCGGACCACCTTTTCTCTGTAGGTCCTCAAGTTCTTCTTTCCCCTACGTTCGGTCCAACTCGAGCTTCGTCTGCTCATTGGGGGGGGGGTGAAGTCTTGCAGCCTGAACAATGTGCGGAATGCGTAAATCTGGTGAAGTGCAGGAATGACTGAATGCGGATTGGCTACTACTGCACCTCTGGCCGTGCCCACAGGAGCAGCATTCCTGGAATTCTAATTAGCATTCTGGGCCGAAAATGCAGTTTTTAATTTTTATTATTAAATTGTGAAGAGATGGAGAACGCAGCACCAACTGAAGACGTGGCGGCAATCGCCAAGGTCGAGAACGTGGAAGAAAAAGAGGAGGAGATGCAGGCAGGTGCAACGGAGGAGAAAGTGGAAGAGGAAGAGGAAGATGAGGACGATTCGCCCAACAAGCATATCCTTGCCCACAAGACTGCCATCGTTAAAGTGTTTGCCACCACCCAGGCATGGGACCACGACTGTCCCTGGCAAGCCCTCAGGTAAAGCCCCACACGACAATGACCCCAACAAAATCTGCATTTTGATTCAGCCCAAAATCCTTGTCCATTTGCACAGCATCCAGACCGCGAGTGGCTCGGGCGTGGTCATCGCTGGCGGCAGAATTCTCACGGTGGCCCACGTTGTCGCCAACCAAACCTTCTGCCAGATCCAGCGGTGCGTGCCTCGGTCCATGTCTGCCGCTGTGCACGCACGGCTTGTTGGCCTGCTCACAATGCTTTCATTTCTCGGCCAACGTTGAACGAACCACAGGTGCGGCATTCCAGACAAGCACCAAGCCAAGGTCCTCTTCGTTAGCCATGAGTGCGATCTCGCCTTGCTCGAACCCGAGGACCCCAGCTTGTTCGCAGGTCACACTCCCTGGTGTGTTGGTAGTGCGTGTCGTGTCGTGTCGTGTCGTGTCGTGCGCATTGTGGCTCAGCGCTTATAATCCTCGGCCACACAGATATCACTCCGCTGGAGATGGGTGAGCTGCCGGACTTGAGGGACCAGGTGTACGTGTGCGGGTTCCCCGTGGGCGGCGATGAGATCAGCATTTCCGAGGGCGTCGTCTCCCGCATTGAAATCCAGGTCTTGCTCCCTCGCACAGTCCTGGTTTGGTTGGGTTTGTCACTGGCGTGTCCTGATGTTCCTCATTGCCGCGACTACTACAGGACTATCATCACGCCGAACGTAGGCTACTCAGTATCACAGTCGACGCAGCCGTGAATGCAGGCAACAGGCACGCGCGCCACGGCGAGGCCCTCTTTTCTCCCTGCATTCACACTCACTATTATTATTTATTATTGCAGTGGCGGTCCGTGCATCAAAGACGGCAAGATCGTAGGTAAGGGCAGCACGATGTGCGCAGACACGTGATATCGCACACACGGGGCACGCAACGCTCACCTCTGTGCGACCACCAAAAACAGGGCTGGCGTTTCAGGGGATGGACAACATCGACAACGTCGGCGAGGTCGTGCCCACGTTGGTCATCCATCACTTCCTCGAGGGCGTGAGGCGAGGTTGGTCCCCCGGCGCTTTCCTCAATCTCGGCCTACGCATTCCGCCTTCCCCCTCTCAATTTTCGGACCACCAGCACAGGAGGACGGTGTCAAGTACCAGGGCTTCCCAGCACTGGGCGTAGTCATTCAAGGCATTTTAAACCCGCTTCTCCGACAGAGCCTCGGTATGCAGGTACTGGCTATGGCACCCATCCCCTCGAGCAAGAGCTCTGAGGAAGAGCCTCAACCACTTCTTGCTGTTTCGTGTGGCACCGCATCAGGGGAAGGAGAGCGGGGTGCTGGTGACTAAGGTCATGTACGGCAACTCGGCGTACGGACACATCGAGGCGGGTGACGTCATTCTGGAGATCGATGGCGTGAAGGTCTTTAACAACGGCACCGTCTCCCTCAAGATCAACCCCACATCCAAACACAAATACAGGTACATCGCATGCACAATACGCACGCGCACGTCGCACGCGACTCACAATCATCACGCGCTTTGGCTGGCATGTCACTGCAGGACGTGGTACGGTATTCTGCTCCACTCGCGTCATGTGGGCGATGAGATATCACTGCTCGTCCGCCGGAAGAGCGCCGGCTACGCGCTGCAGTCGGTCAAGTTCCCGCTCCTGCCGCTGACCATGCTCGTGCCCACGCCCACCTACGACGTGCCGCCGTCGTATTTCCTCTACTGCGGGCTGCTCTTCCAGCCGCTGAGCAAGGACTACCTCACCACCTGGTCCAACTGGCGCAAGAACGCCCCCAAAGAATACGTCCACTTCTACGAGTGCGGGGTACCACTTCTCTTCCTAATAATTTATTTTGTTGATAAATAATAATAATAGAAAATTAACGTTACTGATCTGTCTCTCTGCGTCTAGATCCCGGAGAAGGATCGCACACAAGTGGTTGTCCTCACGAAGATCTTGGCGGACAGGTACTCCTTCTCTCCTTTGTCGTCATCATCTGGGGGTGGGGCTGACTGATTCGTCGCGCTGGCCAGAATCAATGTGGGTTATGACGACGACGGGGCCTACACCAACTCCAGCGTGACATCGTGCAACGGCGTGCCCATCCGCAACCTGCAGCACCTTGTCGACGTGATCGACAGCACCCCCGCCGACCAGGCACGGCACCAACTCACCTCTTGCGCTCCCATCGCGGCGCACGCACCGCTATCGCACACATCAAGCGCGAAGCACCTGACGGATCGAGCTCACGCTGCGTGTTGTGCGGCCATACAGGAGATCATCACGCTCGTGACGAGCGAGAACGGGGTGGTGGTGCTGCCCGCGCCCAAGCACAAAACTGCAGAGGAGGCCAAGGAGCGCATCCTCCGCGTCTACAAGATACAGCAGGACCGATCCGCCGACCTCCTCGCCGCGCCGCCATCATCGCCACCACCATCGTCGCCGCAGGCCTGAGCGGCACTGGCTGCAACCTCCGTGCGCCATCGACTTCTAACCATAATGAAAGCCTTTGTCGTGTTCGTCACCATCAGCGTAGGACACTACTGCACAGCGGCGTGGGTGTCCCAGTAGGCGACGGCTTTGAGGTAGGCCTCGCGATCCAGCGGCGCCCCGCTGCCGCCTTCCTCCCGCCCCAGCGAGTTGCGCATGGCCGTGATGGGGGTCATCGGCGTCTCGTAACTGGGACACACACAGTATTCACACCCGGTGGTGAGTGGCATTCGATCTTCCAGGATTGAAGGCGGTGGTGGCACTTGGTCCTGGGCTCACGCACTCTTCATCCTGGGCTTTTACGGAGACGATGCCCCATTCGTAGTCCTTGGCCGCCTCCTTCTGGTCGGAGGGCAGCGCCGCGTCCTCTTCCTCGATCTGCGCTCGTCTGGGGTGCGCGAGAAGCATGAAGGAGTGAATGAACGAACGAACGAGTGGTAAGAGCAAGAGCCGGCAGATGCAGGATGTGAGGCGGTTCATACGAGTAGAGGATAATGTCGAGATACTTGGCCGTGGGCACCTCCACGTCCTTGGCCTCGAACCACCGAGTCAGCACGGGCAGTTCTGACGCTCGCCGTGCCACGTAGCCCGACCTGTGGTGCCGGGTTTGCACCACCCAGCGGCCCTGTCAAGCTCTGCACTCTGGGCGTGGGCTCGAGGATGGCGGAGAGAGAGGAGAGGATACCGGAGGAGGTGCTTGTTCGAGTCGGTGATGGTGACGGCACCCACTTTGGCTCCCGTGAAGTTGGGCACGAAGAGATGTTTGCAAAATGGAGCGTAGCTGTGATGGCACAAGATGAGTGAGGAAAATACAGTTGCAGTGACGACAGCGATGAGGTGCAAGTGTGCGGTGCAGGTGCAGCCAAGATTGGAGGTACCCATCCACCAGGGTGGCACTGCCCATGTTGAAGAGTTGGTTAATGTGATCTTCAAATGCCTGCTTGTCGAAGCCCATCAGCTTGGTGCCCGAAAAGGCCGGGTCGTCGAACTGCCTGAAGGCAAAAGCATTCAGCCTCACCGCCCTTCTCATCCTTTGCTTTCGGTAGCGCTCTTATTTTTTTGTTTTCCTTTTGGCAAAAGCAAAGGAATAAAAAGAAAAGCAAAATGCTCTCGCCGGTTTGTGGCCATGCTCCGAGTGAACAGGTCCTTGCCGTTATCCGGCGCAAGCGCAACACAACAGCAAAAGGGTGGTGGTTGCGTCGTAGGCTGTTGGGGTTTTTTGTGTTTTCCGTTGTTTTTGGTCTTTATGGAGGTTTTATGTTTTTTTTGCTGTTTTTCGACCGTTTTCTGATTTTTTTATCTTGCTTTTTGTATTTTGTTTTGTTTACATGAGAGAATCAATTCGATGAAACCCGTCAACATTGGCACCAACCCCACTCAAGGCTGCTGCCTCCAGGCCTCTTTTCTTCTACCACTTGTTCCTTCCTTCCGTACTTGTGGGCACGCTCCAGAATGCAGCTAGAATTGCACATAAAACTGACATTCAGTGAAACATTGCCCAGCCACCAAGCGACACGCTACACTCTCGGGGAGGCGGTCCGGCTCGGACTGGGCGTTCTGGTCGGGCTGCGCGTGGGTGTGGTCGACGGCGTGCGCGAGGGCGATCTCGTAGGGCTGGGCGTCCTGGTCGGGCTGCGCGTGGGTGTGGTCGACGGCGTGCGCGAGGGCGACCTCGTAGGGCTGGGAGTCCTGGTCGGGCTGCGCGAGGGCGAGCGGCTGGGCGCCACGCTGGGGAAGTACTTCCGGAGGGTGGACATGATCCGGTTGCGGTCGGTCCCATCGGCGTTGGGCTCAATCAGGTTCACGTAGTCCGCCGGCCACCACGACCCGGCCGACCACCACGTCCATCCGTGCCACACGTCCGTGTTGTTCTGTGCGCGATTAGTGAGACGATGCTCAGATCAGCACCACCCCCAACCCCACCAGCTGGCTCAACAGGTTCGTACCTTGAGGAAGGTCATGAGCGTCTCCAGGAGAGCCAAGCACTGATCGGAGTCGTTGAGGCCAAACTCGCCCAAGAAGATCTTACTGCGTGTGGCAACGTGAGGCGCGCAGATATGAGAAGGAGAAGCTGGTGACGAACGACGATCGTACGCTTTGTTAGTGCGAGCCCACGTGGTGACCGGTCCGAGCTTGCCCTGAACGTTCCAGACGGGATTGCACACGGTGGTGCCCCCAGCGCCATCAAAGTACTGGTGCATCTCGTAGTACCTAGAGATTGATACTGAGAAGATGGTGGTTGAGATCAGGGCATGGTGTCTCGCACCAGTTGTTCAGCGGGTCGGTGATGTTGGACGGCGCCATCGTGTTGCTGTTGCTCCCCATCCATGACTCTGCCGACGACCAACCGCTCCCGCTGATCGTAATCAATTGCTGGTGCGCCTGCGCTCAGCACCGGAGCCTAAACAAAGATGGAACTCTGGCTGCAGATGCGTACCTTGGCGCCCGACGCACGGATGCCCGCAATGGCGGCGTTGGCGGCGGTGAGGGTCATGAGGGCTGAGACGCCGTTGGGTTCGTTCATGGTGCCGAAGATGATCTTCGGGTTGTCGACGTAGAGCGAGGCCAGCTTCGACCAGAACTTGGTGAAGGCCGTGTAGGAGACGTTGGCCGATCCGATGAGCTGGCCGCGGTAGCGGAAGTAGTTGTGGACGTCCAGCAGCACGTACTGGAGCTTGACCTTGGTGATGTAGTTGACCGTCGTGTTCTTCTCATCGTCCATTGGAATTTGAATGAGCACTCAAAGTCAGAGCTTTCTGTAGAGAAGAGGGGCGCAAGTACCAATTGACCGACGTAGGTCTGATCGAAGGGGCCATTGCCACCGTTGAGCACGGGCTGAAGACGCTCCTGGTGTGGTCGACAACAACTCAAGTCGGTAAGCAGTGGCTGGGAGCATTGGAAACAGGTCGGGGCGCACCCAGAGCACTCCGACGCGGACGGTGTTCATGCCCTTGAGGGAGAAGTAGTCGAGCGAGGGGGTGCCCACGAGCGGGTAGTCTTTCCACGCGGTGCCCGGGAGCTTGCTCGAACTGAATGCGAGGCCCGGCTGGTTCACCCCAAAGTACTTCTGGCCCGTGGCGCCTGCAGGGTTGGGATTAGAATCCTGTCAGGCCGCACGACACGACACACGTGGGGTGAAGAGGTACCGGACAAGGCAAGGATCAAGAGGACGCACAGGATGAGAGTGGTCCGCATGGTGTGGCGAGAGGAGGGCATAACTGGCTGGAAAATGGGGCTTTGGCGATCCTCCCAGCAGGGCTGTCGTGTAGGTGGGCCAGGTTGGAGCAACAACAATTCGGCCAATGGGGAGGTGCTTGCGGCGTCGCGGAGATCCTCGCCTTGTACTTGAGCCCTGTGCTCATCCCATTGGCTCGATGGACTTAATTGTTGCACCTGGTGCCGCACACGCACTAAGAAAGTGCGGTTTACTAGGTGGGCCGTGGGTGGTGAAGAAAGAAACACGACGAGGATGATGGGCTTTATCGTCCTCGTCTTCTTCTTTCTTTTCTTCCATTCACTTACTTGCTGCAGACACGCTTGTGGTTGGGCCAGTCCTTCTGCTGGCACTCGCGCGAGCAGTACTTGGCTGGACGGGCGACCTTGGCCTGGCGGCACCGACCGCACACGGGGAACTTGTCCTGTTCGCTCTCCTCCTTGCGGCCACACGCAGCACACTTGGGCGTGCCGTCGTCGACTACCACGGGCTCGGCCTTCTTCTCCTCTTTGGTGCTGGCGGCGGTGCTGTCCAGGTCGACGCCGGCCTTCTTGAGCATGGACTCGACTTCGCGCTTGGTCTGCTCGTCGATGGAGAGGAGGAGTACGGGCAGCTCCTGACCAGTCTCGGTGTACTCGAACCCGTCGGTGAAGAGGCACACGTAGGTCGACTGCGGATCGTATGTGCGCACCAGGTTGAGCAGGTTCTCGTTGCCCATGATCCACCTGCGCCATCCGCAATCCATTCAACCATCCACCCCTCGGTTCATACGGTTCCTCTACGTTGGGCGAATAAAATGAAGAAAATAAAAAACAATAAAATAAAAATCTGAGAGTGCTTGTGAAAAATCGAATGGCGACGTACCCGTGATCAACGAACTGGTTGATGGGGATGAACGCCATCCGCGTCTCGCTCTCCTCCTTTGGATCAGAGGATCTGTCGCGTTCGGTCGAGAGATCAACAACAACGAAGCCGCGGCCCGCCCCCGGCCCTCGCCTGTGCTTGAGCACGCTCTCCCAGGCGTGCATGCTGATGTAGGGTCCATAGCTATTGATGTAAGCCATGCAGTCCTGCTTCTTCTCGTCCAGCGACGTAAAGCGCGTCCATGTTGAGTACAAGGTGCGTTTGCTCATCTTTGGGATTTGTTTCTCAAAAGCCTTTTATTTTGTTTTTATAATTTTGTATTTTATTTCTCATTTTTTGCCATAATTAACATTTTAACAACATCGTATTCTGTGAAACCTTACTTTCTTGTCGCGCGCAACTGAAGATGGAGGTGGACGCAGATCCTCCGCCCGCACCCCCGCCGGAATCAACAGCGGCTGCTGAGCAGCTGCCAGGGCTGGCCGACAGCTGCAAAGCACCGACGGTACCTGCAGCTCCGCCGGCACGTTCGCAGGAGGAGGTGGACGCAGAGCGGGGCTTCACCGACGACGACCTCAACGCTTGCCTCAAGGTTCGTTGTTCATTTTGCAATCAACAAAAATAAAAATGAAATGATATTTAATCGAGCATATATGTTGTATTTCCCCACAGGTGTTGCACGCCTTCCGGGCGAAGCTGGACCTGCTGCAGCAGAAAGAGTATCGTCCTCTACGGAGCGCAGGAATGTACGTCGTGTTCATGTTTTCATGTTTTCATGTTATGTGTAGTGATGCGTGTGTCACCAATCGGGCACAACTCACTATTCAATGGCTTGGCAGCATCTTTGTTGAGGGCATCAGCAAGCGCTACTTCAAGGGTCTCTCGCCCGAGGAGTACAACCACAACAAAGCCCGGAAGTGCGCTCCTCCTACGACGTCCGGTGAACTTGCGAAGCAAACGGGCCACCTGCTAACGTCGTACACGTGTGTGTGGGGTGCGGGCTCGGCCACCAGGATTGCGCGCAAGGAGCGGAGAAAGCACGAAGCGCTGGAGGATCAGAAGCGGCTGGCCAAGACGAAGATGCGCGAGGACAAGCTGCGCAGGATGGAGCGCCTGATGGAGGGCGCCGCTTCGCCCCCACAGCTGGTACTCGCCCGCCGCTATGACCGACTCCTCCGTTCTTGGAATTCCAATGCATTCCTTCCAACTTTTGTAGATGCTCAAGGGTTCAGCCGCAGCAGGAGCTATCGGGGCCGATGTGCAGACAGCCTTGGCGCTGCCTCCGGTCGACCCGCTTTCTCTGGTACCACACACACACACACACACGCACACACACACACAACACCACACAAATAAAGCTGGGGTGATGTGCTCACCACGAACCCATTTCGTTCGGTCAACAAGGGAGTGGTGACCATCCCGGCCGAGCGTGTGGCCACGCGGTATAACTCCGAGAGGATCAACCTGAAGCGGAAGCGGAAGAACCAACAGCAGCAGCAGCAGCAGGGCGCTGTCGAGCAGCAAGCAAACAAGTCCAACGACGCGAGCAAGGGCAAGAGCAAGGGCAAGAACAAGAAGGGCACGCTGGGTGCGCAGACGACGAAACAGACTGCCGAGCGCAAGTCAGCGACTGCTGCCAAGCCTGCCGAGCCGCCCTCGCCTCCTTCGAGAGAAGAGGTGCAGAAGCGGGCCAAGAACGAAGCGCGGGGAACAGAGAACGAAGAACGAAGGAAGGAGATCGAAAGCGATAGGATGGATGATGAGAGCCACCATGCAACGGCGAATGCCGAAGCAAAGGAGGAGGAGGAGCACAGGGGACCGAAGACGAAGGGCGAAGCATCGCTCTCCGACGAAGACGAAGAGTCGGTGCTGCATCAGCCGGAGGAGTGCTACATCTGCAAGGCCACCTACCACAAGCTGCACCATTTCTACGATAGGGTATGCATGGAATTCTCAATCAATGCTTGAAGTGTGAATGGTCTCTCACCTGTTTACTCTGTTTTGCGTCCCAGTTGTGCCCGGCCTGCGCGCAGTTGAACTGGAACAAGCGGGTCGCCACGGCGGACCTCAAGGGCTACATCGCGCTCGTAACCGGCGGCCGGGTGAAGATTGGGTACTCACATACACTCGCCCCGGCGCACCTGTGCAGGCATCGCCACACTCATCCATTCACTGACTCTAATCCTTCTCGCCCACATGTGCGTCGTGTCTGGCGTGCTTCAGGTTTGAGACTGCCGTCATATTGCTCCGTGCTGGCGCTACGGTGATCGTCACCACCCGCTTCCCGCACGACGCAGCGCTTCGCTTCTCCAAACGTACGTTTGCTTTTCTTTACACGAGTCGTGCAGGTCGACAGTCGCTTCACACATTTTGGCCTTTGCCGCCAACCCGCGCGCGCGCACAGTTGCGGACTTTGGCGAGTGGCACTCGCGGCTGCACGTGTACGGCCTGGACATGCGCTACCTCCAGGCCGTGGAGCAGTTCTGCCGCTTCGTGAAGAAGGCCTACTCGCACCTGGACATCATCATCAACAACGCCGCGCAGACCATTCGCAGGCCGCCCGCCTACTACGAGCACCTGATCACCGCCGAGTCGGTCAACGTGGCTTCGCTGCCCGAACCCATCCGGCACGTCCTGCAGCCGGAAGGGCTACCGGTCAAGCCCTGGGGCAACGACTACCTCCTGCCCCTCTTCTCTTCGTCGTCGTCGAGCACCACGGGCCTGTTTGAGTTGACGACCGGACCCAGCCCCGCCCTCGCGCCGCCCGCGCAACCTCCTGTCGCGCCCGTGGTCGAGGAGCCCGTCGACGACCAGGAAGCAGCCGCTGGCCTGGTGGCGGAGGAGAAGCACGCCCAAGCGGCCGAGGCAAAGGGGAACGAGATGGAGGCGGCCGGCGGCAGGCCCGTGACGACCGATCAGCCACCCAACCCCGCCTCGGCCCTGCCCAACATCTCCGCTGGTACGGCCGCATTCTACACATTTCATTCCGTATGACGCCGCGGTCTCACCCTCCTCTGTCCTGCGTTGCCGTGCGTGTGGTGTGGGCGACCCCAGTGTTGACGCAGCTGGCCGTGGCTAAGGGTGACGAGAAGAAAGACCCCAAGCTCTTCCCTCCCGGCCGGTACGACGAGCACGGCCAGCAGGTACCCCCTTCTCCGTGACATGTGTGCATTGCTGTCATTCTTTTACCTCAATCATGGCTGACACCATGCATGGTGTTCCAGGTGGACCTTCGGCATGCGAATTCGTGGGTGCTCCAGCTCGACCAGGTACTGCAGCCGCTGAATATTGTTGATGGCCATAAAGAATGAAGGGCCAGGCCTAACGCGAACTCCGTCGGTGGTGTTATGCAGGTCTCCACGGTCGAATTGGCTGAAGTGCACGTCATCAACGCGTTGGCGCCCTACACCATCAACTCGCTTCTGCGCCCTCTGCTCAACCTGTCGCCAAACGTGCGCTCGATGTTGTCCGTTTTAAGTTGATTTTTAAGTGGTTGATGATTGCTGACCGTAACGGACAGGCCGACAAGTTCATCGTCAACGTTTCGTCTGTTGAGGGCGAGTTCTATCACAAGAAGACGACTGCACACCCACACACGAACATGGCCAAGGTATGCGCCCGAAGCTCGCTCATTGGTTGCGGCTGCTTCTCACACGGTTTGCATTGTAGGCCAGTCTCAACATGATGACGCGCACAGCTGCCGCCTACTACGCACGAGATCGCATCTGGATGAATGCAGTCGACACTGGCTGGTACACACACACACGAACGCGTCCCGGGAGTTTGCAGAACTTGCTCATGTCCGCATCACCAACAGGATCTCGGACATGAACCCGGTCTACCGATCACAGCGCATTGCCAACAAGTACGGCCAAGTGTTCAGAAATCCCATCGATGAGGTGGACGGCGCCGCCAGGATACTCGACCCGGTGTTCGCGCGGCTGAACGAGGGCAAGCTCTACTTTGGCAAGTTTCTCAAGGACTACCGACCTTCGGCCTGGTAGCCCTTCTGTGAGACGTGACCAGAGCAGCTCGACCCCGGCGCGCCACGCACCCAGGCCAAGGGGCTTGTCAATGTGGTTTGTGGTTCTGTGTGAATGAGGAATGCAGAAAATTCGGAATGCGCGGAAGGAATGCGGTTCCGTGGCTGGCCCGAAACGGCCCAATGACGGGCTGCCACATGCGCTGGCCGTGACGGTAATAAAAAAACGGACCAAGATCAGATCGGCAACAACCGCAGCCAACACTAATCATCCGCACCCCATTTCACCGTACAAGCCACGTCAAGACACTACAATCAATTTGGTTTCACAACATCAACACCACATGAAGCGTAATCTGATGCTCGCTCTCGGCCTTCTTGTCCTGGCCTTGTGCGCGACCGCCACTCTCGCCGTCGGTACGCTCCCACTTGCCCCCCCCCTCAACATCACTTCTTAATTTTGTAGGCCAAGAAACCAAGCATTGCCCCCCCCCCAAGCTCACGCAATTTCTCTTCCATTCAATCCATTCCCTGCAGATGTCGACGAGGCAGTGCAGGAAGGCACCGCCACCGTTGTTCTTTCCGCGAACGATGACGCGGCCGGTAAGCCCCCCCCATTCATCTTCAGCCCATTGGACACAAATGCCAACCTTGTATCGATTTACAGTGAAGCAGGAGACTGAGACTGTTACCGCGACGACGACGACAGATGACAAGAAGGAAGATGACGAAGCTGATGAGGAGGCCGCCACGAATCAAGACGCCGCTGCCGCTGACGACGACGATGACGACGATGACGACAACGTCAAGTCCTACAAGAAGGAGAAGAAGGACAAGAAGAAGGATAAGAAGAAGTACAAGGACGACGAGAAGCTGAAGAAGAAGCTCGAGAAGGAGGAGAAGAAGAAGCTCAAGAAGGAGCGCGAGGAGAAGGAGAAGCTCGCCGCCGCCGCCGCCGCCGTCGATAACACAGGAGACGCTGCGGCCGAGCCGGTCGCTGAGACCGCCGACGAGGACGAGGAGGACGAGAAGAAGGAGGAGAAGTACAAGGACGAGACCAAGGAGGAGAAGGAGCTCAGGAAGAAGGCCAAGAAGGAGAGGAAGGAGAGGGAGAAGGCCGAGAAGAAGGAGAGGAAGAAGCAGAAGAAGCTCGAGGGCCTCGCCGTACGCACTCATCTCTCTCTCTCTCTCTCTCTTTCTCTGATGATTCTTTTTGATGTTGTGCTCACCCAGTACTGCACCACCGCACACAGATCGCCGGCATTGTGGAGGAAGTGGCGCTGCATGTGGGACAGAACAACGGAACGCTCGCCGAGGCGGGCCAGGAGAGCGTCTTAGCCGTCGCTGACAGCCCCGTGACGGATTCGCTCGGTGCCGCTACGACGACCGAGGAGGAGGAGGACAAGGCCGAGAACTGATGATCGGATCACCAGCCCCCCAAACGCAGAGCAGACACTCAGGCCGAACGAACCACCCAACGTCGTCATCGGTGGTAATGATGATGATCAAGTGGTGGAGTGTGTGTACAGAGGTGTGTGTGAGGAAGAAACATGTTATGTTTGCGTGTACGCTGCTTGGTGTTTATTGTGTTGTGTGCAATCACCACGCTTCGTCCTGTCTTACTCGGCGGTGGCGCCAGCCTTGCTCTTCCTCTTCTTCTTCTTGGGGGTGGTGGACTTGGCGGTCGTCTTGTCCTCCTCCTCCATGGCGTCGGTGGTGGTCTTCTGCTTCTTGGTCGCCGTCGGCGTGGTGGTGGTTGACTTCTTCCCCGCGGCGGCCGGCGTGGTCGAGGTGGCCTTGCCTTCAGCGGCCTTGCCCTTGGCGGCGGCGGCAGTGGTGGTCTCCTTCTTGGGCGTCTCGGGCGCCTTCGCCTTCTTCTTGTCGTCGCCCGTCGTCGAGGCGGCGGCAGTGGTGCCAGCGGCGGCCTTGGTAGCGGTCTTGCCCTTCTTTTCCTTGGTCTGCGAGGACTGGGACTCCTCACCGTTAGTCGCCGAGTTGGCCAGCTGGTACAGCTTCAGCTTCTTCTCCACCTGCGCTCTGTTGGAGTAGACCCGGTCAGTGTCAGCCGCAATGTCAAGCTGAGCTGACAATGATGAGCATAGTGTGCCGTACCGCGTGTGCGTGGGCACGGCCTCGGCGAGTTTGTCGAGGTTGGCGCCGTGCTCCTGGAAGACGTGCTCAAAGTCCTCTATTTCCTTCGTCGTCCAGTCAGGCACCTTCTTCCTGGGCTCGCCTCCTGACCAGAGCCAAAAAAACGGAATAAATATTGTTCTTGCGTTGTATAAACCAAACGAGAATGAATCGACAGAGGGGGGGGGGCGCACCCAAAGTTTTGAGGAGTCCGCTGATTTCCTGAGCATCGCGAGCGATGACGTCGAAGATCTCGGCCAGCTAACGATTTGCGCGACAAATTTTTGTTAATTTCAATTGCATTCTGAATTGCGCTGACTGATCAAGAATGCGCCTAGGCGCAGCGCACCACTTGTTCCCTCTTCCTCTTAGGCATTGTGTAGTGACTGATGGACGTCCGGCTGATCTAATTTACGTATCGGAGTACAAATGAAACAAAAACCGAGGCCGCGCCACAATTTTTTCTGCTTGTAACGGCACTTGTGTTTCGCGCCACGCGGGCGATCGGTGCGTGTGCGATCGTGTGCGTGTGCGGTTTGGAAACAACAAAGCTCAAAGAGATGTGTCTCTCAGACTACAAAGCAGTCGAAGCGGCTGCTGCCCGTGGGCCAGATTGCTTCGACGAGCTGGTGCGAGCAGAACTCGACGAAGTCGGCGTATCGCCAGATCCGACCGTGGAAGTCGCACGCCTTGGTCGCCCTGTCGAACGCCTGGTAGTGCATCCTCAATTCGGCCAAGCGCGCCTCCGCTTGCGCCCCCAGCGTCTCCAACTCGTACGTCTCCCCTCCTACAATCGCACACGCACCACCGCACACGACACGCACCGCACACGCTAAGAACACAGCGCACAGGGAAGTGGCGAGAGTGCGCCGCGGCAGTACCTTCGGGCACGACATGGAAGTCGACGCTGTACTTGACCTCGCCCTCGAGCCACTCGAACACGAGCACGTCGTAGGTCTTTCGCCGCGCGTCGCCGGGGGCATAGCGCAGCGTGTAGCCCCCCACATCCAGCTTCTGCCACACCTTGGCCGGCACCTGGCCGTCGCCTGCGCTCACCGCCTTGGCACGCGCGAGCTGTTGTAGGAGCCGCGGACCCAGGCCGCCTTGGAGCGCGACGGCCAGGTCGACCTCGCAGTCGTAGTTGGTCTCGTAGACACCACCGCCGTGGACTGTCTCGTCGCGGTTCTGCCGCACGAGCGCCGAGACCAGGCAGTCGTGGCTCACCGCCGCCGGGCCGCCGCGCTTCTGCTCGGCCCGCTCCTCGATCGAGCTCAGGTTGCGCAGGAAGCTGACCTTGCACTGCTGCCTGGTCGTCGTTAAGCTGCCGCCGCTGCTATTGGTGGTGGTGACGTCACCTCCACTGGCGGGCAGCATGGTGGAGAGCTGGCAGCGCAGGGGGCCGGCCATGTGGCGGATGGCCCCGCTGCGCGCTCGGACCTTGAGATAGGCGGGCCGGGCCGTGTAGAGCCCTTCGAGCATGGCCACGTCGACGTGGTGTCGCCGCACGAAGGCCAGTACCTGCTGCTCCTCGAGCGACAGACCCTGCAGCAGCGCCTCGCCCGCACCATGGGGAGCGGTCGACTCGGGTCTCGCGGCGCTGTGGCCGGGTGCGACGACAGCGTGGGTGCCAGCGGCGGCTGACGTGGCCTGCGGGGCTCCGGAGGCGCGCGGGGAGGTGGCGGGGGCGGCCTTGGGGGGAGGAGCGGCCGCAGTCACAGCTGTGGTCGGGTGGCCCAGGCCCGGAGGAGGAGCACCCGAGGTGACCTTTGTCTTCGGTGTGCCGGGAGCCTTCTTCTGCTTGGTGGTGCTGGGCTTCTTCGTGGCGGCACTGGGCTTCTTGTGCCCTCCTCTCCCCGCCGTCGGTGCCGCTCGCCTCTCCTTCCTGAGCTTCTCTTCGGCACCGTCGAGGGCGGGCAGAGCCGCGTAGGGGTTGGGCTGCGCGAAGTGGTGGGCCATGTCTTCTCTTCCGGTGCGCGCTGTACTTTTGCTTTGGGTCCGTTTTTTCTCGCTTGTGTGCGGTGGGCGCAATGCGCGGAATTTCACACGAATTACTCCGGCTCGTGTGTTGTGGGACGTGTGCGGTGCGCGTGTGCGGTGGTCCTCTGTAGAGCCGCATTGTGGTGGAATAAATAGTTGTCTTGACCTACATGTAGGCCAATATGCACACGGTGGGGGTTATGACTCCACGAATTGGGCGAGCTTCTCGTGGTTGAGGGCGGACGACGACGGCTGTTGAGGGTCGGCCGGCACCTCTTGCACCTGCACGCATCAAGATGACGATCATCATCAGCGCTCGCGTTCTTGTGTGTTTTCGTTTTGAGGGGGCTAGGGAGGCCCGACCTTCTTGAGAAGGATCGGTTGGTCGGGGAGGTGGTAAGTGATGGCGAGCTCCTCGCACGCCCTCTGGATGGCGAGGTAGAGATTGCTCTTGGGCACCAGGTAGAACCGCGGTCGCTGCCAGTTGATGTCTGAAAGAGAGGGTGGGGGTGGCTCTGGTGTCAACCCTGCTTCACTCATCACTCGCACGCGCGCACCGCCGCCGAGATACCTTGTAGCTCGATCCAGAAGACGACGGTGATCTTGTTGTTGTTTTCGATCTGGTCCACCCAGAACATCCAGTCCTCGTCCGTACGGATCAGCCTGCAGGTGTGTGCGAGTGTCGTGAGAAGAGAGGAGATGTGGGGCAGGTTTTGTTTGGGGGGGGGGATGGGGCTATATAGGTTGTATGTACCAAGGGGCGCTGTCCTGCTTCATCCACTCGTAGACCTTCTCGCGCAGCATGATGATCTTTTCGGCGGGGGTGCAGAAGTCGAGGTGCACGCTCACGTTGACGGCGTAGTTCTTGCTCCGCTTGTACTGCGTGATGGGCAGCGCGTACAGCTGCTGGTTGGGGATGATGAAGCACCGACCGTCTGCGCGCGGGGCAAAGCGCCAAAAAGGGGCAACCACCGGTTAGTCGCCGGGCCAAGTGTGGTGGTGGGGAGGGCGACCGACCTGTGGCAAAGAACGTGGTCGTGAACAGGCTGATCTTGGAGACAATCAACGTCGGATACGTGGTGCCTGTGTTGTTCCCAACGCGAATGAGATCTGAAGGCCCAGAGAAGGCCAATATAACGACAAGTGTGGTGTGGATCATGGGACATACCAGGAATTGTGATTCTGTCGCCGATGTCGAAGGGCCGCACGGCAAAGATGAGCACCACGCCTTCCCACTACACACGCACAAGACGAACCGGAGGAAAGGGCGTTACAAGGCGTGTGGAAAACAAACAAACAAAAAAAAAAAACTCTCTCTAAGCCGCGCTATAAGTGCGTGAAGCGTGTGGCATACCACGTTCTTGAGCGAAGCGCCGAAAATGAAGGAAAAGCCCAGGAAGAAGGTGCCCAACGGGATGAGGTATCTGTAGTCGCGACCAAACAATGCTTAGCTTCGACAAGCCGCATAGACGCCACACATGAGAGGCGTAGGGAGAAGAGGAGGAGGAGGAGGGCACGTACTCTGTGATGCTCAGCTCGAAGATTAGCATGACCACGAAGACCATGATGATGGCAAAGAAGATGGTGATGATGTAGGTCAACACTTTGCCCGCGTTCTCGCGATCGAACAGTGTCTTGTACAGCGATTTCCTGGTGTGCACGAAGGTAAGGTATTAAACAAAAGGTGAGGAAGAAGCAAGCGGAACGAAAGGCACACGAGAGCAAGACACAGGCGACGCAACGGCCATACCTGTCCTTGTGTACACGATGCACGGCTTCGGTGATCAGCGCCAGATCGATTGTTTGACCCTTTGGCCAAAGAACGGAAGAAACCACGCAGACCCGTGCGAGTTAGCACAGCGCGGTGGATGCGTAGGTCATGCATGCAGGTACGTACTCGGGGGAAGAGCCGGAGAGCAGCCTGGACGTCATCCTCGTACTCGAAGAACTGGTCAAAGTCCTCCTCCTCAAGATAGCCCTACACCCCAGAGAGGAAAGGCCATCAGCACCGGCGCGGAAGTTCTTCTTCTTCTTCTTCCTTCTTCTTCTTTGCCCTGTGGTGTGCGTGTGCGGGTAGGTACCTTGCAGTAGGTGTCGAGATTTTTGAGGATGACTCGAGCGACTGAGGCGGAGTGCTCGAGTGGTGGCTCGGCTCTGTTCAAGAAAAGAAAAAGAAAAGAAGAGCACGGTGAGTGGGCGAAGCCGGAGTGTAATGAAGGGTGCAATGGTACTGTTGGCTGGCGTTAGTAAGAGAGGGGGGGACACAGAGAAACAATTGTTGTTGAGTGTTTGGATGACAAGACACACATACACAAGAAGACAGCGAACAGAGTGTTAGACAGCAGAGGTTTCGGTACAGAGAGATTTAAGCCGTACCTGGCACTACTGTCCATGTCGTATGACGTAACATCGAGGTAGGGATTGGCGCGCTTGTCCAACATCCACTGCCACGCATTCTGGAAGTGATGCATGGAGGGCTTGCGCAGAACATGTGAACGCTTCACAGACTCCTTGCGCCTTGCGTGATGACGCAACGTGGAGTGTCAATGCACTCGGCCCAACCGGGAAAGAATGCGTAGAGCATCAAGCGTGAAGTGAAGAGGTACCGAATGCCGTAGGCCATCTTCCAGATGATCCGCTCAGAAATCAGGAACTTGGAAATGGACTCCCAGAACTGCTCCCGGTGCAACTTGACTGTAGCAGAGCAACACGCACACCACATGCCAACCAGGGCGGGGAGGGCGGTCAGTTTTGTGCTGCGTCCAGGGGCGTTGTGGTGGATGCGCGTACCGATGAGGTACTTGGTGCCGAGAATGACAAAGAAGTGAAGAATCGAAATGACGAGCAGCGCCGTTAAACTGTGGTGTCCATGCTGTGTAAGCGTGGATCACGCGGGCGATGAACGGTGGCGAGGGCGATGGCGGTCGCGATACGTACATTTTGGTGATCCACCAGCGAGGAGTGCTGTTCCACCCTGTGAGGATGGTTCCGGAGGTCGCCAGCAGGACAATCGCTGGAGGCAGTACGACCATCAGCGTGGTATTGAGGGAAAGAGGTAAACATAGAGAAGGACGTACAAGATACGAAACAGCTCAACGTTGTAGACACCGTGTTGATGTAGTAGAAGACCTGAAGTAGTAACGCCAGCATTAGCCATGATGGTGTTGGGGAAAAAGTAACAAAAACGAGCGCAAACCTTTGTCTCGAAGATGAGGCGCTTGAGAACCCACATGATTATCGCAAACACGTAGTTCGATACCACGAAGACCGCGATCACCGCTCCGGCCTGTGTGTGCAGGCGGTCCATGGGGTGAGCAAACGCATGCGATACGAAGAAGGGCGTTGTGGTAGCTGTACCCAAACCATCCAGCGCCACGACCGCGTTCCTTCCCAATCCACGTCGTAGAAAATGTTGAAGAGCGCAGCTGCAGAAAACAGCAAGAGGGAGGTAAGTATCGGACCGATGGTTTTCCAGACAGAACAGAGTGGAAGTTGTTTTACCTAGAATACCAGCAAGCATGAGGAGTATGACAGAGGGCATGAGCGGCCACAGTGCCTTGGTAAATCGCCACGTGAACGCCTGCGAATGTACGGGTGACGGTTCAATGACATATTGAGGCGTGTGGGTTGCAGAAGGAAAAGGCTACGCACCGTCCAGAACCAGCTGAAGCAGCGGTAAAAGGCGCTGACTTTGCGCTTCCTCTTCGGCTTGAGGAGCATGATGGGAGCAGGTTTTGATGGTGGCAGCTCGTCTGGAGCATCGGGATTGATTTCCTGATACTTGCGCGACGGCGGTATGCTGCATTACATCGCGCCAGCAGATGTGTGCCCCTGGCGTCAGTCAACAGTGCCGGCAGCGGTTGTGGAGGTGGCCACGCGTACCGGTTGGTGGTGAACATTTCGGCGGTGGCCATCGGGTCGAAAGGGCTGGCAGATGGTCGGCGCGATGAGGGTGATGGTGAGCGTGCCCGAGATCGAGTGGCAAAACTGTGGGTGGAGCCGCGCGCGCTGCGCATGCCCGACCGCTGTCGCATCTCGAAATCATAGTAGCCATCGTCGTCTGGATGAGAGTCGGTGTGTCAGGTGCGGCTCACTTCCGAGTTATCCCTCCTAAGGTAACGCACCTACGGCAGGCATGTCTGTGGTTGTGGTCATTCTCGTGACATCTGTAATGGCCAACACACGCACAAATGAGTCCAATTAACGGCACAATGACAACCCCGAGATTACGCTCCGGAGAGAAAAGGCACGTACGCGGGAACCGGCCCGTGTCGTCGCCCTGGCCGAGGCGCTCCTCGTCGCGCGGCGAAGGGCCTCCTTCGGGCCAGCGCGAACTGGCTTCCATCTGCCGGTAGGTACGATCGAGGAGCGGCTGGCGATGCAGGGCAGCCTCGGCGTCCCTCCGCTGCTGCGAGCCGAACATCGATGCCGGGAGCGACGTCTTGCGGAAGGGCAGCACCTTTGGGCGTCGTCGCTGTTGGAGGCCCTGCACGTCGAGGCTGGGCTTGTGCTGCAGGGCACGACCCGGTAATCGCTGCGGCGGATACAGCTGGGCGGCCGCCGGGAGGCTGGATCCCCTCGACGGGGGTAACTTGCGCCGTACAGCGCCTCCTCCTTCATCTGCAGAGTCGTCGTCCTCCCGTTCCTCCTCTTCCTCCTTCTCGGTGGGCACGTCGTCCTCGTCGTGCACGACGGCGCTGCTGCGACGGATCGCGCGGGCGTGCCTCGGTGGGAGTCGTACCTCGTGCGCTTCGTGCTGGCTCGTGTGCTGTGGATCGTTGCCGTTGCCCTCGGCACCCCAGCCACCTCTGTCGTTTCGCGCTACGCCGGTGGAGGATTGGAGCTGCTGGCGGTTGGATGCTGGGGATGTATGGTGTCTGCCGCTTCTCTGGCGAGCCTCACCGCTCTCCTCCTCGACGTGCTCTTCGTCCGAGCTATCCATTGTGAGTCCATCTCGATGGCTGAAGTACTGATTGCGTGAAGACTCAAAATGCGGGTGGCGAGAGCCCTGCCGCTTCATCGCGCCTAGCGGCGGCGGTGTGGTCGTGCATGCCGGGGCCATGGCACCGCCTCCTTGTGATGCAGTTGCTTGCTCGAGTTCATGCAGCTCAATTTCATCTCCTCCATCTTTTTGGTTGTTGCTTTTCCCTTTCTCCATACGACGTCGCCTCGTCTTCGACCAATGTACACCTGTCGCTGAAGCTTCCTCGTCCTGCGTGCAGCCCTTTATGCCCAGCAATTTGTGTTCAATCTTCGTCAGGTGAGTAATCTGTGCCGTTCTGTTCTGTCCTGCCAGGGAGAACTGCCTCGGGCGTTTTCACGAGTTCCGACTCCCAGCGGAGAACTCCTAGTATTCTCGGCTCTCGGCTCTGGTGATCTCGCATTCCTCACATAACTCTCAACATTCAACGATTGCCCGAGGTTCATCTCAAGGCTTCATGTAAGGCACGAGGCGGCTACACTGTGCCACAAGTGCTCCCTTTGTTTATCGGTGATTGTTCGCAACACCTGCTGTGCACGAAGCAACAACGAATACAACAAAAGAAATGTGAAGATAAAACAAGATAAAATAAATGCAACCATGCGCTGGGTGGGCAACGCATTGGGCGGCGATGAGCGCCAGAGAGCAGAAGGCATGGGCTGATGCCGCACCCTTTGTACACCCGAACCCACTGCAGACCGCCGGCGCCAGGCTCTGGTTCTGTGGCAAGGTGCCCCCCCCCGGCCAATTTGGTGAGTGGGTAGATGTGCAAGGCGTTCACACGAAGCAGCTGCTGTGCAGATCGCAGCCGGAGCAGTCCTGCTGCTTCCGGTTCGAGCGATGGTGCTGGTGTTCATGCTGGCAGCATACATCGCGATTGCCTGGCTGCTGTCGCTCTTGGCCTCGGGCGGCAGACCGCGCACTGCACTGCGGGCCGTCACTTCCCTGTTCCTCCGGGTGGGCTTCTTCGTCGGAGGAGTGCGGCTTCACATCAGAGGGAAGCGTGAGGTAGTCCTGCTTTCTCCACCTCGTGTTTTTCGTGCGCTTACCGATACTCACCCATCCACACAGGCAACGGGCACGATAGTCTCCAACCACTGCTCTTACCTGGACGTGCTCATACACGCGTACCTCAGCTTTCCTTCATTTGTAGCCAAGGTATCGTTATCCGTGCTTTCGCCGCTGGCTGGCTGTCTCGCACTGACCCAGCCATCAGCACGGAGTGAAGAACGTGTGGTATTGGGGCTTCCTTTCGCGCTTGCTCGATTGTCTCTACGTAGCACATGCAAGGTCGGTCCAGGACACGACAGCCAGGTACCGAAACCAAGTCCACTTTAAGGTGCCTGCATTTTATAACCATATTGAATGCAGCAAGGATCAGCTCATACGCTCCGCCACCGATCGGGTTGTGGAAAGGCAGCGGATCGCTAGCCCGGGTTCGACTCTCCACTCTCTTTGCAATCTGGCCCTAAGTGTGTGTTCTGATATCCAACGGGCAGATCAACCTCTCCTGATCTTTCCCGAAGGGACCACGACCAACGGACGATGCATGGGTACCTACCAAAGATACACGTGTGATTTCTTCATGTTGTCGGCAGAGAAGCTCACACACTGCGATCGCTAGTGCACTTTCGCAGAGGCGCGTTCGTGGGTGGAGTGCCGGTGCAGCCGGTCGTCTTGCGGTGCCTTTTCTCTTACCCGAGTCCTTGCACTCGCACGGTGGTTCATTGATCGCACCCCACGGCAGGTATCGCTACCGGCATTTCAGCCCAACGTGGGAGAGCATCCCCACCTCGATTCACGTCTTTTGGCTGCTGGCCTCCTTCGTTCACGATGTGGACGTAATCTACTTGCCCACCTACACACCGACCAAGATGGAGCGACAGAACCCGCAGACATATGCCGATAACATGCAGAGGGTACGCGTGCCCTTCACTTTACGCCACGAGTCCAAGAGACCAGTAAGCTCACATTCTACAGCTGATGAGCGAAGCGGCTGGCGTGCCGGCTGTTCAACACACCATCGACAACAAGCTGCGACACCACGCCCGCATCCTTTCACACCAGGTATCGTGGCGTGATGATCCATTCTACTGTTCGTCGTGCCATCGCGCGCACGTGAGCTCGTAAAAGGCCTTTGTCGGGCCAAGGAAACCCGAGTTTCTTTATCGTTTTCTATTGCGTGAGATTTCTCGGAATGGATTTTCTGCCGACGGAAAAGTTCGTGAAAGTGCTGGGGCAAGCTCAAAAACAAGATGCGCCAGATTTTTTGTTTCATCAAACACACCAACACTCACACATCTTTCTCTCTATCGCGACCTCAATAAACCAGAGGTTTCCTTCCCCCGCGCGATGCTGTCTGCCCCAACCACACCGTTTACGTATAACCGCACACAGCCTACTTACAATCACCCGGAATCGCATCTCGCGAACATGAGTACCACATCATTCGTGTCGCCCCCGCCTTGTGCGGTGTGCATGCGACATTGTCACGGGCAGAGGATTGTGCTGGGTTATGATCCAGCGCGCAACATCCAGTTGTTCGCTTGCTGTAGTGATTGCGAGGGAAGGTGGAGAGGGTCCCCGTCCACGTTGACGTCGATGGTGGTTCCCCATCACCAGCCTCCCGCCAAGTCGGTCGTGGACTTCACCTCGCCTTCCTTTCGCATCAATCCAGCAATCGTAAGCCCTCCTCTCTTTCAATCCCAGCATGTCCAGCACCAATTGCAGCAACTCAAACAGCTGCGCAAGAATCAATCAGCGTCTTCCAAGCCTCACTCGCCTCCCCGTCGTCTTTCCAACAACAAGAAACGAGATTCGCCGCCTCGCGAAGTGCCGCCCAACGATCGATCGGCCGCGTCTGCCCGCAACAGCCACACAGCCAACACCATCCGGGCTCGAGTCGAGCAGACGCAACGAGGCATGAAGATGACGCCCCAGCTAGCCGAGCAGCTTAAGTCGGCCTGCTTCGTCGTGATCGACACCAACGCTTGGATCACCTCGCTCGATGCCGTGCTCTCCCTCAAGAACTACCCCCACCTCACCGTGATCGTTCCCTCGGCGGTTGTGCAGGAGCTCGATGGGCTCAAGCAGGACCAGGGCAAGGATCAGCTGGGCAGCAAGGCGCGCCTGGCCATCAAGGTCATCTACGACGCGACGGCCGGCGGCGAGCAGTGGATCCGGGGCCAGCGCTACGACGAGCACCTCGGCGCGGCGCTCAAGATCGACAACCGCGACGACGAGATCCTGTCGTGCGCGCTCTTCTTCCACACGAAGGTGTCGCCCAGCGTGCTCATCACGGGCGACTACGGCCTCGCGCTCAAGTGCAACATCAACCGGGTGCCGACCACCGATATGCGCGGCCTGCTCGAGTGCCTTCCCGCCACCTCCATGTCGACCTCCGCGCCCGCTACACACTCGCGACCGACTCAACCCACCGCCACCGCCGCCGCCAAGCGCAAGGCCGCTGACCGCCAGGAGCCTACCAACACCGCCACGACCATGACCGCTGTCGCGATGCCGACCAAGAGACGCAGGACGTCCGCTCCCGTCGACATCCCCGGGTTTTGCTTCAGCTCGTCCCCGCAGAACTCCGACAACGAAGATGACGACGAGCCCGAGCGTCAGGAGGCCATGCAGGTGCAGACCCGCGAAGAAGAGTTACCACAGCAACCGCAGCAGCAGCAAGAGGAGGTGCCATCGCTGTTGTCGCTTCCGCCTGAGTTGCAAAGTAAAGTGTTAGCCTTCCTCCCTCCTCGCTCGCTGATGCAGGCCGAAGCGGTGGCCACAGGCCTGCGCCGCCTGCTGTCGCCCGACGAGGACGACGAGGAGCGGGGCCGCTCTACGAGCGCCCACATCTGGTCCGCCGCGCTTCGACGATCCCACAACCGCACCACGTTCGGCCGCCACCGACACCCCAAGCACTGGTATCTCGCCTGGCGACGCAGCGTCTGTCCGCCCCAAGACTTCTCCGACAGCTGGGCGCAGCCCCTACAGTCTGTTTGACTCAACGCCAACACGGCGTAATGCACCATCACGCAATAGATTTTTTTCCACCAACTCTTGAGCTTTTGCCTTTTCTGTCCATACCTTGCCTATTCGCAGTAGCCTCGTCTTGCAGATAAATGCACACTTCTGAATCATGGAGGACACAATAAAGTGGAACTTTGTTTGTTGTACAGGCCCACAAGGGCTAAAAAGGCTTTGAGGGATCGGTAGAATTCCTTTGCATCTTCTTGATCTCCTTGAGCCGCTCCTTTTCCTTCTTCCTCTCCTCCTTGATCGACATGCGCTTCTCCTTATTTTAGAAACAAATACAACAGTTGTTCGTTGTTAGTTTTCTGACTGCCAATGGTAGGGGTGGGGCGGTACCTTGGTGGACATGACCCGTGGTCGTATGTTCAGCCGTGCCGCGTTCTCCAGGAGCTCCGCCTCGTAGCGGGCGATCATCGTCTTTTTGTAGTTCTCTATGTCCTCTGCTGTCTGTGGGAAACTGCTCGCCACAACGCATCATCATGCCTGGTGAGCTGAATCGGCCATGAAGGAAGGTAGGTACCAAGAAATTGTAAATAAAACGTACACTTTTCGCTTGAGCTCTTCAGCCTCCTGAACAGCTCGGTACTCTTCGGCTGACCAAAGAGGATTATGCTCGTCAGCTGTAGCTCCTGATGTGCTTCGTTCAGATGCGTGTGCCCTTCTACTATGTGCGTGCGTGTGCGTCGCTCTGGTGTTGAAAGTGCGTACCTGGTGGTGGGCCAGGCATCGGCTCGCTGATAATATTTGGCACAGTGCCCCGTCTCTTTGTCTGCAGCCAAACCACAAAGATGAATTATGCAGAAAATAAAATGAATTCCATTCGTGCAAGCCCTGTGTGCGTACGAGAGTGGCGGGCGATCCCAGAGGCGACTGCAGGCGGTCAAGCCAATTATGTGAGCAATCATCAAAATTCAACAAGGCACTTTTTGTGCTACAAAGAAAGAGAAAGGAGAGGTACCGCGCCGTCACTCACTGCCAACGTCTCGGCTGCACATTGCAATAGATTCAATAAAAAAGAATATATAGCAATGAACAAAGCGCAATAACAATTAGGGAGGGGAGTACCCGAATAGCTCATCCGGTAGCTGGGAATGGGCACGGAGCTGGCGCTCATGGTCATATGTGGCAGGGTGCTATGATCGGTCAACCTGGGCGAATCGACAGCATCGATTCTCCACACATTAAAGAAGAGAGCATTGCTTTGTTTGTCGGAGGTTAGCGGAAGTACCCGACAGGCAAGACGATGCTGGTCCTAACTTGCTTCTGCACCTGGAACGCGGCGTTGGCGCCCACAATAGCTGGGTGGCGGCCACCACGGGAAAGTGTGAGATCGGCGTCGCTCTAACCCAGAGGCGAGCCTGCGTGCGTGCTTACCCTTGGATAAGCAACTGAGCCAGAGATCGGCGTCGAGCTTGACGCCGAAGAAGAACACCCAGTCTCGCTTGGTGCCACCACTGGAGGTAAGCTTGATCGCATTCTTCAGGGCTGCACATTTACGCAGAGCAAGCCCACTGGTCAGTGCTGCAACGCACACGACTCAACACGTCAACACACAACGAAACGTACAGGGAGTGTCGGGGAGGGCGGCCACTTGGGCTCCCACGAGCAAGGCATCTTCGAGGAATTTGTAGGCTCGATCGGCCCGCCGGGCCTTCTTCTGCTCCGTGAGCATGATCACGTCCGTGAACACGAACAGGTACCTGTGCGCGACCCGACGCACACACAACACACCTGTCAGCCATTTGGCTGTAATGAGAGGCAAAAGAGGAGTAAAGTACCTGTAGCGGGATCTCTTGGTGGCGGGCACGTATTCGAGCACCATTCCCTCCTTGACCGGCTTTCTGCCGAACTCCATGAAGGCCTGCATGGAGCATAGCCTCAGGTGAGCCAATCGTCCATTAGGTGACGATCGGGCTTGTGCGAGGGTGAGCGTACTTTGGGGTAGCCCTGGATCTGCTTGGCCAGCTTCGTCATGACGCTGAGCACCTGTCGAGAGCGCAACCCGAGCGTGTGAGCTGACATGTCTCCCTGCAAGCTAAAAGAGAGAAAAGAAGGTGCGAACCTCGCACTTGTCCTTCTCGCTCTCCATCCACGCCGCCAGCTCCTGCATCTTCGGCAGGCCCAACTAGACGAGTCGAAAAGGAGGAGTGGTGAGTCTTCCATGACTTCAGCCGAACCAAAGTGGCGTCGCATGCGCAAGATTAATCAAACCTGGAGGAGTGGGTAGTCCGGATGGGATCGTGGCGTGTTTTTAAGTAAGTCCTGCGATTGTGTGTGTTGCGTGATGTGTTGGTGTGTGCATTGGTGTGCGTTGTGTGCCATGCCGATCGCTTAGATGAGTACGCAACGTGTTCAGTCCGAGCGATGAGAAGAGCGGTACGTTGAGCAGGAGGAGGTAGCGTGGAATTCTTTGGATGGGCATGATGAGGAGGGAGTTCAGGTCTTTCACTGACCCACTGGAGCTCACTTCATCCTTGAATGTTCTCCACCGCGGATCGCGTTCCACCCGGTCCAATGTCTCGATGCTGTTCGGAAGTGGTGAGCACCCCACGACACGCACGACACACGACACGACACGCGACAGCGCACCTGGTGTCGAAGTTATTTACGTAGGCCGAATAGATCTTGAACTTGTCCACCTGTAAATTGCTCGAGGTGAGTGCCGGGCAACTCGAGTGGTGCGGAGAGTGGGGGGGGGCTGTACCGCCGAGAGGAAGGCCTGACCCAACTGCATCTTCAGGTTTTCGTTGACAAACTCGAGCGCCTTCTCCACCTCCACCAGCAGAGCGCCGTTGACCGCCAGGATGTCCCTGTTGTATCGGTGTCGACACACAGGTCGCGACGCCTGCCTCAGCACTCCCGCACTCCCGCCCTCTGAAGGTCATAGGGCCAAGGCGACTGACCTGATGACGGAGAAGATCTTCTTGATGTCGTCCTGCGTGATGAACGATTTCGGGCTCTTCTGCAGGATGCTCTCCAAGGGCTCGATGAACCTCTGGTGCACCGCCAACGGTGAATAAGATGATGAGCCAACAGCCGGGCCATGATCGATAATCGATTCATCGGACACAGAGAGAGGGCAGGGTGGGTACGGTGACTATGGAACCGAGGTACATGACGTAGTTCTTCTCCGTCTCCAAAATCTCCTTGGCGATGTGTTTGCGCTTCATGTAGAACCTGTTGGCGAACGCCACGAGTTTTGGTCCGCGTCAGCCCCATGATCATCGCACGCAATGTGTGCGCCAAACCACGCGTACCGTTCGTCGTCCACCTGGGCAACTGGTGCCTCCACCTGATGGCGAGGAGGGAGAGGAGCGCGCAATGAGCGACTCGCACGGGAAAGAGGAAATCAAGGGCCAAGGCAGCGTACTTCGGGCACCGGCGAGATCGGGCCTGAGCTATTGCTCGAGAGAGTGGCCCTGGACCTTCGCAGGGTGGCGACCTTCTCGACCTTCGCTGGATGCACCTGCGGCATGGCATCAAGAACTTGATTGAGCCGCGGTTCGCACGAGATACCAGAAACGACCGGACGGTACCTGAACTGGCCTACGTTGCAAGGGGCCATTGATCGGAGCCTTGAGGTACTCGAGACCCATCAAGGCCATCTGGTGCAGTTCCTGCAGCTCGTTGGCACGGGCGATGCGCCTGAAGAAGACGTCGACTTCGTGCTTGTCCCGCAGCTCGCGTTGCTTGTCCTCGTCGAGGGTGAGCATCACTGGCCAAGTTGTCCCGCGCATGTGTTGCGAATCGAGTCAGCGAGAGCGACACCCGACGAGGCGAGCACAGGCAGCAGTGGGTACCCATCACACGCAGAACGTCCTCGAGCGCGGCTTCGGCGGAGTCCTGCAGATTGTGGATCATGAGGTCGACGAGCGGCGGGACGGCGTTGGCCCTGAATATCATGTCGCGCACGTCCTTGTTCGTCGACAGCGACTGCAGCGCTGTCGCAATCTGCACACGGACCCCCACACGACGCCATTTGTCAGCCACCAGTGCGTGTGCGTGTTCGCGAGACTCCAGTTAAGCACCTCGTTCTTAATCACGGCTGGGATGGCTGGGCGTGTGAGCATGTCGACCAACGCAAGGACTGTGCCGTCCTCCCAGAGCGCGGGGTGATTCTCCTCTATCAATTTAATATGCGTTAGTGTGGTCGTATTGTGAAAAAGAAGAGAAATAAGACGTGAAGGCTACCTTCGATGACAATGTTGGAGGTGGACTTGATCGCGCTCTCCAAGATCTTGGGAAACACTTCGGCTTCGTTGAGCACCTTGGTGAGCCTTACCGAGACTTGGTGTGACACCAGCAGCTTTCGCGTCTCGGCACTGGCAAGTCACCCAACACGCACGATATACACGATAAGTTAAGTCGGTGGAGGTGGCGGGAGGTTGGTGCGAGACGAGCGTACTCGAAGGCGGAAAGATTGACCAGGAGGTCAAACACCGACTGCTGGATATCGCGCGAGGCGGATGAGAGCAGACTGACCACTTGCCGCACCGCGTTGGGCTGCATGATGAACTTGGCCTGCACCTCGGCTGTGAAGAAGAAACAGAGAACATAAGAATTGGCGCCAGCACGCTGCGTGATAGCAGACTGATTTTATACGAACCATCAAAGAAGAGGTTGAGAAGCGCTCTGGCCGCTCCGGTCACGATCTTCTCCGGGTACTCCATCTCGCTCAAGGGGATCGCTTCGCCTTCCTCGTGCTAGCGATATGTGGCACACCGCGGAGTGTGAGCATTGCTCGTGGGTACGACTTCGTAGGTGGGGGGTTGGTGGTGAGCCAACGTACGTTCTCGTCGGTGGCGAAGTCGAGCAGCGACGTCAGCAGCGCCATGAAACCATATCGTTCGCTGGCCACCAGCGCCTTGTTCCGCGGGTAGTCATCACTGTATTGTATCATCAATTAGAGAGGTTAGATGAGCAGGAGTGTGTGGCTAGAGCCGCAGGAGACGAGGAGACGTAGAGTGTACGTGGTGATGTTGGTCAGCAGCCACAGGACTTTCTCCAAAACATCGGCGTTGTCCCGGTCCTCGATGAAGATGCGCTTCAGCGCGTGCAGCAGCCTGCCAGCGTCCAGCTCCTACACAGAACCAACACGAATGTCGGCCCTGCAGTTAGCACGTACGGCCGTTTGGTGCCAAGTGGGTCACGCGCGGGGCGGGTTACCTCTTGGATGGCAGCGGAGGGGCCGTCGGCGGTAAGGTTGGAGAGAGCCCAGCAGGCGTACATGCGCATGACATCGGTGGCGCTGTCCGAGCCTAAGATCCTGACGATCGGTGCCGCCACGCCCAGAGCTTCTAGATGCCTGCGGTTGCCGGCTGTTGATAGATAAGAACACAATAAATCGTCCATCAATCACAACATCTCCTACAACTCTCTTCCTTCCCACACCTGATCAGAAGGTGGGGGGCTCACCTTCCGCAGCGAGGTTGAGCAGGATGCTGAGGCAGTATTCCTGCTGCTGCGGGTTGTCATCTATGGCCAGACCCTTGATCAGTAGGGCCATCTGGTCGGGTTGGAGGATAGGCCGGTCCATGATTGTATCCAATGCCGATGATGCCGTGATGGAGTAACGGTTGCGGGCCTACTCGCCTTTTGCTCTTTCTTCGTGATTAGACTTCAACAAGAAGCGAGCCTTAGTTCGTTCCTCACTCGCCTCCACTCCAGATCCTCTCGTTGCGAAGCGAACTCGCAAGTCTTGGCTTGTTGTGTCGCTTCTCTCCTATTGTCAACTCTCCACGCGGAAAAAGGTGTGCCTTTCCTTTTTGAATATTTTGGGGTTTTTTTCAATTTACTTTAGAGATCGACTACCATCTTCTTGCATCAACTGGCAGCGGCAGCTTCAGGAAGCAGTTGCTACCCATTCAAAGTGCCTTTGGTGCGGTTGGGGTCATTCGGGTCGAAGTTGATGCCGAGCATCAGTGGAAGGAGGCGTGGTGTTGGGCGTATTGTGCAAGAAAAATGAAAGAAATGTTTCGTGCAACAAAGAAAAGTGTCGACCCAAAGTTGGTGTTGTTGATTTCTCGGTTGCAGTCACGGCGGCAATCGACAAGATTGGGTTCTTCTTGCGTCGATCAACCAGGAATTGGAAGGATTTAATCTAGATTTACAGAGCCGCAAGATCGAGCGAAGATTTTGTTTGAGAATTAAGGATGAGCGCGAAGACTGAGCGAGACAAGAGGAAAGAGCAACGGCTCAAGGAGCTGCAGGACAAAAAGGATCGACTGCGTCGCCTCAAGGAGAAGAATCAAACTGAATTTGCTCCCAAGGTTGGTCGCCCCTCACATTTCCCTCTTTGCATTGTTTGCTTCTGGCACGCCACGAGAGATAAGGAGGCCACAAGTGTGCCGAATTTGTCAGCTTTCCATCAAATCGTTTCTTTACTCACTCACTTGCGCAACGTCACGCCTGGTGGCGTTGCCGCACGCGTGCAGGAGGCGGGCGTGCTCGACCTCACGTCGATCAGCAACGTGCAGGACCTGCTCAAGACCCTCGAAGAGACCACCATCGTCCCCAAAACAACCCCCGACGACGGAGACGATGACACGCGTACTCGCCCCCTATCCCGTCTCTGCACGTGTGCGTGTGCGTGTGCGTGTGCGTGTGCGTGTGCGTGTGCGTGTGCGTGTCCATGATGCGGACGCGTCGACGCTCATCCGGCGCTGCCCGCATTTGGGATGCAGAGCTCACCGGCGCCACGGAGGCGGCGAGCCCGCGCCGAGCCTCGCCGGAACCCGCCGCCCTGTCTCCGCGGCACACCACCACTTCGTCAGCCGGCGCGGCCCATACCACCGTCAGGCCCCAGCAGCTGTCCATTCAGCTCAACGTCGTCGCGCACGACATCGCTCCCAAGGTGCCTATCGGGACACTGTCAACAACACACGACACACCGCACACACCGCACACCGTGCGGTTGCTGACACACACACGCACACGCACAAACACGCGCCAGGATGTGGAGGTGTACTCGCGAGGCATGCAGACCGAGGAGACCTGGACCGGCGAAGGCAACGAGGAGATCGGCGTGGAGGAGGGCGCGGGCGACGTTGCGGAGAAGCAGGTCGTGCGCAAGGGCAAGCGGAGCGGCACCGTGGCCGGTGTGAACACCGTCTCCACCTCCACCGACACCTCGGGTTCGCTCTCCGCGGCGCTCGCTCTCGCTTGCGGTCTTGCACTCACCGCACTTTTTTCCTCTTTTTTTTTTTTTTTGTCCATTCACTCAGCTGGCCCGGGCGAGGAGGAGGGCGAAGATGAGGAGCGATCGACCAAGGTGACCGGCCCACCGCCACCGCCTGGTATACACACAACACAACACAACACAACACAACACAACACAACACAACACACAGCACGCACGCACTGATTATCGGTACGGGAAATTACAGAGCTGAACGAGATCGAGAGAGGCGAGATCGTGCAGTCGGCGGACTTTGGGCACTTCTTCAACAAGGCCACGCGCACCATGGAGCGGGCCATCTACCTGGCCGACAAGTTCAACCTCACCCGCGACTTTGTCGACGACGATCGACGCTCCGCCAGCGGGTGCGCTACCCCCTTTCTTCTTCCACCGTCATTTCTACATTTATAGTAATGATCATTTATTGCGGTTGTGATCACAGAGATTTCGATGTGGGCCAGAAGGTGCGACACCAGATGACCCTGTTCGACGAGTCGGTGTGCAAGTACCGCGCCGTGACAGACCTCACGTGGTCCCCCAAGGTCTTGTTACTTTCCATCGCCCCGGCAGGCTGTGCGGGTTGCGCGTCCGCTCACACTTCTTGGTCGTTGTGTTCGCCTTCTATTTGTTTGGTGGTTGGTGGTTGGTGGTGGCAACTGGTGCAGGACATGGACCTGATCGCGGTGTCGTATTCGGCCAACGAGACCGGCATCTCCGAGGAACCCGATGGCTGTGTGTGCGTTTGGTCGCTCCAGAACACGCTCCAGCGGCCCGAGTCCGTCCTCCAGTGCCAGGTAACTCCTCTCTTCCACCCACACGCACACGCGCACGAAATATGACGCACAGGTGTCACTGACACCTGCGTTTGTGTTTGTTGCAGTCTCCCGTGCTCTCCACCATTTTCGCCAAGTACCAGCCCAACATCGTCATTGGCGGAACCTACTCCGGCCAGATCGTGCTCTGGGATCGGCGGTGCGTTCAGCAAGTGCCCCCGCGTGTGCGTGTGCGTGGGCGGGGGCGATGACCTCACACGGGGCGTGCGTGTGCGTATCAGGGCTTCGCGTAAGACGCCGATCCAGCGCACGCCGCTGTCGTCGATCGGTCACACGCATCCGGTCTACTCGCTCGCGGTGCTGGGCACTCAGAACGCCAACAACCTGGTCACCGTCTCGACGGACGGCCGCATGTGCGTGTGGGCCTTCGAGTCTCTCCACCAGCCGCTCGAAGTGCTCGAACTGCGCAACAAACAGGTGTGTGCGGTGTGTGCGGTGTGTGCGGTGTGTGGTACCGTGCGGCTGAATAGCACGTTGTGTTATGGCGGCACGTGTGCAGAGCAAGTCCGTGACGGGTGGCGGTAACGTGGCGCCCACGTGCATGGCCTTCTCGGAGGGAGAGGTCAACGAATTCTTCGTCGGCAGCGAAGAGGCCACCGTCTACCAGGCCTACCGCCACGGCACGTACGTGTTCCCTATCTCACGACACAACACGCACACGCACACGCACACGACACGTGCGGGTGGCTGATGGTTGGATGGTGACGGGGCTGGCGCGCGCAAAACAGGAAGAGCGGAGTGTACGAGCAGTACAGCGGGCACAGGGGACCCATCACGGCCCTAGACTTTCACCCGGCCCACGGCCCCGTGGACTTCTCCGACTACTTCCTCACCTCCTCCGTCGACTGGTCCGTCAAGCTCTGGAACAAAAAGGTACCCTTCCCGGCATTTCCTTTTTATTAATACATAATTGATTCATGTTTATGTATTTATTGATGTATTTATTTGTCTATTTATTTGGAAAACAATTCATTTATTATTAATTAATTACTCATTTACTGATTTAATTGGTGTCAAACAGAACACTTTCCCGCTGCACTCGTTCGAGGACGTGGGCGAGTACGTCTACGACGTGGCCTGGTACGCTGGCTTCCCGTCTCCCCGCCGTTCGTTGGCCACGTAACCTGGCTCCTCACACCTGCACGCGTTGGACAACAGGTCGCCCGTCCACCCGGCCCTGTTCGCGTCGGCCGATGGCACCGGCAGCTTGTGCCTGTGGAACCTCAACGAGGACCCCGAGGTTCGTTCATACGCCACGCGCGCGCGTCTGCGGTGCTAAATTTGTGGGAAATGATTGCAGACGCCGTATGCTCGCACGGCCGTGGGTACGGGCAAGGCGCTCAACAGCCTCAGCTGGGCGCCTTCGGGCAAGAAGATCATCTGCGGCGACGCCACCGGCTCTGTTTACGTCTACGACATCTCCGAGGTGCCCATCCACCTCTCTTTGCCTCTCTTGTCTGTCCGTCATGTCGCGTGTGCATGTGCGAGCGGCTCTCCTGTGTGATGTGTGTATGTATGTGTGTGTTGCCTCGGGCCAGCTCCTCACACGCGCACAACGCACAGATTGCTTCGCCCAGCGCCCAGGAGTGGGACAGGCTGGAGTCCAGCCTGAAGGACCTCGCCTACTCGTCGGCAGCGACCCACGCACGCGAGTCCGAAGACGCTGACTTCATCTAAACGTCACCTCCAGACCCCAGCTACACCCTCTCACCATAAACCACCAATTTGCCCACCAGAGTCCAACCACTCAGTAAACCTCCAAAATTTGCCAGTCCGCGATGGCTCTGTACGAATGAGCATTGGGCATGCGGCGAGCCCGACATGTGCCTTTGTCGCCCACAAGGATCTCTTTCGCCGGCTGGGTCGCTGACGAAAAAGGCAAGACCCGTTTCTACCAGGTGCCTCTCTGCTGGTTTGGGACTTGCCAGACTTCTCCACAGAGGGCAAAAGCAAGTCAGACAATGCAAATCCTTAGAACCGAGGACCAGTGTCTCGACTTCAGCAAGAAGAACCTCCTCAAGTTGGTGGTCTTTGTTGCCTACAAGGAATGGACGTTCACCCTGGCCTTTGAGACCCATCCGTCCCAAGATTTTCCCTGTGGGACACGAGGCACCTTCATGGCGGGCGGAAACGGCGACGACATCGAGTTTTATGATCCCCTGTCGCTCGACTGGGAGGAACACCGTCTGGCCGAGTTCCAGTGGTTACAGTTTGAACCCAAGGCTTCGTCTTGAGAGGAGCTATAGGGCTATGACCAACATAAAGCAACTTGATGCCTGCTGCACCCCCGCACCCCTTGCTCGCTTGGCCTTCCTGCGCTTCCTTTTGTCTTGATTCTCTTCTTGGGCTCCTGCGGGACATTTTAGGAAGTGGTGAAACCAATTTGCCACGTGGGGTGGAGTCAGACCGGCAGGACATCACCACTCGCCAGCAGCGACCCACGCTGACTTCATCTCAACGTCACCGCCCGACCCCACCTCCACCAGCCCAACCATTAAGTCATGATTGTTGTTATTCTGATTATAATCTTTCTCGCCTGAGAACTGGCCTGGATTTGTCTGGAAAGCAGATCAAAAAAATGACCCCACAGGCCAGGTTGGCCGGAATTCCACCAAAAAAAACCTAACGTCAGAGGTCGGCCCTTTTTGCAGCAAGCCGACCAAAATTTCGGCCGAAAGGTGGCGGACCTGTTGACGAGAACGAGGACGAAAGTGGGCCTTAAATAGTCGCTGGCGCCTGCCCATTTGATCATACAATCAAAGCACTCTACACTCAACAACCACTACAGCTCCCTTAACCACTCTCACTACCAAAATGATCGCTCGCTTGCCCCTTACGATCCTCCTCCTCGCGGCCGTCGCCGTGTCACTCTGCGCCGCCTGCACCCAGCCCTCGTGCACCACCGGCACCTACGGCCTGATCCCCGGCTTCACCCCCACCAGCAACGGCTGCGGCTCCTACGGCGTGTCCATCGACGCGCCCTTCGGCGTCACCCCGTGCTGCAACCAGCACGACATCTGCTACCACAGCTGCAACACCTCCAAGAGCGACTGCGACGACCGCTTCGACCAGTGCATGAAGGACGTCTGTGACTCGGAGGACGATATCGAGAAGATCGCGTGCCGCGCCCAGGCCGAGCTGTTCTACCAGGCTGTGATGGACCTCGGCTGCCGCGCGTACCTGAACAACCAGGAGGCCGGCTGCCAGTGCTCGGACGGCTCCATTGTCACCTCTCCCGGATCCTCCAGCTCCGCCGACACTCGCGCCGTGAGCACCCTTCTCCAGTTCGCCACCACCGTCGCTGGCCTCATCATGTAAACATGCAGATATCTGCTTCTTCTACATGTACCTGCGAATATACCTTTAGCTACGTTTTACTTTCCTCAAACACTTGTTGATGGCGCCTACTTGCTGCTAGACCTGGACTGCCACACTAGGAATTGGCTGGCGGATTAATCCAGCAGCTTCCGGTTGGGCAACTCCGCCGTCCCACAATAGGCCGCCACTCAGCTCGGGCCAGCCCTCAAGTGGGCCTCAGCCCCCGTTCATTGTACGCCGGCCCGCCTAAGCAGCGGGCTGTAACCGTGCTTGCGGGGCATGTGGGTGGAGGGATTGGTGGCGTGCGTAGACGAGCGAGGGTTTAGGCCCACGCCGAAGGCCGCTGCCCCATTCCAGAAGGAGACTCGACATTGTGGCCCTCTCGGAGGGGAGGGCTTCAAGGTCGATGATGAGCGTCGCACCGCCTCAGGCTGGTTGACAGAGCAGGGAAAAGACGCCGGTCCCCTTGGTGGAGGGATCACAGCCCTGAGTGGGTCCTCTCGGGAAGCTGCGTATCGACTCCAACACCTCCACTTTTTGTCCGGTGCTTCCTTCTTCTCACTCAACGAACAAGACAAGGTGTCGAAGGTTGGTCACAGGAAAGGAAAAGAGGGGAGGAAAACACAAGTGTTGTTTATTAGTGAAGAGAAAGGAAGTGCAACAAGGTCAGGGCTATTGGGGCTGGAGACCTGCACAGAAGGAACACCAAGTGAATCCCGCCAGGGGCCTCATGGAGGAGAGGCGGCTGTGTGGAGGGTTACGTAAGGACATGCGACTAGGCTCAGTAAGTTGAGCGAAAGAGAAGAGGACATCCACGCACGCCTCACTCTGTTGGACGTCTGGTAAGGCAACAACTCGAGGTGGATGACCGTAATGGTTGTGGGGAAGGTGGTACGGGTGGCGATCAATAGAGTAGAGTGAAGGAGAGGTGCGCACCATCCGGGACCCTTGCTGGATGAGGCCTCTCGCGGCCATCCTGCATTCCTGGAGAGAGGAAGAAGAGAAAGAGAGAGGATCTGGTCACTTGTACAAGTGCCAATTACTGTTTTATAGTGAAGCGCGAGGAACTCTGCACGACCACAAACGTTGTGAGAGGAGCCCCCAACAAGAGAGAACCACCTCGGTCTCCGTCTCCTCGCTCGCTTCACGGTTTGGGAAGAAGCAATTCGGTTCAGCCTGCAGACACGAGATAGACAGCCAAGAGTCAGCCATGCCTGCCACCTTCGCACGCGCGCACACACACAGGAGAACTACATACCAGAGTCGGGGAGGGCGGGCGGGACCCGGTTTAGAGGAAGTAGTCGAGCTCGGCGCGGTGGTAGGTGTTGTTGGGCTCGTCCTCGAGGCGCGGGTAGGCCGGGATGAGCGCGTCCTGGGCGCCGATGTAGAGCATGTTGTAGATCTTCCAGTAGACGGTCCGCACCTTGCGCGCCGGGTGGAAGAGGCCCTGGAAGGTGTACTGCATGACGGGCGAGGGTCCGAGCGAGACGCGGGCGGCCTCGATGGCCTCCATGACGGCGTTGATGACGTGGGGCGAGGTCTCGAAAATGTTGGGCCACACGTAGTTGAGCAGGTGGAGGATGGCGTCCTCGGAGGAGAGGCCCTGGACGCCGAGCGCCATGTGCTTGACGACGGTGCAGGCGGTCTGTCGGTGGACGAGGTCGCGGTCCATGAGGGCGTCCTCGAGGAGCGGAGTGACGGCGTAGCAGTAGTCCTTGCCCATCTCGCCGATGTACTCGAAGAGGAAGGAGAGGGCCTTGAGCACGCCGTTCTGCACGTTGAGCTCGGGCACGCGGTACTCGTTCATGAGGGCCGGGAGGACGGTGAAGGGCTGGCACGTCTCGGCGACGATGGCGATGGCGACGGTGGTGCACACGCGGTTCTGTCGCTCCTGGACCTTGAGGTTGTTGAGCAGCGTGGCGAGCACGTCCTGCGGGCCGATGGCCTTGGCGATGTAGCCGAAGGTGTTCACCGTGGCGCGGCGGATGGCCTTCTTGTGGGCCTTGAGCATGTCGAGCAGCTCGAAGCAGATGCGCATCCACTCGCGCGCGGCCACGTACTCGGCGCCCCTGTCGGCGATACGGCCGACGAGGTCGATACAGTTCTCCTGCACCTTCTCGTGTCGGTTCTTGAGGATCGGGGTGAGCCGCGGCAGGAGGTCCTTGATCGGGGGCGTCATCTTCTCCATGCCGATCACGTTGACGATGGCCTTGAGACCGCCGAGGATCGAGCCCAGCACCTCGGGGTACTCCTCGCCCAGGTACTCGTAGAGCACGACGCCCAGGTGGCCCATGAGCTTCTCCTCGCCGCAGGTCTTCATCACCGGCGCGATGCGCGCGATGAGGTCGGCCGCCTGCTGGCGCACCTTGGCCGACTTGTTGTTGAGGCGCCACTTGATCGTACCGGCGATCTGCGGCAGGTAGACCTTGCAGCGCAGGTTGAGCGCGTTGACGACGGTGCCGAAGCCGTTGAGGATGGCCTGCGAGTCGTCGGAGGTCTGTTCCTGGAAGGCGTAGAGGATGCCGTCGATGAGCTGCTCCTCGAGGCGCGAGTCGATGTCCGACGAGCCCATGTTCTGGACGACCTTGTCGACGGTCTCCATCACCATCTTTCGGTAGGGCTCCGACTCGTCCTTGAGGTCGTCCACGATCCGGCCGACGATCTCCGAGGCACCCACCTTGTTGGCCAGCTCGACGGTGGTGTCGACCAGCTGCCGGTAGTTGCGGCGGTCGAGCGCCATTCGCCGGATCCAGAAGCACTTGAAGAACTCGGGCAGGATCTCGTCGCGCACGTACTGCGCGGTCACGCCCTCGGTGGCCACGCACTGCTTGACGACCTTGAGCACGATCTTCTTCATCTCCTCGTCGGGCGACGAGAACTCGCGGATGAGGATGATCATCACCTCCTTGGTGTAGTAGTTGGCGTACTCGGCGTCCATCAGCGGGATGATGAAGCCGATGGCCTTCAGGAAGGCCGCGAGACCCTTGCCGCGGTGCTTGCGGATGCCGTACCACAGCGGCTTGAGCACGACGTCGAACGACTCGATACCGTAGGGCGTGGCGGCCTCGGCCAGCGCGGCGATCGACAACGCGGTGATGGTGCGCACCTTCTGCTGCTCGTCCTCGAGGCCGTGCTTGATGATGTCCACCAGGCTCTTGAGGTGGGGCAGAATGGCGCAGCCCATGAGGATGGCGATCTGCTGCACGATCTTGATGCCCGTGTGACGCGCCTGCCACGACTTCTTGCTCTGGCACACGGCGCGGAGGAAAGGCAGGAGCGCGGGGATGCCCAGCGCCGACGCCACGACGGAGAAGGCCCGCGCGGTGGTGTTACGCACGTACTCGTCGACGTTGTCGATGTCGGGTCGCATCGTGGCGATCATGGTGGCCAGACCGGCGGCCTTGCTGAGGTTGGAGATGATCTCGCGGCCCTCGACACGCGCGTAGTAGTCCTCGTCGATGAGCAGAGGCTCGATGACGACCAGGATGTTGTGCACGAACGGTCGGACGAGATCGTCGAGCTTGTAGAGGATGCGGTCGATGACCTTGACCAGCAGGTGCCGCTCCTGGTCCTCGAGCGTGGGCGACATGAGGAGGGGCAGGATCTGGTTGAAGAGCGGACCCGGGCCGAACTCGCGCGCCTTGTCGGTGATCTGACGCAGGGCCTGCTTCCTCATGGGCGGCGTGCCGTTCTTGATCTTGAGCAGCAGCTTCATGATCTTCCGCTCCTTCTGCTCCTCGATGCTGAGCTCCTCCTCGTTGACGTCCTGCAGGAGGGCCTCGAAGTAGGGCTTGTCCTCGGGCTTGATGGCCGGCAGGTTGCCGACGGGCTGCTCGAGGTCGACGGTCCCGTGCGACGAGAGGTCCTCCTCGGCCATCATGAACCCGCCGTCGCCCGTCAACGGGGTGGGGGTCCACGCGATCTTGCGGGCGGGTGTGCGAATGGGCTTGTAGGAGGCGGGGGGCTCGAGAATCTTGTACCCCTCCGAGGGCATCAGCTCATCGAGCTCCTCGTCGGTGAGGGGCTTGTTCCTCTCATCCACATCGCGCTCCCAGCGCATCGCGTGCATCTGCTCGGGGGTCATGAATTGAAGCTGCCCGGGCGTAGGGGTCTGGATGTTCGCGAAATTACCGACGGGGGTGGCCCCCATGGCGTCGAACGAAACACCCACGGGCGTTGCGGCGCCCATGGGCACGTTGGCGGGCGTTTCATCCCAGCGCGACCTCTTCCTTGGTGTCTCCTCTCCTGCGCCCTTCCTCGGTGTCTCATCCCAGCCGCCTCGGGTGGCACCCGGCGTCGCGGCAACTGGCGTCTCATCCCATCGATTTCGCCTGGGCTTCTTGGCGGTGGGGGTGGCATCGGCAGTGGCCGTGGGAGTGGCGTCGTCCCAGCGACTACCGGTCGCTGGTGCCGCGGGCGTGGCCGATCCATCATCGTCCCATTGCGAAACGGGGGCCGCTACGGGCGTCTCGTCCCACCTTCTCCTTTTCTTCTTGGGCGCTTCCGTCGCTTTGTTTCCATTATCTCCATTACTCTCATCGGCAGGTAATTCCTTCACGTAGTCTTCTTTCCCTTCTGAGTAGAGGTCTTTGTCGAAGGCTCCAGCCGATGCAAACGCAGCCTTATCGCTCATGCTGAAGATGAAAATTGTAATTCAGTCTTTGTCAACAAATCACAACCAATGAATTGTTCTGATTGACACTAGCCACTTCTTCCCTCAGCCTCCAACAAAAGAACGAACAAAGATGATGCGCAGGAACTGAGCGTACCTGTCCACCGCACAGCGAGCAAGCCAATTTGCAGATCAAGAGAAAAAGAAAAGTTGCCCCTTTGTCTTTTCCCGTGTTCCTTTTTCTGAACTTCGTCCGCAATGTCAAGAATTGATGACGTCACGCCAGCTCAGTAGCTCGAATGGGAGGATATTTCCGGCCAAGTACGTCAAGGTTCTTTCTTCTTCCCTCTCGCTTCGACGCCATCCCTCTTCTCTCCTCTCACGGCAGCGACTCGATCCTCACATCTCGAAAATGGTGTCCACTAAGAAGCAGGTTCGTATCTTACGACCCGTGGAGTGGCCTTTTTCGTCTCTCTCGTGATGTGCTGCTGCTGCGTGCTGCATGAGAAGCGGATGGAGGAGTCCGATTTCGATGCGATTAAGAGATTCTCTCGAATCGATTAATCAAATCGTTCGTCCATCGCGCCCCACTATGCAGCCGCGCCATGCAACCAAGCAAGTACCATGCTGACGTTCTGCTTCCACTCTTCAGAAAAAGGCCCAGGAGAGCATCAACTCTCGCCTTGCCCTCGTCATGAAGTCCGGCAAGTACACCCTCGGCTACAAGTCGACCCTGAAGTCGCTCCGCCAGGGTAAGGCCAAGCTCATCATCATCTCAACCAACTGCCCTCCCCTGAGGAAGTCCGAGATTGAGTACTACGCCATGCTTGCCAAGACTGGTGTCCACCACTACACCGGCAGTACGCGCTCCCTTTCTTGGCCAGTGTCCATTCGCCTCTTTCTCTAAAATTAACATAATTCTCATCAATTTTTCCTTTACAGACAACATCGATCTTGGTACTGCCTGCGGTAAGTACTTCCGCGTGTCCTCGCTCAGCATCACCGACCCTGGTGATTCGGACATCATCCGTCAGCTGCCTGGCAACCAGTAAAGCTGCATTAAAAAGCTTCTTGGTGTTCTAGCTGCAATCGTAATTCGTTTCGCTACCCTTGAGGGGGGAGGGCCGCATAAAACAGTAACACCAGCGCGTGGTGGGGGCAGGTTGCCTTGCGTGGATATATTTCCTTTCTCGAAGGTCATAGAGTAGAGTGAAGGCCTCGGATGGGACTTGGCCAAAGATAGTAGATTTGTGGGGCTCATGCGCTACCCAATTAGTATTTCTTCCTCGAATAATTTGGGAGACAACTGGCAGCCAATGCCCTCAGAGCATCGCCACACTTGAAACCAAACTAACGCGCCTTCTTGCGTATCTTCCTCTCCTTGCCAGGATGCGCCTCTTGAGCTTCTTCGTCCTGTTTATCGCCCTGGCGTCGGCGGTGTGCGCTTCGCCCCACCCCTTCCCGCACCCCTCTTTTCCCAGCGGTGGCGAGACCACCAGCCGTGGCTTCGAGGACTCGTCTTCCGCCCCCGCCGTCACGGGCTTCTCAACGCTCATGGGACCGCCTGGCCAGTGGCTCTACGTCTACGGCTCCAACTTCCTGACCGGACCCGGCAACACCAGCCTCTACCTGGTCTCGGCCCTGTCGCCTGACTCCATCTCCAACCCCGTGCCCCTCCACGTCTACGACTCCAACTCCTTCGGCTTCACCGTCCCCCCAACAACAAGGACACGTACGATTTTTTTGCTTGTTATTTTTATTATTTCACCATTTTTCAAAGAGACGCGTCTCAGTTGTCGTGAGTGCGTATTGTCGTCTTCAGGTTCGTTCGGTTGATGGTGTCGACGAAGGACGGGAAGAGCGAGCCCTCGAAGCAGGTGTTTGCCATCGGCGTGCCCATCAACCCGCCGACCGTCAGGGGCTTCTCGCGCACCTCCGGCGGGAACGATTGCTGGCTGTATGTCTACGGTGATAACTTTGTCGTGGGCCAGACCCAGGTGCACATCGGCGGCGTCATTCCGACCAGCGTTGCCATCTACGACACCCAGTCCATTGGCCTCACGGTACTCTTCCTTGCTGTTGTTGGTGCTGCTGGTGCGGCTCCTTGAGTGTCGGCTCATCACAACTCACCGCCGCCGCAGGTGCCCAAGCTGCTCAAGTGCGCCGCCGAGCCGGTCACGGTGACGGTGGAGACGCCCAATGGCAAGGCCACCTCGACCGCGACCTACACCGTGCTGCCCAACCAATCCGGCGGCTTCTGCTGAGACTCACCACCACATCGGTTTTTTAGAGGGCCTTGAAGTGTCACTAAACCGTGTGCTCGGTCTTGCGTCATGATGCCAGTTGCCCAGGCCTCTTTCAAACGCTTGAGTGTGAGTGTGAGCGTGAATGTATTTACATCACCTTGGGGGGAAGGCGTTGTGTCGTGTTGGTGGTTGAGCAGCGGTTGCATCAAGGAAGGCCCACGGCGTAGCGAGCCTCCCGGCGCACGAAGGCCATGGCCGAACCCGGGAAGAGCACCCTCTCTTCGTCCTCCTTCACGCCGCGTCTCCGTCGGCTTCGGCCCGACAGCCCACCCGCCAGCTTGGCCTTGATCGCAATCGCCGTCGTGGCCGCGGCCGCCGTAGTCGTGGTTGCAGTCGCGGTCGCGGTCGCTTCCTGGTCATCTTCTGCCTCCTCGTCATTAGCGTCGAGTCCACTGCTACTGCTGCTGTTGCTCTCGCTACGACTGGCGCGGACGGGCAGGCTCCGGCCCCGACTCTCGCCTCGCTTACGTCGCAGGTGAAGCCACTCCATCACGCCGCTCCTCTTCGAGCCCGCCGACAACGAGCCCGACGATGTCGGCGATCCGGGCGTCGTGGGCGCGCTGCGCACGCTCAGGCTCGACAAGTTCGTGGAAGAATACGAAGTGCAGGGCGAGATGTCGCAAGAGGACGAAGACGACGAAGACGAAGACGACTGCGAAGAGGACCAGATCGTAGAGTAGGGGGAGCGGACCTGGCTGCTGGTTGTGGTCGTGGTCGGCGGCGCCAGCTTGGCCATGTCGAGCGGCGGCACCCAGGTGGCCCGCTGTTGTGCGCGGTGGAGCGCCAGCATGCGCGATCGTTCCTCGAAGTCCGTCGCAGCAGCTGTAGCCGCCAGGTCTGCGTCGAGGACCACCGTCTGCGTGCAGTCGAGGGCGTTGTGGTGGTTGTTACCCTCGCGCACCACCACCATGTCGTCCTCGTCGAGGGGCTTGGTGATCATCGACAAGACGCGAGGGGTCACGGCAGAGGCATCGCTCGCCGAGCGGGTGGTACGCCCTCCTGCCACCGTCGTGGGTCGCAAGATGAACGAGTCGTCTTTCGACTTGCCTACCCTCTTCTGTTTCTGCTTCTTCTTCTTCGTTTCCTTCTGCTTCTTCTTGCTCTCCTTCTTCTCCTGCTTCTCCTTCTTGGCGGCGCTCTTCCTCTTCTCCTTGCTGACGAGGCCCGTCGAGGTGGGCGACCTCTCGTCGGACGAGTAGACGAACGACTGCACCTTGCGTAGCCGCACCTGGGCATGCAGGTTGACGTTGTAGCTGAGCGTCTTGGTCGGCGCCGCCTTGGTCCTCCTCTCCTTCTCCTTCTCCTTCCTGCTGTCCCCCAGGCTCGACTCCTTTGCCTCTTCCTCCTTCTTCCCTTTCTTCGTCTTCTTGTCTTCTCTTGGCTGCGTAGAGGATGTCGATGATACCGTCGAAGTAGAAGGTGATGTGACGTCGGCGCTGGCCTCTCGTTTTTGCAGCAGCATCGCCATCGGGTGCTTCATCCTGTTGCCCTCATCGCCCTTCATCTTCTTCTCCCACTCTTCTCTCGCCGCTCGCTCCCTCTCGCGCAGGACTGCCCTCTGCAGCCTGGCCTCCTCCTCCTCCTCGTCGACCTCGCCCAGGAGAGCAGCTGCCGATGGGGGCGGCGACCTGGGTGGCGGTGGCGATGATGGTGATGATGGTGTAGATGGTGAAGGTGGCGAGGAGAGGGCCGCAGGGTGGAGAAAGGTGGAGAGTCTTGTGAAACCCTTGACCGGGCTGGAGAAGGCTTTCTGGTTGCGCCACAGCCACCTCTTCCTCACAGTCTCGCGCGCCTCATCCATGCAGCCGTCATCGTGCTCGTTCATGTTCCTCGACTGCCTAAATGTCGTCTTCCTTTCTCCTTCTGTGTCGCTGTGTTGGAAGCTGCTGTCACGGGCCGTGCTGTGGTCAACCAACCCGATCGTAGGTGAAGCAGAACGTTTCTTGCGGCAGAACGTGTGTTGTTGTCTGGGTGGTGCATGGTCTTGGCGCAGTATTGGTGCTTTCCTTGGTCTTTCATCACTTTCCCCACAAGACCTGATGACACACTTATTATAGAAGACATCACCGCCACCTCGCATGGGGTGCTCTGGTTACGCCTTTCGGCCAAAAGCTTAAAAAAGGCGCACGAGCAGCATCGAAATTCTAGGAATGCATGAGCAAGGAGTACTAAACTGCTTTGAATTCCGTTGGGCATCGCCAGGAGGAGCACCGCCCGACCTCACTGTGGGGCGGGCGCTGGCACCGCCACTCCCTCGCCCTCGTAGGCAGCAGCTGCTGTGTGGTGCGCAACCGAGCATGTGGTGAGCAGTGCAACAACCGGCACCAGTCGACGCCCAGGTGGTGGGAGACGTACCCTGTGGAGAGGGCGCGGGGAGGGAGGCGTCGTCGAACACTATCGGAATGAACCACAGCTCATCCTCCTCCCCACTGCTGTACGCCGTGACCTTGTCTATCGTCATGATGTCCACCTGCAGGCGCCACGCGCACAGAGAGCGGTGAGACGACGTCCATGTTCGCGGCCATCGTTGCAAGATGATCAATGCAGGACCGGCTTTGTTGGGCGTACCTCCCCGGGCTCATCGACTCGCTTACGTTTCTTGCCCGGGCCTTGGTCATCCTCGTCTTCGGCCTGACCCACAGCACATGAACACACCGAAAACGTGAGTTGTACGTGAGTAGGCGGTGAAGCAGATAAAGAAGTGTACAATGTCGAACTCGTCTTCTCGCTCCTCGTACTCCTCGTTCTCCTGGAGTTCGGTGAAGTCCGGGGCGAAGGCCGACCAGTTCTCTGGTTATCGACCCAAAGAATGGGCGTGAGGAGTAGTTCGCCGGAAAGAAAACATAGCAGGGTTCATCCAGGTACGCACCTGTGTAGTTGGTGGCCCAGATATATACAACACCCGACGTGGAGATCGATGCAATGATTGGTCGAAGCGGATGCCACTGCGCAATTCGCTCGCACATTAACAGTTGGCACACACTCACTCACTCACACACACACACACGGTGCGCACGAAGTGTGATCTCTGGGCTGGTGCGTACCACGAGGTCCAATATGCCCTCCTTGGGTCCTTCGAGGATTTTGACCAGGCGACCGAAGGCCCTGTTCCAGATGTAGATGTTGTGCTCGGCCTTCTGCGCCGATCCTGCAGCGTGCCCAATGGCCACGTAGATGATGAGCCCATCGAACGAAAGAACGACAGAGAACGACAGAGAACAGAAAATGACAAGAAAGCAACGAACCTCCGATGATGAAGTCTCCATCACAAGAGAAGCAGCATTGCTTCCACTGTATCTTGTTCACCGCGTCTTGGAACTCGCGATGCTGCAGCGTGTCGACATCGTATCTGTGGTTCCCAGCGACAGACAGGAAGAGGTCAACATTCCAGGAATCGGATCGGGAGGCGGTGCTGGTCCCAAAGGGCCGTGAGCGTACGCTCGCAGGGTACGGTCGGCGGAGTTGAGAAGGAAGTCCTTCCCGCTCTTGCTGAACTGAATCGATTTGATGGTGCTCCCGCCGGACACCCGAAACGAGTGTTCGATCTGATCACATCGGTTCGTGTGGTGTTTAGACGCGTACGACCGTGAGTGTGGAGCAGTGTCAATGACGATGTGTTATGATAGAGAAGCGCATCCAATACCTCCAGTGTTTTGGTGTCTATGATGGTGATGAAGCCTTTGGCATCGCCTGTGTAGATTTTGTCGCCCTTTTTGTTGAAGCTCACCGCGCTGACGTGCATCTTCTGCTTCTGCTCAACGACACACGATATACACGATACACGATATGACACATGGCGCGCAGACCATCGCTCGAAGGGCAGTGGGATGTGATGACGTACCTTGGTGTCCTGCTTCTGCTCTTCGGTGTGGTGCGGCAGGACTGTTCGCTCGCCCGTCTTCCAGTTGCCCAACAGTGGCCGCTCCATTACCGGCAGCACCACGTACTGGTTTCTGAAGGAGCATCGAATCAATCAGTGAATGCAGCTCACGCACAACATGCTAAAAACAGCCGCGCACGCACGCGGACAAGGTGGCGTACGGGTCGCGTGGGTGTATTTGGCAGAAGAGGGCCGCGGATTCGAGCTGCAGGGTCTGGTCCACATTGCCGCTGAGCACGTCCCACAGCTTGACCGTCCAATCGCTCGACGCCGAGAGCAGCTTGCGGCCATCGCGCGACCAGCTGATCACGCACACGACACGACCAACGACACGGCGCGCACGATGTCAGCAAGCACTTGCACGCGCACATGCAAACGGCCGACTCAAAGCTGTACCTGACGCTACTGATGGGGTGGCTGTGGCCCTTGAGCACGCGTGCGATACCACGCGTGTCAAAGTCCCAGATGACGACCCGGCCGTCGAGGCACCCGACGGCGAGGAGGGTCCCGCGCCGGTTGGGCGAACAGCAGCACGCGTAGCCGTCCTCGAGACAGTCCTCGATGACCTCCGGGAACTCGTTCTCAAACGGATCTAGAGCGGTAATTGAAAATGATTTTAAAATGAAAAGATTGAAGATAGATGGGGTGGCGGCAAGATCTCTCAAAAGGGCACGCACTGAGCAGTTCCAAATTCATGCTGGGTGGTCAGCCGAGATGCCTTCTTCTGATGTGTCTGCGATGGAGTAATAAAAGAAAAGCCGCCTTTTTTTCCGACAGAAGAAAAAAGACTAAATAAATGAACAGAACACACAACAAAAAAAAAAAAAAACGAAATTCAAACAACGAAATGAAATACCCGGGTTATTGCGAGCACGGTTGCCACAGAGCCCTGTGGCTTGTCCGCACGACAACCAACGCGAACCCACAAGCTCCTCTCGTTCAAACCGTTTGTTGCGTGAACATAGGCAGAGAAAGAGTTCAACACAAAAGCAAGAGCGAACTAGGCTGCGTTTCTGGTACCTCCTTGTTTTACAATATATTGCTAGTTTTTGTTTTGCTCCTTTTTCATCTTTAAGTTTTTTATTGTCATGATTTATTATTGTCTTTATTATTTATTATTCGTTGGCAGAAGAGGGTAAGGGAGGAGGTGGTGGCGGCTGACTTGAGGAAGCCCTCAGAGGAGGGTAACCTCAACCCCGCTCTCTTGTGTGTTCGCGCCCTTCTCTTTTTGGCCAATTCTATTTATTTGTTCGTAATTCGTGCATTTTTATTCTTCTTCAACTCCGTACGGTCACTGTTTGTGCGTGTGTCGTGCTTTGTGTGTCTCGTGCCTCACCTCAACGCAACGCAACACAACGCCATGCAACGCACAGAACACAGCAACGACACAGCACACAACACGACACAGAATGCAGGCGACCATAGAGCCCACGACAGCGACGATTCCGTCGGGCCGCAAGGTGCCGCCGCCACGGCCCTCGCGCGGGCTCAAGGTGTTGGTAGCCCAGACCCCGGAGGAGAAGCGCAAGCGCGAGGAGAAGAACCGGGTGAAGCGCGCCACAGCCGCCAAGGAGCTCTACGAGACCGAAGTCACCTATGTCCGCAGCATCATGATCCTCACCAACGTACTCTTCGCACACACGACCAACGACACGACCAACGACACGACCAACGACACGACACACGCGCACAACACACCACACACGATCGCACACGCACATCGCACATCGCACACGACTGAGCGTAGCCGCGGCCGGCAACAGGGCTTCATGGTGCCGTGCAAAACGGAGAGCATCCTGACCAAGCAGGAGATCTCGGAGATCTTCTCCAACGTGGCACAGCTGCTGGCCTTCCACAAGGACTTCCTCAAGCAGCTCAAGGAGCGCATCGAAGCCTGGACCGACGAGACTGCCATCGGTGACATCGTTCTCTCCGTCGTACGTCCGATCTTCGTTCTTCGTTCTTTTCGCGTCGCTTTCGTTCTTTGTTCGTCTTCGTTCTTTTCCAGGTCGTTTTTTGATTCTTTCTTTCTTTCTTCTTCTGCCGGTTAGACGCCCTACATGAAGCTCTACACGGCCTACAGTGCAAACTACGACAAGGCCCTCACCTCCATCCAGGCCTTCAGCAAGAAGAACCCTCGATTCGCCGAATTTCTCGATGTACGCCGCCCAGCGCGTGTCGTGTGTCGTGTTTCTCGTGTCGTGCTGAACAAGGCGCCTTCGCATCACAGACGTGCATGCAGTCGGCGTCGTTTGGCGGGCTCCCATTGAACGCGTACCTGATCATGCCCATCCAGCGCATCCCGCGCTACCGCATGCTGCTCGAGGTGCTCGTCGGCTCCACCCCCGAGGAGCACTCCGACTACAAGCAGCTCTCCGAGGCCCTCGGCGTCGTCCGCGACGTGGCCAACTACATCAACACCCACATCGCTAAGGAGGTACGTGACGTCATCCATTTCTCTCTCTGTTCTTTTTCTTTTTCTGACCGCACACGCACACGACAGGACAACACGCGCAACTTGATCAGGATTCAGAATCTGGTGCCGAAGCAGCAGGTGCTGTCTCCGTCGCGCAAGTTCATCATGGAGGCGTCGTTCCCGACGAACTACTTCGTGCAGCTCAAGAAGAAGGCCAAGAAGGACGGCAAGGCCGGTAAGGTCGCCGCCCGGGAAAAGGAGCGGCGCGACAGCGACCGCGCCGAGGACGAGCTGTGGGAGTCGCAGGAGAAGCGCGAGAAGAAGCGCACGTCGCTGTCGTCGCCGTCGCTGCGCGCGCTCGAGTCCGACAGCGCCTTCACGCAGGCCAACCTCTACCTGTTCGACGACGTGCTCGTCCTGCAGAGCGTCAAGGACAAGCACAAGTCGGCCTCGCTCCACCTCACCACCACCTGGATCAAGACCCAGCCGGGTACTCTCTTCATTACTCCTCCCTTTCTGGTCGTTATCGACACCATTGCTGATCATGCGCACGTGTGCGGTGTGCGTGTGCGTGTGGCGTGCGTAGAGTATGGGTGCGTGATTGAGCTGGTGACGCTGGAGATGACGTTCATTGTGGTGACGGGCAACGAGGAGGAGCAAAAGGAGTGGGTCGAGGCTCTCACCCTCGCCAGCAACAACCTCACCGCGCTCTGCTGCGACGATCGAGGTATGCACATCGCACGCACCGCACACACCGCACACACTCATATCTTGTGTGAATGCGGAGCGCAGACCTGCGGGAGCAGTTCGTATTGCGGCGACGCAATGGAGTGTGGCGACCAGTGCCGGCCCAGGCGGCCAAGGGCGAGGACGACGAAAATGACGACGACGATGACGACGACCCCGACTTCGACAAGAAGGCGCCCAAGAAGAAGTTCGGCAAGGGCGGCCTGCTGGTCATGTCCCAGGGCACCAACTCGCCCATCCTCTCCCCGCGCGCCCGCAAGGCCACCCTCACCCGCAACATCTCCACCTCTTCCATCCTCGCCCAGATGAAGGAGAACGCCGCCTCGTCGTGACGCACCATCACCCCACCAGCCAATGGCTATTTATTTATTTATTTATATTTATTTGTCTTTTACATCAACATGTACACCTATTGGACCACGTCGCTTCATTTCCATTGAATGTGGACAGGTGCTATGTGAAAAAGGAGTGAGGGCTCATGAGCCCAGGGCCATTGGCGCTCTGGAGCCAGGGCGCAGTGTTGTTGAGCAGCAGCTTGGAGGCTGAGCGCAGGGCACCCAGCAGCTTGTCCAGGAGTGCCCATCATTGTGACAACCTCCTCTGGTGGATGATTGTCACAGGAAGAGGGTGATGTGTTGCAACCAAGCCCATTGCCATTGTGTGTGGTTGTTGTCACAACTGTGTGGTGGTCTCTCCTTGAAGCTGTGTGGGTTTGGTGGTGTCCCTGAGGGCTAAGTCCCATAGCCCTCTCACCTGCAGCATGGCTGACATCTCTCCAGGCTGCATAGTTGGCAGCCATTTTCAGTTTGAAACAATATCCTTACTCGTAACTTCTGCAGTGTGCCCGGCGCTCCGAAAAACGGGCCTGCGCAAACGATTTCGGAAACTGGTTTGCGAAACGGACATTACCTTTTCGGTGATTGGACCAATCGGGTAAACGGTAGAACGATCCCGAAAAGGCAGCAAGTACTTAAAAGAGGAAGAGGCCAAGACTTCAACCAGCGCTGCTGGCGAGAGTAGCAACGATGATGAACCTGACGAGCGGGTTCAGTGCGTCGGGTTTCATGTCCGCCCTCCTGCTGCTCCTCGTCGCGCTCGACCGCGCGCCTCTGGTCGCCTGCGTGGAAATGGCCCGGTGGTCCTTCAGCCAGGGACCCAACGGAGCCCAGGTTGCATTACCACTGGCCGCGACCTCCGGGACCGGCAGCCTCACTTCCAACTGGACCAGCGCTGCCGACATCGTCTACACCACCTTCAGCCCAGACTTTGCCCTCGAGGTGCGCAACGGAGTGAACAACAACCGCTTCCTCTACTTCACCTTCAACACTGTCGGCTACTACGAGGTCTACCTCACCCTCTCGTACCAAGTGGGCGTCGGTGGTTTTCAGGATCTGGTGATCCAGTCCAAGAACGACCAGGGGGTCTTCGTCGACCGGGTTACCCCCCCAACCTACGGCAACAACTTGATGAACACCTTCAACGCCGACCTCACCAGCTCCAGACAACTCAACGACGCGTCGGCGGCGGAGGTCCGCTTCAAGCTCTCTGGCGCGCAGGCCAACGACGCCTCCGTGTGGTCGCTCCTTGACGATGTCGTGTTCACCGCCCGCCTCATACCGCCGACCAGGTCGCCTTCGCCCTCGCCAACCAAAACGCCATCGAACTCACCGACCAACTCGCCATCGCCGTCGCCCTCACCAACGTTCTCTACCAGCCCATCAAGCACACCATCGCCGTCCCCGTCGGCAACGATCTCAGTCTCGCCATCCCCGTCATGCTCTCCGTCGCCGTCCAGCACGCCTTCGCCCACTCAATCGCCCACCCAGTCACCTTCGCCATCGCCCTCGCCCTCACCCTCGCCCTCGCCCTCGCCGTCCCAGTCATCCTCACAGTCCCCCACGCAGAGCCCCTCCAGCACTCCTTCGCCCTCGCAGTCGCCCTCTCAGAGCCCCTCCAACACCCAGTCCCCGAGCCAATCGTCGACGCAATCTCCTTCGCCCTCGCCCTCGCCCTCGCCCTCGTCCTCGTCCTCGTCCTCACCCTCGCCGTCCCAGTCGCCCACTCAGTCTCCCTCCCAGTCTTCGTCGACAACGCCATCGCCGACCCAAACCCCCTCCAGCACCCCCTCACCAACCCAGTCATCCTCACAGTCCCCCACGCAGAGCCCCTCCAGCACTCCTTCGCCCTCGCAGTCGCCCTCTCAGAGCCCCTCCAACACCCAGTCCCCGAGCCAATCATCGACGCAGTCGCCCTCGAGCACTCCATCTCCCTCTCTGTCGCCTAGCCAGTCAACGACCCAATCACCATCGAGCACTCCTTCGCTGACGCCTACCCAGTCTCCTTCGCCTTCGCCATCGCCATCGCCATCGCCCTCGCCCTCGCCCTCGCCCTCGCCCTCGCCCTCGCCCTCGCCCTCGCCCTCGCCCTCGCCATCGCCATCGCCCTCGCCCTCGCCGTCCCAGTCGCCCACTCAGTCTCCCTCCCAGTCTCCGTCGACAACGCCATCGCCGACTCAATCCCCCTCCAGCACCCCCTCACCAACCCAGTCATCCTCACAGTCCCCCACGCAGAGCCCCTCCAGCACTCCTTCGCCCTCGCAGTCGCCCACCCGAACCTCCTCTGCATCTCCCTCACCATCGCTATCGCCCTATCAGTCTCCCTCGCACTCCCCGACCCAGTCACCGTCCCCCTCACCATCGCGCACCACCAGCCCATCAGGATCACCGTCGCCCTCGTCCGCCTTCTCGCAGTCTCCCGCGCCCAGCCCATCGTCCTCGCCTTCGCCCGGTCTCACGACCTGTCAGGAGGCCGCAGGGGGAGCCGGATCGAGAACAGAGCGCAGATATGGCGACTTTGTGCACCGCTTCCTTTTCCATGGCCTTGGCGGCGTTGTGCCTGTGCGCAGCGTCACCAGCCTGGGTCGGCTCAATCGGGTCGCCTTGTGCGCGCTCGGGACCGACGGCGTGCCGCTGGCCACAGGCTTCGAGGCCCGGTCCGCCGTGGTGTCGGACCCCGCCACCATCCGCGATCATTTCGGCGACATAGAAAAGGTGCCGTGCCCTGTGGTGAAGAGCTATGACGAGATCTCGTTCACGGGCATGGACGTCGACGCCGTGAGTCACTGGCGCTCGGAGAACGCCAGCCTGCTCGACCGGGCCACCCACTTTGCGGTGGGCGTATGGGAACAGCCACCATCGGCGGCGGGATTGGCGCAGGCGCGGTTCCTGGTGTCGGTGATGAGGATTGGCAACAACCTGGCCGAGTGTCCTCCCCACGACTAGCCAGACCACTACCTCAAGAAGAAGTAGTAGAAGTATATTTGACCAAGAGTTGCCATCGTCCGCCACTTCTTCATCTTCTTCGGTCCGATTCCTTGGCGCGCGCCGTCCGGAGCACCTCGTGGTGGCCTCCCCTGGCTGCGTTGGTGCACTTCTCCTTGTGGTCCCATATGCCATTAGCACGCGCCTATTATTTATTTAGTTAATGTTTCCCTATTGGTCTCATACCCAGCGGCCTTCGGCGTTCTGGAGCCAGGGCGCGGTGTCGTCGAGCAGCAGCTCGGAGGCCGAGCCCGAGGCCGGCGAGCGCAGGGCGCCCAGCAGCTCGTCCAGATCCAGACCCGCCGGGCCGCCGCCAGGAGTGCCCATTGCGACGACCTCCTCTGGCGGATGACCGTCGGCGTGTCCGGAAGAGGGCGTCGTTTGTTCACTGTCGCCGTCTTCTTGCGTGGTCGTTGTCGCAGGCGACGATGACGACGACGGCGAAGAAGCCGACAGCGAAGGCGACGACAACGAAGCCGGATTCCAACTGGCGTGCTGGGTGATCGGGGACAGCGGCGAGACGAAACCCGCGAGGGAGGAGGGTCCAACGATGGAGCTGACGGTGGGGCTGATGGCGGCGATGGAGGCCAGGTAGGTGGCCCGGGACCGCCAGTAGAGGTGGATGTCATCAAGCGCGCGGGTCCGGGAGACGAGGGTGAGCCGCGCGTCGATGACGCTCAGCGTGAGCGGGTCGGCGAGCAGGTCCTCCAGGTCCCGCACCGGCAGCGGCGACGGCACATTCTCCTCCAACACGCGCCTCAAACGAACGATGTGCCACTTGGACTGCGCACCCGAGCTGGGATCAGTATCGTGTGTCGTGTGTGTGTGTCGTGTGTGTCGTGTGTGTGTCGTGTGTGTGTGTCGTGTGTATCTGGTGGGAGAGGGTACGATTGAGTCGGCCCAGAGGTTCTGGTGCTGGGTCTCCAGGCGCACCGGGGCGCCATTCTTGCGGATGAAGTAGGTGCTGGTGATGGTGATGGGCGTGGACACGTTGGATGGCGGCTTCTCGAACATCAGCTGCACCAGCTCGAGCTTGCCTTCCGCGCCGATTCCGCCCAGCTTGCTCACCATCTGCCCCACGAGTTCCGCCTGAACACACGACACACACGACACACGACGCACGTGTCAGTGCGATTCGATGGCTCCGGCGGGGGGGGGGCGAGGGGCCAACCGGACTGAACCCGAGATATGCGGCGGCAGACGGGGAGACATAGGCGATGCGCGGGTGTGTCACTCCCAAATGCGTCAGTCCCAGGCTCGTTCGCAGCACAATGAACGGCTGCCTGCGCCCACCCAGACAGAGAAGAGTCAATCACATGGCGCCGCTTCCCACCACCACCCACCACGGGCCGGGCCGCGCACCTCAGGTTGGACACGATCAGGGCGCTGCAGTCGTACTCGGCCAGGAACGGCAGCGCGTCGACCAGGGTCTCGCCGGTCTCGCCCGCCGAAGCCTCCTGAGTCAGCAACAGCGGGGTCGGTCGTAGCGGGGTCGGTCGTGGCGGCGTCGACAAAGAAGCGGAAGAGGGGCTTTGGTGGAAGAGGGCGAGCAGGGCGCGGATCTGGGTGGTGCTCTCGCGCT